TTTTTTGTAGAACTCAAAAACAAAAGGAAATTTCGAAAAATTTTATTCTTGTTAAATCATCACATTTTTATAGTACTTTATCACACATCAATTAGTTTTTTCAAAAAATAATTAGTTTAGGCAAAAAACGTTTGGTTCCATACTTTTTATTCACCTGGTATGTATAGTATTGTTTGCCCCTTTTTTTTTTCTTTCTTTATTTGTGGAGATATTTCCATTCTTCTTCTTCTTCTTTGGGTGACATAGCCTCAATCTCTTGCTTTCCTTTCTTCTCCTTTTTTGGCAAAAGTACCAAATCTTTTTTTTATAGGATCTCCCAGTGCAGTGTTTGGTCCTCGCCGGAAACTCCATATCCCAAATGGATCAAGACTCGTTTCCTAAAGAGGTCCAAAGGCTACACATCGGGCGCAACAACCTCAAAACCCTTAACAAGACCCTAACTAATCTCTCCGACCTCATTTGGTTATTCGCCAATTCTAATGAACTGACAGATCTAGAAGGGGAGTTACCCCTCGATGCTAAGAAACTAAAAATGATCCACTTTTCCAACAATAAAATCGAGAAACTTCCTCAACAGTTAAAATCACTAACATATCTCGAATCTCTCTTTTTCCAATACAACCACATACAAAGTCTTGACGGAACATTGGGGAAAGCACGGAAACTGGTCCGAGTTGTTTTAGAACACAACAATATTAAAACAGTAAGTTGGAATTAATTTTACACCGAAAAATAATTACATGATTTCTAGTTGACCAAAGAAGATTTTACCGAAAACGAAATACTCGAATCTCTTATTTTAGGCCACAATGAGATCACGTCACTAAATAACTCGCTTTTGAATTTAAAAAACTTGAATTTTTTGAATATGACGTTCAATCATCTCAGCGAGTTTTCGTTTCAAGAAATTGTGGGCCTTCAAGAATTGAAAAGCATCGATTTGTCGTACAATAGAATCAAAACTTTGATCGGACCGGCAACTGTAAGTTTTTTGTGTTTGAAATCCATTATTTTTTAAATCTTGTAGAATTTGGTCGAATGGAATATAAAATTGACTGAGCTTAAACTGGATCATAATGAAATCGAGTCACTTGATGGCGCTTTGTCGGGCTTGCCTGAGCTTTTGCGACTAAATTTGAGTTTTAATAAATTGCGAAGAATATCCCCAGATGATCTGATAGGTTTAGATCAGTTGAGGTTGCTGGATGTGTCTCATAATTATCTAACAACGCTGGAAGAAACGAGCAAGGTGAGTGAAAAAATGGAAAATTTGATCAAAAGAGTGATTCTGTATTTTTTTTATAGACTTTTCTTCCCCGTTTGGAAGAGTTAAGGGCCAGTCATAATTATCTAACAATTTTAGAAAGAGATTTCCATGGACTTCCAGTTTTGTGTCACGCTGATCTATCAAATAATCAAATTGTTGCCCTTGGAAGGGATTTAGTGAGCAAAACTAGATGCAAAATCGGTCATGGGGTGCATGAAGGCACTTGGGATACCCTCAAAATATATTTACAAGGTAAACTACTAAACTAGACAAAAAAACTTTTCTAAAAACCCAAGATTTTAAATCTCTTATAGACGTTTGTTTAGTTATTCGGCGCTCTAGAGCAACTATTAATTTTCTTATAGGGCATTTTTAAGAATTTTGTCATTAGTTATCGATATAGGGCATTACAAAGTAAAAGAAGGCATTTAAAAACTATCTAAATCTGGGGCATTATATGGCTTTCTATAGTGTTATTACGTGGTTTATGACATTTTAAATTGTTTTTATAGACAACCCCATTTTGTGCGACGCCGCCCTCCCGGAAATCATGTCCTCGATGGAAATCAACCATACTCGAATCTACGGCGTGTCCCATTGCCCTCCCATGAGCGAGCAGCCCGTCACCAGCAAGCCCAACGCCTTCCTGGGCTACATCCCCGAAACCACCCCTTCCCTCCCCGCGGTCATCGCCAGCCAACCCTCGCAAGATAGCGAACCTAACAACCAGCTCAAACCCATGTTCAAAACTTCAGCTTACGAGGCCATCCAGCTCTCCATCCCCCACAAAAACAACCTCGAGGACACGGCCACCAAGACGCAGGAGGTGGACTTGCACCAGAACGACCAGTACCGAATGGAGGAGCCGAAAATCGACCCCGTGAAGCAGGAGAAGCAGCTGACGAAGTTGGCGTCGGAAATCGAGGAGTTGAGGAGTCGAGTGGAGGAGCTGGCCAATCAGAATCAGATTTTGCTCCACCAGCAGTCGAATAAGTCGACGGAGAGGCCGCCCAATGACGGGGAGAGGAAGCCGTGAGGAGGGAGATAGTACCTTTGTTTTTTACTGTAGTGTAGATTCTGATGCAAGTAACTTATTGCTAGTCATTTGTAGAAAAAAAATCAGAAATTTATGATGATGTTGAAAACAAAAGGGGTAGGAATGGGGGGAGATCAAGTATTGACTTTAGTTGTGAGTACAATTTATTATTTAGAGCAGTATGACAATAACGAGTGCCATGGATTTATCGAAATATGTATTTTTCTAGTAGTTTGAGACTCTTTTTCTCATTATTATTTTTAGGATTCAATTCTGAACTCATCCAGTAGTCTCTAGTGATGTAAATATTTTCATTACTAACTTTTCTACCTTTTAGATAAATGACGAAATACTGTCATAGGTAATTTGTGTGTATTTATATTATTAAAAATATATATTATTTTATGAAACACCGCGTGTTTTATTTCTTAAAAAAAAATCTAATATCCTAACCACGCAAATATACAGTATAGCTCCAGTAAATTTTGAAAACCATTTTGTCACTAAATTGACAGTATCACCTTTTTAGTTCTTTACGTTATTGTGCAAGAGATTTTGACAGCAAAAAACTTCTGTTCATTTGAACAAAAATATAAATCAAAGTAGTCTGAAATTAAGTTGGTAATACATAGTGAATAATATGTAGTTAAGATTATTCAATGCCACCAAAATTTCAAAATAAAAAATCAAAATTCAAAATAAACTGAAGTAACACCAAAAACATTCTCTGATTCTCATAGAAAGTGTAATTTGCTTCTAAAGTTGGTCAACTTTATGATGCTGAACGTTGAATTTGTACAAGAAGCTAGCGTATTTCTTGATTTAAAAATAGTTTTCACTAATAAATCTGTTTTTATTTTTCTGTGATTGAAAGAAATACACTACAGTCTCAATTAAGACTTTCTCATAAGAATGTTTCCTTAGAACATGTTAATTCAAGGAATGAAAAAGTAAGAATAAAACTGACAACTCAATGCTACATTTTCTTGATTTACGAATGTTTTGTCTTCACTATTCACTTTAAAAAAAAACCTTTCACATGGTGTTTGGTTTTGTTTGTTAATTTTTTTGGTAAATTTTTTCAATTAAAACTACGAATAGTATTTAATATGATTAGAAAAACATTCAAAATATTAAGTTGGATAATGACTCTAAAATTAAGTTGGTAATGCTGAATAAGTAGTCAAGATTATTCAATGTCACTTTCAGAACTGCAGTCCATTTTAATGGAAAATATTATTATGTTGATAATCTTAATATTCTTAATTTGTGGCGGAGCAAAAAAATTTCAAAAATGCCTCAATTGACAGAGAAATGTGAAAAAATTTATCAACTTGCTTGCTTTAAATTTATTAAACAGAAGTACCTAATACAAGAGTCAAAATAAAATAAAAAAATAAGTAATATCAAAAACATTTCTTAAACCAAAATCAACAAACTATTCAAAAAACCAGTTTCACCAACGTGAGTTACATTTAATTAAAAATTACTACGATAACAACAATGGTTGCTATCTATTTCTTCGATGATTAAATTTAACAAATGTTGGTGAAACTAGCCCTAAGCCTCAGAAAACTAAAAGTACATTAAATTTTGTCAATTTTTGGCAACACAAAAACGAAAATATTAAAAAGATATAAAAGTGAATATGTTAAAAAATTGAGTAACACAAAAAAAATAATAAAAAACTAATTTCTTAAACTAGAAGTAACAAAACTTTGATTCGTAGAAAACTAAACCTTTCATTGTCAAGTCCTTACAACAAGAATTCAGTCACCTTAAATCTCTCTGGATCAAAGTTCGGATAAAACTGATCCAACCAATTGGTGATCCTTTCCTGATAATCCCGATGTGAAGGATTGGCTAAAACCTTCAGCAACTGGGCATACCCCGAAACGCCCCCACAGTCCTCTGGAGGACAAGCACGTCGCCCTCCCACGCATTTAGGATAAGAAACAGTGGTCTTAAATGGCAATATTTTCTCCAAAACCACAAGATGCTCCCAATTATCGCCAAAATCATAACTGTATTTGACTCTATCGTTAGGAGTCTTCAAAAATTGTGATAATTTCACTTTATCCTCTTTAATAACTTGTTCAGATTCGAAATCCAAGAAATTCTCATAATTAACATCCACAATGCGAATATTTTCAACAGTCTCAAACTCATGAAGATGGCACTCTCTCCACCCCATGAAGAGTTGGATGTATTCATGGAGCTGTTCAAAAGTGTCGGAATTGCAAACTTGAATACGGCGCCAGATTGGGGGGCGGATTCCCATAAGAGTTATTTTTAATTGTAGAATGGCTTTGGGAGTCCTGTGTATTTATTTCTGACAAAAACAAACTTAGAAAAGGGGCACTTACCCCTCGCCTTGATCGGTGCTGCTTGTGGCCATTTCGGAGCTTATTTCAAACACAAACACAAAAATACGCAATTAAAGCACTCCTTGCTTAGGTCTTTGCACTAAATTTAACGAAAAACTACAAGTAAATACTGTTTTCAGGACAAAAACGCAATGCAAAAAACACTGATCTGAAGATTGTTGCATTTGAACCGTCGAGAGTCTGGGGGCTTTTGAGGTACCAACATTACTTTGTTTCATTGTTGAATTACATTCAATTTCTTACGATCTTAAAAAATAAAAATAATATTTAAAACAATAATGTGTAATAATATTTTTGTCTCAATAAGCATCTTATTTAAGATTCAAGCCTCCTCAGTGTTCTGAATTGTTCTCAGCAGATAAACAATTTAGAGTCGCTTCAAGGCGAAAGTTGGCCAAACTTCTTTCTAGTTTAAAGTGTTCAAAATAAAAAAAATGTTAAAATAACAAATAATATTATTAAATACAAAACTTAAAAAAAATTAATTAATTAATTATGCACCCCATATGGTCAAACTACATACGAACCGCTACTGACTACAGCAGAATGGTAAAATGTAAATCAAATGAAAATCAAATTATTAATAAAGTAATTAAATTTTTGTGTTTAGTATTTAAAATATTCATTTCATTTTTGTAATTGAAAAATAATAAAATAAAATTTTAATTTGTTTACTTCAACGATATTAAAAATTTAGTTGGTACCACGAAAGTTCCTGGACGGTTCAAATGTGCAACAATCTTCACACCATTGTTATTTTAGTATTTTTTTATCTTATATTTTTGTTGTAAAATCGGTTATTGGTTGTGGTTTTTCGTTAAATTTAGCTCAAAAGCCAATTAGTGAATGCCTGAAATCCGAATTTTTATATTTGTGTATGAAATGCGCACTAGCAGCACCGAACAAGGCGTGGGGTAAGTGTTCATTTTTGAGGTTGTTTTTGTGAGAAATAAATGCGCAGGACTCCTAAAGCAATTCTACAATTAAAAATAACTCTGATGGGAATCCTCCCCCCGGTCTGGCGCCGTATTCACGTTTGCAGTTCCGACACTTTTGAGCAGCTCCAAGAACACATCCAACGTTTCATGGGTTGGAAACAGTCTCATCTTCATGAGTTTGAAACTGATGAAAATATCCACATTGTGGATGTTGATTACGAGGACGTTTTTGGTTTCGATTTTGATAAAGTTGTTAAAGAAGACAAAGTGAAATTATCACAATTTTTAAAGACTCCAAACGATAAAGTCAAATACATTTATGATTTTGGCGATAATTGGGAGCATCTTGTGGTTTTGGAGAAAATATTACCATTTAAAGACACTGTTTGTTATCCTAAATGCGTGGGAGGGCGACGTGCTTGTCCTCCAGAGGACTGTGGGGGCGTTTCGGGGTATGCCGAGTTGCTGAAGGTTTTAGCCAATCCTTCACCTTCGGAATGTGAGAAAAAGGTCATCTGTTGTTTGGATCAGTATTATCCTAACTTTGATCCAGAAAGATTTGAGGTGACTGAATTCTAGTTGTAAGAACTTCGAAAATGAAAGATTTAGTTTTCTATACTAACTAAAAAGAGCCAAATTTTTTACTTCAAGTTGATATTACGCCAATTTCACTTTTGTATTACTTTTAATAAATCTAAACCAGACGATTTTTTAATGAGCAGGAGTTCTACGTATTTATATTTCAATTGAGACATTTTTTCTCTTTTGCTTTGCTAAAAATTGACAAAATAAGGGTTAATAAGGAGAATATTAACATTCCATATGGTTTCATCAATGAAAGATTGTTGTTCTTAATTTAGTTTTCTGAAATTTAGAATATTTTGTAACTTTCAGTTTAATAAATGTTTTGGTAGGTATTTCTTTAATTTATTTTGCCTCTTGTATTGTTTTGACTCATATATCTAAAGCATTGAAGTTATTTTTTACTGAGAATTTGTTTTACATTTTTCCAGTCAATTGAGACAGTTTTAAACTTATTGCACTACCAAAAATTATGGTTGTTAACGTATTTAGGGCTGTTAAAAAGGCTATAACGATCGATGAATTCTCCCATACGAAATTATTTTATTTAAAAACCTTTTGTGTTTCTTAAAATTTTGAATGCTTTTCTAATCATATTGAATATGTAATATCCACAGTTTTACTTGAAAAAAAATACTTAAGCATTTTTATTATGCAACAAAGAATAACAAACAAAACCAAATTAACGACTTGTGAAAGGTTTTTGTGAAAGTGAAAAATGAAGGCAAAACATTAGTAAAAAAATAGAGTATTGAATTCGTGAGTATTCTCATATTTCGCTCATCGTTGAATTAAAATGTTTAAGGAAGCATTCTTGTGCAAAGTTTTTTTAAACTCTCTGTATATGTATATCTAAATCTTTCAACTACAGGAAAATAAAACACAGATTTAATAGTGAAAACTATTTTTATTTAATAAATATGTAATTGAATTAAAAAATTATAAATCAAATACTTTCAATGTCTTTTACAAATTCCGTCAAAAGGTTATCAACATTTTCCATCTTAAACTCGACCAACTTTAGAAGCAAATTACACTTCCTCAAAGTCACATTATGTCTTTTGGCTAACTTGCAACAATCGATAAGCATTTTCTCCGAACCAGACGGCGCTATAAACCGAAACTCAGGTCTATCTTCAAACATTATATCCACAAAATCGGCAATTTTGTCAATCCTTTTCTCATCCACCAACTGTATTTTCTGTCCCTCGAAATGGCCCTTGAAGAAGAGCTCTTGTTCGTCGTTTTCGTTAGTTTTGAGAACAAAAGTATTGCACACTCCTAACATCAATGCAGCTTCATATTCGGTCAAAAACCTCTGATCCTCTTCCTTCTCCCTCATATTTCGAAAAATGCAGGAAACGATAAACTTCATCGATTTGAGCCGACTCTTCGGCACTCCGACACAATTTGCGTAGCGAAATTCGTCGGCTTTGGGGGTCACAGGGGGGCCGTCGGTGGCCCCGGCCCTCAGACGAGCCACGAGACTTTTGAGGAAAATCGGGATATACTCGGATTGTTCCTGGACGTAGTCTTTGACGGTGTACCTGTCAGGACCACAGGATAACTCCAAACGGGCCTTCACGTATGCCATTATGATAACAGTGATATACACCAAAAGGATTACTTGCATTATTATCAGATACAGAGAGAAATAGGCATAAGCCAATTGGAAAGTTATGAATTGGGTCAGGTCGAATTGGTCAGGTTTCAACGAGAGTTGGATGAGAGTGGCTACAATTTTAACGAAAAATGCCAATTCGACGAATTCGTTGTTGAAAATAATAATTCCGACGAAAGCAAAAGCTGTGATTATCACTCCGAAGGAGAACGTCACCGCTCCAAGAGGCACAGCGGCCATTGCTAGGGTGCGTTCCATTATTCGGAAAAACTGACCGAATCGGAGGAACTTCCAGAGCCTTGCGGTAGCGAAACACACCAAAACACCGACAAAATAAGTTAGAAACTCCTCCAAATACATCATATTGAAATAGCTGATAAAGTCGTTGTGTTTCACCGCTTCCAAAGACTTGAGATAACGCTCAACCATCTTGATCCGAAGGATAAACATCGAGATGCTCAACAGACTCATGAAATTTATCACCAAGTCCACCATTAACCAGAATTTTTTGTAGAAAGTTGTGATATTTTTTGTTATTCCCAGGAGCAGTTTGATATTGAGCATGCTGACCCAGAATAGGAATAGAATGAAGTAGACCATTGTTTTGATTTCGACTTCGTTCTGGACGAATAACATTCGGACGACGTTGATCTAGAAATGGGGAGTTTTTGACACAGTTTTGACAATATTTATTCGTACTTGGAGGATTGTCGAAGTGTATCCTGTAGCGCTTTGCTCAAACAGCAAATTAACAGCGACGAAAACGTTGTAGTTTGCGTTGTATGTCAAAAATTCGATAAAGACGCTCCGGGTCTGGTAGTCGAGCCATTTCATGTCGAACATTTTTTGTAAATTGGCATAAGAGTTGAAAAGCGTGCGGCCGAGGAATGCCAGGTACCCGCCGCCACTGTACGTCCCTATCCAGCCTTGCAAAATTTGGAAACAAGTTTAAATGAAGCTTTTATATTCATAAATAAATGAAATTTTATTTATTTACCACCTTATATTTGAAAACAACCCTAATGCTTTCTTTACCCAGCTTTAAAAAAAATACTTATCCTATGAATTGCTAAATTATTCTTTAATATATACGTACAAGGTGATTCTTTTAGGGCCTACATTAGAAACTTTTTAACTTCTAATGCAGATAGGAATTTGAAATTTTGTACACAACCCAAATCTACCAGTCTGAGTTTAACTAAATTATTTTTAAAATGGCTGAACTTCCGGAACTACGCGCCAAATAATCATAAAAGCTTTGCAATTTGACAGTTGACAATTTTAGGAAACTCTTGGAACCTTTGGTTATCGAATGCAAGAAAAATTATTCACTTATCGCAAACGGTTCAAGAGTTGTGATGTTTTTAAAGAACCTCTGCAAATGTGAATTTTGAGCAAAAAATTGACATAACTATGACAGATAAGTACTAACAACTAAGTAAAGTCTGTTTTTTTTTTAATGGAAATTACCAAGTCAAAATTTTGGTGAAAAAATTGGTAGCAGCTTGTCTTCATAGCCACAAATTTTGTTTGTTCTTTGTTTTTGTCCCTAGAAATTTTGTTAAAAAATTATGGTTATGTGTTCCAATTGAGATGTTGACAAAATTTTGACTTTTTATGAATCTTGTGTGCCTGTTTGCTCTTTGAAAGCGCTATAATTGAATACCTGAGGACAGACATCATTACCTAAGGTCTAAAGACGTAATTCAGTGCTAATAATTTTGACAGAAACACACCGCAAGTAAGTATAATGTTGTGGACAAAAATGAGATTCTTGCTACAAAAACTTGAAAGAAAAAGAATGTATATAACCGAAAAAAGTTATTTAGCAAAAGATACAAGTAGGTATTATAATGACTGGCAATAAATTTTGTGTAATTGATTGAAATGAGCTCAAAGTTGATGCTATAAATTCTTCTTCAGCTTTAGTTTCAAAATTGTGACTTTTTCAACTCATTCCTCAAAAAACGATGCACAAGGCACTAATTTAATTGCGTTCTTTCCGAGGTTCTTTTCTCATTCATGTTTATTTTGTACTCTTGTCGATTTCTTGCTAAAAATTAAGAATATTTAGCAAACCTGCATTACAAATTGCGTCTACATTTTAACGGGCCCTTTTTCTAACTTCTTGCTTGCGAACTATTCGTTTCCAAATTTCGAAAAAACTGTTGGTTTCCGAATTTGTTTCTTTTTTGGTGTTTCGTCTCTAAATTGTCTTAGACGATTTTTTGTGTTCACGTTTAATGACATTGTTTTCAAATTAATTCAAAAAACCGGAACTGCCAACTTCCTTTATTAAAATTACCATGAATGAATTTACTAGTGATGCCAACGTTAGGACTGTTTGGCATTTCCATTAAAAAAAAAAACAGACTTTACATATTACTCAGTTTGGAGAGGAGAATTCAAAAATGCAATAAAAATAAGTGGTTACCATTTAAAAATTCAAAGTTGGCGTCAATTTCTCGTAGTTCCGGAAGTTCTGCCATTTTGAAAATAATTTAATTGAACTTAGACTGGTCGATTTGAGTTGTGCACAAAATTTCAAATTTCTATCTGCATTAGAAGTTAAAAAGTTTCTAATATAGGCCCTAAAAGAATCACCTTGTATATAACTTTTTTACCTATAGTTCCCCACGTTTCCGTTTCAGTCTCCGTCGCATACTTCCAAATGGATTTCAACCTGTCATACTCCGCCCCCCTGGAGGCCGTTGCCCATTTAGGCAGGAAATCTCCCGTTTCCGCATCTTGAAACGAAAATTCCGGATGACAATGCATTTTGAGGAAGTCCATTTGGGCGGGGACTTCACAAGCATTCGCCATAATACGATGCTGACGAATTCTTGGAACTCCAATCACTTTATTTGCATTATCTATCATCATTCCAGATGGTGGGATTGTGAAGTTTGTGTACCAATTCGTAGGATGGAGTATTTGAATCAAAGTGGTATTTATGTATTGATAAACTCTGTAATTTTTTTTTTTGTAAACTTTGAACTGAATTATGTACACATACTCGGAAATTGTGCTGATTTCTGAAAATTGCAAACTTCGAGTGTGTTCACCCTGGACCATACTTTCGACTTCGCTTTTACTAACTGTTGTTAGAGTGCCTTGATAGACTAGAACAAACATGTACAAAATAATGTTATACAGGGAGTACATAAAAAGGTCTTGCAAGTCGTCGTAAATGCTTCTACGAAGTTCGACGACTATACGTCGTCTCTGAAATCAAATATTATTTTTTCGTACACTTGTAAACAAAACTTTACAATTAATTGTGCGGCTTTTAATGGTGTGTACAAATGCTGCATCATGGGTCGAAAAAGCGACTCGTCGAATTTTTTATACAAATACAATCTCTGTTTTTCAATATTTTGAAGAATTGCATTAAATCTTTTATCGAATGAAACTCTCTGAAAAAAATTGATAAATACTTGGTTATTTTCCCCATTCTTGGTGGTACCAGTTTAAATTTACAAATGGACGTCTGGATTATAATAAAAATATTTTCGATCACGACTACGCAGAAAATGCAAGCTACTAAACTAGTCGCCAACCAAATCAAACTAAAATTATAGGGGACCCAAAATCCATAAATAATCAAAAATGAAGTTGTTATCGTAATTAAAATACATAGCAAAGCTCTGGAAAGAATCACTCTGTATACGAATTAAACCACCACATTATACTTACTTGCAATAGACTGAGTATTTGTGCGACTTGTAATACACCGTGTCGAAAATTTTAAATTCGATTTGCGAAAATCTGAAAATTAAATTTAACGTAAATTATGGTTGATCACACAGTTATGTTCAGGGTGAGTCAAATTTTGGGTCTTGCAAAAATAAATTTTCAAATCTTTTAAGAAAAATAACATTGTTATTCAAAACAATATAAAATATTTTTGGATTAATCCTAAAATTTGGCGCACTCTGTATATTAGCGAATTCACTATTTTGGGAATTATTAAACATGTTTTTTTAAATTTTTGTCCTATTTTTGTGTGACTTTTTTTGTAAAAGCGACTGTTTTTGGATTACCTAAACGTCCAAGCAATAGGTACATGAACCATAAACGACAAAATCGCGCACTGCATTGCCAGAAGCAACATATCAAAATCGAAAATAAACTTTTCGAATTTGTCCAAACAGTCTTTCAACGTCAGCGTCGGAGTACCAAGAAACACCAACACAAACGTATAAATCATCAAAATATTGGAAAAAACCACAGTTAGTCTGGTTTCATAACTAAAATTTGACTCTCCAGCCCATAACATCCACGTATGGAAATGATTACAGATTCGTATACGATTGGTGACTTTGCCTTTTTCTTCCCTAGGAGTGATGCAAAGATATGTAACGGCGTTTTTATCTACTGCGAAACGCGTTCTCACTTTGAAGTAGACTTGAACACGTTTTTGCATGTCGTAGACCACAATGTCTCGACAAGACCTACGAAATTAGATTTTTTCTCAATTAAATGGAAATAAAAGGGGTACCAAGAAGGGTTAAAACCGGTGCAGTCGAACCACAACTCGATTTCTTTGATAACTCCAAGATGACGATTTGTTGTCAATACAAACATGTCTTCGCTTTGGTTTTGGAGGAGACGAAGCTTGGGGTCGGGATAATTGAGGACATGTGGCTGTTAAAATTTTCATCAAGAAGGATAAAACAGAAGAAGGATACCAACCTCACTTATTCTCTTATCACCTTTGAGTCTTATCGTGATTTTGGACGTAGTACCAGCATGATGGACATTTTCTGTCCTCACAATTATGAGATAAGCATATCGATCATCCATAAGATTATCTGCCAGATAATACACTTCTTTGTACGTCTTAAACAACGTCAAAAAGAAGAAAAGACAAAATATAGCATAGGTCACAGCAACAGTAATAAAAATAACATAGCACGATTGAAGCACCAATACCACTTGAATCGGCAACACTTCTTGGACAAGCGCGTTCAAATTTTGAAAATAACCACTAATAACAGAGAAATGTGTACACTGACAGATGATAACATCATCACGAGAGGATTTTTCTCCCGTCTTGCAATCGAGTCTCCAAGCACGATCTTCTTTCACCCAACGGATACAAAATGATGATACAATAGTGAGATTATAATACAAAATTTTTGGACCACCTTCTTTCACGACGTTTCTATTAGGCAAAACTCCAATGTAAATCCACATGTCGTAACTGTTTTTGTTGATAATTCTAGTCGTTGTCATATTTTCACGGTCTATTGTCAGATTTTTAGAAAAATGATCGATTGTCGGAAACTCAAACTCTGTAACCACCACCTGGAAAAAATCGATTGTAGCACTCGTGTGTTCAAATTATTTCTCACATCAATGGCATTTTTCTCAGTCACGTTGAAAAAATCGAGATATAGAGTCGAATGTTTGGGAAAGCCAATCCTCCTGACTCTTATATGCCGATTCAAGTGTTCTTTTTTCATCTGTAGATATTTTTCCGGAATTGTAACATTCCCAGGTTTCATTTTAGTCTCAAACTTCTTCGTAACTTTGAGTTGAAGCTCGACGTAATTCAAAAAATGTCGGATTCGTTTCTTGCAAGAATCATGCCAGAATTGGACACTTACAATGCTGGTAACTGGACGTGTCTTGTCGTGGTTCCACCACATCAGATCTTTGGTCCAGACGGACATCTAGGGATGGTTTTTTTGGAAAATGGTTTTGGTCAATGTTTGAGTCAGTACCAGGAGATCGAAGTTGTGGGTGATGTCGTGGAAGTCTTTAGATGGGATTAAAGTCACGTTTAGTAGATTGATGCGAGTGCTAAGGATGTATTTTCCGGCGTCTTTGGCCACCACAGTGGCGGAGCTTTCGCCGAATCTTCGGGAGACGTGTTGGCCGACCGCCATGGTCATGGCTATGGTCTTGGCGGCTTTTGCGGTGGCTTCGATGACGTTGTTTGTTATTGTGTTAAACTAAAATTAGAGTTTTTAATAAAAACATGGAATTTTACGATTTTTTGTCCAAATACAAAACAAAAACATTAATTCTGATATTTATTTTGGTTTTGAAAATTGATAAACGATATTAATTGTTTTTGTTTCATATTTCTTGACACTTTTTCATTATTAGAATTGTACATTTTCCATTTTTTCCGTGTAATGTTTATCATAATCGATATAATCGGGATAATTTTCAACAACATAAGCTTCCAGAGGCACTGCTGGGAGTTCTTTAATCGTTATATTACCACCGGTGATTGGTTCCAAAGCCTCGAAATTTTCATGTATGTTAGCTTCCAAGCATTTACTCAAAGTGCTAAACAAAACTAATACTTTTTCAAAAAAAAAAAACACGAAATTTTTACTTCTGAATAAGTTCCGTTTTGTCTTCCGAAGTCAAGGCTGGATTTTTTTCCTTCACAGCTTCTGTGTGTTTATCTATCAATCTTTTGCAAATTGCTGTTGCCATTTTGGCCAATACTGGATTTAAACGCGTCAACTCATGTTCGTTTATTAATTTGGTGATGGAATCGCTTATTGTCAGTAAATCATCAACACCTCCGGCTTTTGACTGAAACCAAAAATGACTTTATTCACTAGTGAATAAAGCAACTTACTTTTAATTCATCGCTGATGACTTCCAAAGTGAGATTTTTGATGAAATTTTTCGCATCATTTGAATCGATTTTCCCGAAAAGTATTTGTTCGACTAGAGCTTGAAATCTCTCCACTCCTTCTGATTTTTCCTTGGGATTATTGCTACCGACCATTTTTGAAATGGTTTTTTCACTGCCTTCGTAAAATTTTTTGTAGATTTCGACGGCTTCAGGACCGGTTTTTCTATCAGTAACGGAAACAACATTCGGATAGATTTGTTTATAGGTCGCAGGTCCCCCTCTTTTCGACACTTTTACGTAAAATTCGTGGCCTTTTGAGGGTGGCAACAGAAATTGCAAATGAAAAACGTCAGGATAATAACCGCTTATAACTATATTTCCTGAAAAATGGTGATGATTTTAACAATTGTCTTATTGAATTCCCTTACCTGACGATCCTACTTTCTCATCGCTATAAAACAACTCGTAGAAAAAGCTCGAATCGGGCGATTTTTCCACACAGCTAAACCGAAATTTCGTCGTGAGACTAAGACCGATATTTGGTGTCGTATCGCATCGGTCTACTATCGGAGACGAGGCAAATTTGACAAGAATCATGGTGGTACCCTGACGTTTGGCTTTCGGTCGAAGATGTAGCTTTATCATATATTCGTATCCTTCTTTGAGTACATTTTTCCTGATGAGGAATTTGGGGCCGATTCGACCGAAATGCGTCTGTGTATCGTAATCGAATGGGAGCCATCTTTTTGGTTTGTGCGGTGTGATTTCCCAGGCGTAATCGTCGTCTTTTATATCTTCGCAATTTGTTTCGCATTTGGCGCGAAAAAATGTCACGTCTTGAACGTTGGGAGTGTCTGTTTTGGGAGGACAGTTCTTCTCGCAGCTAAAATTTTGTTAGGTAATTTTATTGAAATTTTTTTGTCTTTGCATTTTGCAAAAATAATAAGGTTTCAGCTCTTTAAAAAATACCTAATCCTCAGCAGCGCTGCACTCGTCACAACCTCAATTTTTTGCCATGCATTCGCTGACGTTTTAAACTCCGTTGTGACGGTAAGTTTCACATTAAACACTTGCCCATTAATAGCTTCTTTCTCCGAAATACGAAACTCCTGTTCTTTGGAAACCGTGTCGGAATCACAGACACCTTTCCCTGTTTTCTGAGTGCAACTCCACTCAAATTTCATCGTATTCGCACCATTTGGGGTATTGGGGTCCATCGAGTCGGCCCCACTTACCACAATTTCCGTATCATTGGGAACAATACGTTCAGGGCCCCCGCGAATCACAACGATAGGAAGCACAGCTTTGATTTGGAAAAAGCACTCAAAAGGGGAAAATTTGGGCACATTTTCTTGTTTTGGTGTTAGGGTTGCTGTAATTTTGTAGAGACCAGGAGGGGATGTAAAAGGCTCAAATTTCAAATTTACGCTGTTTTGCATTTGGTGTTTGGATAAGTCGAAGCTTTCACTGCTTGTGGACTTGCCTGTTTTTGGGTCGACTGAAATAAGGACTTTTTTTGGGATTTTTTCGAGTTTTTTGTCTCACTAGTGTCTCTCGTTGCGGCAAATTTCCACTCATATTTTTCATACAAGGGCAATGCGGTTGAATGTGGGTCAATGTTGCTCCAGCTTGGTTCAAGTAGGAGAGCATTTTTGATCAGATAGTAGTTTTTTTCAGCGGCGCGTTTATTCGGATGGCTGAAAATGGTAAAGTTTATCAAAAATTGACACATTTGTGTGAGCTACCAATTGGCGAGAACTGGTTTTCCGTCATTTGCTCTAATTATTCCTGAAATTTCAGTATTTTTAAAGAAATGACTCATAGGGAAACTTACTATTAAACGTTTCGTTCTTATTTGCAAGAAAACAGTCTACTACATTTACTCCTACTATTAAAATTCCGATTTTTAGTATATTAAAAACACTTTTTCTTAAAGTACCGTTCATTGATTAGCGTCGTTATGACATATTTTTCTGTTGACATAGAATTAGAAATAAAATGTCAAAACTGTTCACGATGTCTGCTTTTTTTAGTGTTTTGCACCAGAAGTGGGGTTTCTATACATTTTAATCACAATTATTCTTGAAATTGAAAGAATTCAGATGATCTGAGTTTTTTATTTATTTGTTTATGATTGTTGTTAGGAATTTGTTTTTTTGACACTTTCAGTTTGAAATTTGTTTGTCATCATTATGTTTCAAAAGATTTTATTCTTTGCCCTGCTGTTTGGTCTCTGCATAAATGATGAAGGAAAATTTGACCCCACAAAAATGGATTATTGTGACAGAAAATGTCAGGATAAAAAATCTGTCGGTTGTGACTGTAAAACGAGAGGAACTCGGAAGGAATTGCAATTAGAAAAAATCTCGGATTTTCGACAACTAATTGTGGATAAACATAATTATTGGAGAAATTACCTCGCTTCTGGCAACGAAACGCGAAACTTTGCTAAATCGGTGTCCGATATGTTGGTTATGAATTATGACTTAGAACTTGAATTTTTGGCAAGATGTTACGGACGAAGCACATATGATGGAGATCACTCCTATTGTATAAAGTTGGAAAGATCCCAAAAAGCAGCGCAGAATACTTATGGTTTACATGGTTCGACGAACGATCCTCTTAAGCTGACTCAAAAGGGGATAGAAGCTTGGTAAATTAGAAGTTTTTCTATTGTCTTTCTATTTTTTATTTGATAGGTTTGGGGAAGTCGCTAATATGGAGGAGAATATGTATGGAAGCTTTCGTGTTTCAGCGAAGCCAACCGCAAACTTTATGACAATGGTTTGGGGAGACGCTAGCAGAGTAGGATGTGCTGTGATATATTCATCAGATACGAAAAAAGACAAATACAAGTATAAAGATATGGTAACAAGTCTCATCTGCAACTACGCTAAATCGAAGGGTTTTAAAAAAGACGTTCTCACTTGGGCGGCTCCGATACATACACAAGGACCACCTTGTACGAAATGTCCTGACATACCAAAATATAATAAATGTAACTCGAAGTACACCTCTTTATGTGGAGAACTAGAACCGGTCCCAACAGAAAAACCCTGGAATATGGACAAAAAAAAAAATAAGAGCTCTATTTCAAAAAACAATCTTTTTGGAGTGCTGGTTTTAGTTGTTTTATTGTTGGTGTTTCTGTAAAACTGTTTGAATTCAATTCATCATCAAAATTTTGAACACTTTTTTTTAGTATTTCGGTTTTGACTTTTGCTTTTTTTGACACTTTTATTACGAGAAATTATTGTACGTATTTTGTATTTAAAATTTTGAATAAAACAGTAACCAGTATTTTTTATTTCTGTTCAAATTATTATTGGTTTGGAATGTAATTAAATAAAATAAGGCTTTAGTTTTATTTTTTATACTTCTTTTTGAGGTAAGCGGTAATTTTTAATTGCTTATTATTGTTATTTTTTTATTGATTGTTCTTCTGGTAAAATAGTTTTATTTCATTTTATAAAAATAGCTGTTTATGTATCAAGTACGCAAAATGGGGTTTTAGGGGACGAATCGTAATTAATGACGAGGCGACGTAGGAGCGTACTATTTTATTGAGTTCGGAAAAGACTCATTTTAGGGTTTCAAATGAGTCCGCAAAATAGCTATTTTTGGGAGCGTATACAAAAAAAGTTGTTATGTTGTTCAAAATTTATTGAGCATTTTTTTCTACATGTTTGTTAATTTTCAGTTTCTACTCTCTAAAACTTGGCATTCTCTGTAAGTAATTACTAATTACCTATACAACACTAGTATTCTTTGGAAAAATTTTAAAAATTATTTCTCGAGTAGAGATAGGTAGTATTTTTTTAGAGAGATATAAACATTTACATATGTATACGTATATTATTTAATTTTTAAATATTTTAATTTCAGTTTTTTCTTATCTCATATTAAAGATAATTGATTTGAATAGCAAAAATTACTCTAAAACGTCGTTAACAATAAAATAGAAAATAACAAGGGACGCTAATTCTTTAAACAGCTAAAATATTAAAATTTAAAAATTAAAGTTTTGATGATACAACTTTGTTGTTTTTATTTTTCAAGTATGTTTTTTTACCTGAATTTGGGGTTTATTGAAAAATTCGTACATTTTCTTAATTTTTTAGTGGTTTTGAAAAAAAAAAAGATTTATGAAGCTACAAAGAAATGTGAAAAAAAAATAAATAAAATTAATTATACAGGCTGATTCATGAGGAATAATGAGTCTGACCAAGTTTTCGATGCAACCAACATTACAGTTGTCACAAAATAACTTGCAAAGAGTAATGGTGGTTGCATCGAGAATATGGTCAGGTTCATTATTCCTCGTGAATCACCTTGTATTTTGTTAATACTTTTTAAACTGTGTTTTTTGTTTGCACAAATTTTAAATAAAAAATATATACTTTACATAATATTCCATTGACAATTAAATTTTACTTGAGAATTTGTGAACTTTATACCTTGTATTATACGTTTATTCAGTTAATTTCAATTTTTTCATAAACTTACATTTTTTTTATCTTATTTTATAATTGTTATCTTCTTTTAAATTTATAATTTTTTTGTTACAAAGGTGAAATATTTTATTGAAATAATTGTTAAACAAAAAATAATTATTTATGTTGGTGTTTTTAGTCCTTAGGAAGTCACTTATTTGAGGTGCTTTTTTATATTGGCAATCATCGCAGAAAATTCCAAAGGGAAATCAGCGGTATTGCCAACTTAACCAGCGACATCTCAACCATTATCATAGACATAAAAGTGTGGGTAGAAGTATAACCTGGTCGCCATTATTATTGAAAAAGACAGCGAAATTATGGAAAAAGTGGACGAAATTTGAAGAAAATTTTAGTTGTGGCAACAAATGTTTGTTTTGTAATTAAATTGTGCGATTATGGTATTTTTTAAACAGTTTTATTCAACATGGCGGCTCGACATCTGCACTTTTATAAGTCTATGTCCGTGACCTTGACTATTTGTCAAATGCCTGTCAGCTGTCAATTTTGAAGTGTATTATCAATGCGGATTAAAGTAGTTAAACAAATTAATTCGCGTTATCAGGCGATTCCAGTTTGACAATGTTAGATATCCAAACACGTGAAAGAGCGACTTCCTGTTGACAAACGGCTCCACAACCCACGGCATGCCTTGCCACACATAAGCCCCACTTCCTGTTCGAAGGTACCAAAAATAGCACACTAATCCGATTTTAGTGGAATTTCGCGAATGAAAGTGCCTCATTTCGGCCCAATCTCGTAATTACCGCCAGTTTGCGCGCGACTAGACAATCATTCTCTTATCTATCAGTTCCTTGTCTTTGGTTATTTATAACCCTCCTCGGTATGGACGCGCGCTCTAAACGATGGAATTCGCGAAATCGGGCCAGAAATGACGCTTTAGTCGCGAAATGGTGTTCCGAAACAACGCCTTAGATAAGCATTTTCGCAGCTTTGACCAGGAGAGGATCAGGGAGATGTTCGGGATGTTCAACGGGGCGTTCTCGCCCTCGCCGGGCTCGGGATACATCCCGGAGATGGAGCAGATCATCAGTCAGCTCGAGAGGGGCACCCTGGTGATGAAGTACTCGCTGAGGAAGAAGGCCGAACACAAGACGTTGGCCATCAGGAGGGAGACGAGGCAGATTGTGTGGACGAGACCAGCCACCAACTCGAAGCCGGTGCATGACGGGGCTGTCGATCTCAGGAAAATCAAGGAAATCAGACTTGGGAAAAGCTCGAAAGATTTTGAGAAGTGGGCAGACGATTCCAAGAAAATCGAAAATCTCAAGTGTTTCGTCGTCTATTATGGATCCGAGTTCAAGCTGAGGGTTCTCAGCATTGCCGGTAACTCTTTCATTCAGAAAATGACTTACTACTGGTTTATTGATTGATTTTTATATATTTTAAACAATCTTGGAAACCATAGGTCTTTATAATACTAATTCTTTAAAAAAATAATGATTTATTGATACCACCTTGATATTGATTTAAAACCGCTATTCGTAAAACTGCCAATGTTTTAGAAATGTAATTCAAATAGATAACAAGTGTTGTTTATTTTGATAATTTATTGATTTTGAATGTTGTGTTGAAACTAGCACAGCTTTTAGCACATTTATTTGAGTTTGATGTTGCTTTTGATATAATGTACATTTTTCAAAAGTAGATGTCAACATTGATACAATTATGTATTTAATTTGTCTTTTGATAAATTATTCGTTGGAAATTGACGTAATAATGCAGAAACTTGCATTCGTTAATAAGAAAGTCAGCGTTAATGACTCACCTTGTATAATTAGGAAATAAACAAGTAATATCGAAAACTGTGCAAACAAAATGTAAAGTTTTAAGATGGCACTCTTAAAATAAACAAGATATAAAAATAGTAATTTATTTTGCTTTTAAATTACATACATAATTTTCCAGTTAGAGAAAACAAACGATAATTTTTTCAACTACGACAGTTTTAACAAAAAAATAAACAATCACCTTCAAACAACGTTATTGATAAATAAATTAATATAAAAAATGGATTTATTACGATCATTATCATCAATAGCGAAACAAATCTTTTATTACTAATACATTATAATATTTTTTGTCATAGTTATAATTAATATTAGTTTTGAGATTGTTAAGAATATATTAAAATCAATATTAATACTGTTGTATTTGATGTGTTTCAATATAAATTTTGGCTAAATCCGGTATGACTAACCAACTGATTCATCAAAATTAAAAAACTTCAGTCAAAAACTTAGAACTCTTGTGTCAAAATGACAAGTCACGTATAGTTATTTATTATACAAGACGATAAAGAAATTGTTTATCTACGAGTGAAAAGGTTAAGTTTACGAGTGACGAAGTCACGAGTGGATTTTTTTCAGTCTTTATCGTCGTGTATAATAGGTATTTCGTTTTATTTTAATCATCTACCAGAATTTCTTGAATACAGTAAAATTACTTTATTTCACTAGACGATTATCTACTGAAATTAGTTGATAAAATATAAACAGTAGATAAAAATTACTTTATTTTACTAGACGATAAAAGACTACTTTATGTACTGAAATTAGTAGATAAAAGCACTCTTTAACATTGAGTACAAAATAAAAAATTGAAGTATATAGGGTGTCTCAGTAAGTTCGAAAAGTCCATTATTGACCATTAAATGTTTAAATAAATTGCTCAACAATTTGAAAAAAATTTATGTTTAAAGAATAGCAATACATACTGACAATAGACTCGATTTCGAAAGGTCATATTTCTTCTGCATCACCTAAAATTAATTTCAAGAACACAGGATGTTTCAAGAAAAAGTTACAATGCAAACTTATGTTTTTTTTTTTAAATGATTCTATTTTTTTAACGTTTTTGGATGTACCTTATATTACTGGTTTTGAAATAATTTGATTACTTTTAAGATTCTTACGCTAAAACTAAAAATTAAAACAAAATTGTTTCAATTTAAAAGAAGAAAGTACGAGTTTGAGTGCTTTAACATTTAAAATTTATTTTTATTTGTAAACTTTAGACATTTGAAATTTTATGTTTTTAGTAAGACGATTTAATAATCTCTGAGAAGCAAGAACAAAAAATTGAGTGTTCCATTTAATTTTTATAAGTTATTCAACTTTTATCAAACTTCTTAATTGCAAAGCGTTAAAAAACTTTTACACTTTTAGTTTTAACTTTTCTCTAAAAAGTGGTGAAAATTTTACTTTTCTAGTATTCTCAGTTTTTGTGTAAAAGACTTTGTTTTTGTCAGAAAAATTAATTATGCAATTAAGCAAAATCGACCGATAAAAGTTTAGCTCAAAATAATCATACGTCCTAAAATGTAAGAAAATATAGGGTGTTTCATTCAAAAAAAAACATAAGATTGTATTGTAACTCAATTCTGAGACAACTTGTAGACTTGAAAATAAATAATTTTAGGTGATGCATAGGATAATGTCTATTAATTGTGTAAATAAATTTGAAAATGTTTTAACATTTAAAGGTCAATAAAGGACTATTACATATTAAAAAAAGTGGATAGAAATTGCATTTTTAAACGAAATGTAAGAAAATAAAAGCAGAAAACATTAAAATATAAAAATATTGAATGTGTCATTAAAAAATAAAACAATTTTTAGTTAACACCCTAAATACCAAAAACAGAATAAAGCAAAGCCTTCATTATGATTGTACAATATTTTTTTACTTAAAAGGAAGTATTCTTATCTTCCAACCCAATTTAATTAGAATAGAATTTTGAGGTATGCTTTTTATTAGATTTCTAATTTTTTGTGTTACGATTTTGTTTATATTTTTATAGTATTTTATGGTATGCTCCTAATGATTACCTCAATTATCTTCAGCTCTGTCGGAGAAAGAGTGTGAATTGTGGGTGAAAGGCTTGCGCTACCTTGTGAAGGACACAATCAACGTCCCCTACCCTCTCCAAGTACAAGTATGGCTAAGACGCGAATTCTACGCCATGGAGAACCCCACCGAGACGATAAACATTAAAGACTTGAAAGCGTTCCTACCTCGAATCAATTACAAAATTCCCACGAACAAACTACGCGAATTATTCAATGAAGTCGATACGCGAAAACGTGCCGAAATCGGCTTCGACGATTTTGCTGTTCTCTACCAGAAAATCATTTTTGACGAAAGTGTAAAGTATTAAACGTCATATTTACAAAATGTGTTATTTTTTCGTAACTATTTCAGAATGGTGCCGAGATTTTCGATAAACTTGCATTGTATTCGTCGAATTTGAAAAGTGTGAGTTTGCAAGAAGTGCAAAGTTTTCTATCGAAGGAACAGAATGATGATTTGAGTAACGATGATAGAGCCGTTTCGCGATTTATCTGTGATTTTTTAAAAGTAAATTTATGATTTTAAGTGGCGGGATTGTTGAATTTATGCCATTTTAGGACCCTCAAAGGGAGGTACAGGAACCGCATTTCACAATCAGTGAATTTCTCGATTATCTGTTTTCGAAACAGAACGATTTGTGGGATCCTAACAAGGATACGGTGTACCAAGACATGTCGAAGTCTTTGTCACACTATTGGATTGCTTCCTCACACAATACGTAATACAAAAAATAATTGTGGTGTTTTTATCTATTTTTTTTTTTCAATAGATATCTAACAGGTGATCAATTATCAAGCGAGTCTTCAGTCGAGGCTTACGCCAGATGTTTGCGAATGGGTTGCAGATGTATAGAATTGGATTGTTGGGATGGTCCAGATGGGATGCCTTTTATTTATCATGGACACACGTTTACCACAAAAATCAAATTTATGGATGTGATAAAGACAATTAAAGAGCATGCTTTTGCCACATCGGAGTATCCAGTGATTTTATCAATCGAAGATAATTGTTCGTTGCCGCAACAAAGGAAAATGGCAACAGCGATGCAGGTAATCGAATCGTTAAATAATTGATTCGAGTGTCGAATTTATCGCCCATTAATGCACATACAGAGTGACTCAGGGGTGTCTGTAAGCTCTATATTTTTTCTATCCAAGCTATGGACTTGATTTTCTTTTAAACGATATAATGAAATACATTTCGAAAATATTTTTATTTAATACAGGGTCTCCCAAAATAAGATACACAACTAACTTCTGTTTTTAAGTGAAAATTTTCGGTTTTTGCTACATTTTTCAAATCGCCACTAAATTGTTGATAGAATTATCTGCAATAGTTTTTAACTTATGTCAACAGTATAATTCATAACTTCAGAACCATTCTAGATAACGTTACCAACTTTTTTCCAGTCGATGCTTCAAATTTTAACGCATCTTTTGAGATAAAGGCGAACTCTGAGTCGATGTTTCATCGTCTACTACGATTTTTTTTTAATGACAAATTATAAATGGCAATAACTCGACTTTTTCAAGTACAACACCCCATATTTTATTGCATGATTGCATGGCATTTTTTATGAGCTTTTTGTCGATATTGGGTTTGTGGGGTCTATTTTGTAAAATTTGTGAGATTTTTGCAAAATGAGAAATGTGGGTTTCTTTAAAAAAAAAAAAAGGATTCAAGTAGACCGATGTCTTAAAATTTGACACATCCATACAATTTTGAAAAGAATATGTTTTAACAAAATGAAATTGTAATAGAAACAGAAGTAAATCACACAGGAAACAATTTTAGTAATCTTTATAAGACAGGAAACAATGTAAAAATTTTGAGAGAAGTCTACTTATAGAAAAGGCTCAAATAAGTTACCATTATGTTCTACACAAGTCTTCTAGTAAATGAGCTCCGAACTCTAGCAAACATTCCTTCATCGGTGAAATGGAAGACTTCGGTCAAATTTTACGTCAGCGGCTTACTAGATTCCTTAATTTCGGAAAATTTTGGAATATTTTGGAAAAATCTCAAATTTTACAAAGCAGATTCCATAAACTCTATATTGGCAAAAAGCTCATAAAAATGCTACACAACAATGCACTAAAATATGGGGTGCTGTATTTGAAAAAGTCGAGTTATTGCCATTTGTAATTTGTCATTTTCAAAAAAATCGTAGTGGATGGAATATCGACTCTGAGTTTGCCTTTATCTCAGACAATGCGCTAAAGCTTATGGAATCGACTGGAAAAAAGTTGATTGAGTTATTTTGAATGGTTCGAAAGTTATGAATTTTTCTGTGGTCTATGCTATTTTGACACATAAATTGACATAAGTCAAAGATAAGTTTAGATACGGAGAACTACATACTAGGAGACGAAATGAGATACAAAATTTCTCAATTTTTTGCATCCAAAAAAAATAGTAAAAATGAGGGCGCTTAGAGCGTTTTACCGTCTCAGTTTCAAATTCAACCAGTCAACTAATTGCTTGAAAAAAAAATACAAAAATGTTGAGGTTTACATTCTCAATAAGCTGTGAGAAATGAATAACTAAATTTTTCACGAGAAATATGAGAAAAAAATTATTTAAAATGTAAAATCCTTTTCATGTTTTTCAAAATGCTGCGAATACGGTTGAAGATACAACAAAAATGTAAGAAAGAAAGTTGTAGAGAATAAAATTTTCTAGTAAAAAGCCGCTCAAGCGACGGATTCGTTTTATTTTTACTGAAAACCGTTGAAGATAGAAATATGATCTTTTTTTGCAATTTTTTTTCTCTACAATTTTGTTTCGTACACTTTTTTCGAATCTTTAACCGTATTCGCAGCGTTCTCAAAAATATTGGACGGAACGCAAACTGATTACTAATTGTTTATAATTTATTTTTAATACTGTTTTCGATATTTTTGGGAACTAACGCTGCGAATACGGTTGAAGATACAAAAATGTATAGGGAACAAAGTTGTAGAGAATTAAATTTTCTACAAAAAGTCCGCAAGATCAGATCTCTATCTTCATCCGTTTAGGTTTAAATTAAATTTATGTTTTTTGACCACCGGTAAAAAAATTTTGTTCTCTATAGCTTTCTTTTTTATATTTTTCTTGTATCTTTAACTGTACTCGTAGCATTTTCAAAAATATGAGAAAAAATATATTTTTTTAAATATAGTTTTCAATAAAGTTTTTGCATTACCTGTATCTCTTATTATTGAGAATTTAATGCTCTATCTGTATATATTTTTTTATTTTTTTAAAGGAACAACTGCGCTACCTGGCCTCACTAAAGGAACTATCGAGAACGGGGACATTTTATTTTACATCGTGACGTATCCTAGTTTTTAGGTATCTGTAGTCTAAGATACAGGATGCGTTATTTCGATAATTTAGTGGCGAATTCAAAAATGTTACAAAAATTGGGGGTTTTAATTTTAATAAACAGAACTTAATTGTGTATCCTGTATTAAATAACAATATTTCTGAAATGTGCTTCATTTAAAAAAAAATTAAGTCGATAGTTTGGACCGAAAAAAAATTCTACAGCTTTCACGCACTCCTGGGTCACCTGTTTGAGTTATTAGATTGTAAAAATAATGTATCTCGATGTATTTACAAATATGAGGTTTTGAAAGGGAAAGAAAACTCATATAACAACACTTATTAGGGAAAATCGTTTTCATTGTCATTTTTCTCATTTTAGGAAGTTTTCGGCGAGTCTTTGCTCACCCACCCCGTGGAAAAAAACGAGAAACAGCTCCCCTCCCCCTACCAACTCCGTCGCAAGATCATCCTCAAGCACAAGAAACTCCCCGAAGGCCAAGACGAGTCCTCTTCGTTCCTCATCCGTAACGAAGGCAGCGAAATGGACTTGCGAAGTTCGTTTCGTAACGGTATCATGTACCTGGAGGACCCCGTCGACAAGGAATGGAATCCCCACTTTTTCGTCCTCACCGAAAACAAACTCTTCTACACTGACAGCTACAAACCCGATCAGGAATCGGAACGAAGCGAAGACGAAGATGACAGTGCTGCTGCTTTTCATCGTCCCAAGTCGGACGTACCGAACGAGGAGTTGCATTTTAGCGAAAAATGGTTTCATGGAAAATTGGCCAATGGTAGAGAGGAGGCGGAGCAGTTGCTTAAATCGTACTCGCATCTGGGTGATGGGACGTTTTTGGTGAGAGCGAGTGTGACGTTTGTGGGGGAGTATTGTCTGTCGTTTTGGAGGAATGGACAAGTGAATCATTGTAGAATCAGATCGAAGCCGGATAAACAACATACGAGATATTATCTAACCGATGCGAAATATTTCGATAGTTTGTATAGTTTGATTACGCATTATAGGAATTGTCCTCTAGTCACGGCGGAGTTTTCGATTACGTTACAAGAGCCGGTGCCTCAACCGAAGAAGCATGAAACGGAAGAGTGGTATCATAAACAAACGGGGAAGATGCAAGCCGATGAGATTTTGAGAAGGGTGAAAACGGAAGGGGCGTTTTTGGTCAGGCCGAGCGAGAATGATGCGAATTGTTACACGATTAGTTTTAGGTGAGTTGAGAGATGTTCAACAGAAAAATAAAAAAACGAAACAATAGAAGTGAAGCGAAAAAAAATATTTTGGACCAATTTTGTATTCTTTTTCTTGGTTAAAAATGCTTATTTAACCTTATTTAACAATTTTTGGGCCTCGTTCGGGAAATTTCCGGAATTTATTGAATTTCTTTCCAAAAAAAGCTTCTATTAAGCAAAACGAGATCTCTTGAATCTGTGGAATTTTGTGAATTTCTCAGAAAAAACACTTAATAATTCGCGTTTTTTTGGTGAAAATTTTTGAATTCGGAGAGTTTTTCCGTGATCAATATTTCAATTTCTGTGCCTTGCTAATTAGGCGAATTGAGATCGGGATTATTTTCAGTATAAAACTTGTAAGTCCAACGAAACAAGCGAGAATAACACATTTCAAAAATACTTTTGAACTTTTTGCTTTATTTTGGCGGAATCGCTAATTTAGTGAGTAAAAGCTGAAAATATTCAAATCGAGCAAAACAATAGAAACTAACTTATTTCAAACTTAATTTTACGATTTTTTGCTTTATTTTCGAAAAATTTTTCGGATCTAGTGACGAAACGAAAATAACTCATTATAAGTAAAATTTTACAAATTTCTGCATTTTGGTGAAATTTTTAGGATTTAGATTGAAAATACTCTAAATTGAAAAGGGCAAAAATATGACAATTTAAACCAAGTTTTTAAAATTTTGTGTTTTTTTTTAGCGAAATTTTTCAAATTTATTAATTATCTTTGTAAAAGTGCTCTAAAATCGAGTGCAAGAGATGAAAATAGTTATTTTTTTTCTTAGTTTTTTGATTGTGTGTTTTATTTTGTCAAAATTTGCCAAAAAATTGAATATTTTAGTTAAAAGCTTTTTAAATAAAGCCAGACAGTCTAAAATAATGCATTTCAGACCTTATTTTAACGAAATCTTTCAAATTTAGGAAGCAAAAAATAAAAAAAGATGAAACTTGTTAAATTGAGAAAACCAGGGGCGAAATTTTACAATTTTTTTTTTGAGTTTTTCTTTGATTTTTTTGATTAAACGAGGTAAACAGACAGAAACATCACATTCCATGCTTATTGCATTGTGGTGGGGGAATTTCTTGAATTAAGTGGTTTTCGCTGTTAAAAACCTAGGGCGAAATTTTACATTTTTTTTTTTTTTGAGTTTTTCTTTGATTTTTGTGAATAAAAATGCTTTAAAACGAGTTAAACAGACAAAAACATCACATTTCATGCTTATTGCGTAATTTTTTTTGCAGTGTTTTGGGGGAATTTCTTAAATGAAGGGATTTTCTCTGTTAAAAACAATGTAAATTGAGCTAACCAAACGAAATAGTTTCAGTTTTACATCACAATTTTTTTTGTTTACCGAATTTACTGAATTACACCGTAAAAAAACTAAATTCTGAAGAGGCGAAAATAACGAGTTTTTTACTTTTAGCGACTTTTTGTGAAATCTCAAATTTATGGAGGTTCTTTATGAAAAACGATTTAAATTGAGCAAAAAGGCGAAAATGACGTATTACAGGCGTCATGTTGCCGATTATCTTTAGGCGAGATCTAGAATTTTTTTATCAAAAAAAAAAAAACATTTTAAATCGTGTTTTTTTACGTTGTTTTGTTTTTTTTATCTCCTTTTAAATTAGATAAAATAGCCGAAAATAAATTATTTCAAAACTAATTAAGAGTTTTTATGTTCTACTTTGGTGAATAAAAGGTGAAAAACTTTCTAAATCGCAAAACAAGTGAAAATAACTCATTTCAGACTAAATTTTACAAATTTTTTGCCTTGTTTTAGGGAAATATCTCCGATTTTAGTGAATTTCGAGGTAAAAAATGATCGAGTAAAACAGCCAAAAATATCGCAGCTCAAAGTTATAATTGCAATTTTTTGTTTTGTTTTGGTGTATTTTCTTCAATTTAGTGAGTTACTCGGTAAAAAACGCTTTAAAATCTGGCGAAACATGCGAAGATGTAATTTTATTTTGTACTCACTGTTAAAGAGTGCTTTTATCAACTAATTTCAGTAGATAAAGTAGTCTTTTATCGTCTAGTGAAATAAAGTAATTTTTATCTTTATATTCAAGAAATTCTGGTAGGTGAGTACAAAATAAAACGAAATATTATACACGTCGATAAAAATTGTTTATCTACTCGTGAAAAATAAACAATTTCTTTATCGTCTTGTAAATATAATAAATAACTATTTCTCCATCGTTTTTTTAGTTATAGTTAAAAAAAATGTTTAATGTGATCATCCCTCATTGGTTGTAATCTATTTCAGGGCGGATAAAAAAATCAAACATTGTCGAATCAAACTAGAGGGCCGTCTCTACACCATTGGTAATGTCGAATTTGAAAGTTTAGTCGAATTAATTAATTATTACGAAAATCATCCGCTTTATCGACGCGTCAAATTGTGTTATCCAATCAGCGAAGAGGTCGTGAAAAGAATGTCAATGGTGAGTTTTTAAAAAAATTTATTCGAACGACAATTTTTTTTACATTAATTGCACGAAACCGACCCCATTACATTTTTACTAACAAAAAAACGAATACTAAATTACATAGAAATAAAATATTTTGCATTCTAAACCTACACGAGTAGTATACTGAATTTTTTAAGTCAATAGAATAATAAAAAATGAAATAATATACAAATCTATTTCTAATCAGTCTTGTGAAGATTAAATTGGGTGATTAGATGTCTTCAGGGCCCCCTTCGTATTGATTAGGTATCGCCACCGCCTTGATCACGTGAAATGTGGGTACGTAGGGCACTTGTAAATTCATATTTTCCGGTTGAAGCGGTTTCGGATAATAGGCAAACTGATCAAAATCCCACGGTTTTCTCACCGATTGTTCTTCCGGTGGTGAATACGGCACCGGAACCACAAATTTCAATTGTTGCTGATAGAGTTGCATGCCCTCTTCTGGTGATTTTTCCGTGGTTGTCGTTTTCTCTGTTGTAGTCTGACTAACCGATTCAGAGCCTCCAATCGGGTAAAACGACGGAAAAAAATTACGAAAATTATACCCCCCGGAGGCGGCAGTTGTCGTAGTCGAGGGCGGCGTGGAGGTGGCGAGTGCGATCTGACTTGGAATACTCTTGTGCCAATAATAAACCGTTCGTCCATCGCTCATGATTGTCTTTTGTAAAATTACCGGCTCGAGTTTAATGTATTTGACGGGGGCGGGTTTAGGGGTGGTGACTGGGGGTGGATCATCGGCCGTGATGTAATGGCCGTTGGGGGTGGTATTGCGAGGCGATGGTGTGGTAGCGAGACGAGCCAAATGTTGACATTTGATTTTGAGGTCTTCAATGGACAACGTTTCGGGTTTTTTTTGTTTGTCATCAGCAGGGTATTTGGTGATGACGGGGTAGTCACGGTGGTGGTTCGAAACGATTTGTTTGATGGCGTCGGTTTGACGCTGGACGAGCTCAGAGAGGGTTTTGTTGGGGCTGGTGGTGGTGGTGGTGTTGGAGATGAAGACACGGTCGGGTAAAGAGTGGGAGGTGGGGTAAGGGAGGGCGTTGGAGAGAGCCGCAAGCTGTAAAAAAAGTAATTATAAAAAAATATTGTATTTTGTTTCAAAAAAAAATAGAAATTAATTATTTTAGCGAATTTTTTATGACTTTAGTATTCAAAACTTATTTCTTCAAATAAGTGCAAATTTCGACATATTTTCAGTTAAATTTGGTTAATTTTTGATAACCAAAGCTTAAGGTTTTTGATGTACTTTGATTTTTTTGCTACTGACGATGTTACTAGAAGGAGAAGCTGGTTAAAAATTTCTAATTTTTAGTAAAATTTCCAGAATTCTCATTAAATTAATTATCAATGGTAAAATCCCGAGTGCATGCCAAATTGTCTAATAATTTTGTCTTGAGCACTTGACAAAATTAGAATCAATTTGGCATGCACGAGGGGTATTTTGCAGACTATTTCCCGAACAAAACTTACAAAAACAATATTTTCATTATGAGAAATTAAAAAAAAAAAGTCAATCTTTCAAATTTCTGAGATTTATCGAATCATCGACTCACGGTAATTTAGAACACGGGCATATCGATAATTTGCACATGTGTTGAATTATCGCATAATTAATTTGAATCTGATTAGATGAATCTCAGAAAATTTGAAAGATTAGATTGGCTTAAATTTTCTGAGGGAAATAGTTAAAAAAAATGTAAGTGTTCAGTTATCTGCCTGAAAAAAAATTAATTTAATAAATACATAGAATTTTTACAATATATCACAAAAAATAAGGTCAAGCTATAAGTTTCAATATTTTCCATAAAAAATGAAATTCTTAAACATAGTGTATAATTGAAAATGTTTTTTTGTTTAATAAAAAAAAAAATGTTCTTATACTTTTAATAATAAAGTCAGTAACTTTTGAGGGCTCATTAATGACTAACTCTATTTTAACAATATTGCCACATTATTCTAGAAATTCTTACAAGTTTTGCTTATTTTCTAAATGAAATAATAAATTGCAAAAGTATATAAAGTCGCAGTCAATTCATAGTGGTCACTTCCCTGTGTATATTTGTCACAATTGTTGACACAATTTAGTTAATTCTGCTACCAACATAGACACAACCCACACACTAGAGGTGGCGGATAGGGGTTGCCAACTTTGCAATAAATTAAATGGCCACTATGACTAATTGACCGCGACTTTATATATTTTTTTTATCGAAACTTTAAAATTTAAACCTCATAACTTCTAAATTTCTATAGATAGAATTTTTTTTCTCTGGGGCACGAGTTCAAAAAGAGAAGAGAAATAAAACAAAATTAAAAATAGTAGATGCGAATGATTAGCTTAGAATTTTGGTTATTTGAGCCAACTTTTATAATCATTTTTACTATTTATTTAGAATTTTTTAAATATTTTTAATTAAAAAATGCATAATTTTGATATTTAGAATTATTCACTATTCGTAAGTAGATTGACGCGAAATTTAAATTTGACATATTTTCATATGTAATTTTTCTGGTTAAATCTGTTTAATTATTGATTGTGAATGTTTTTTTAATGGAATTATTTCTGAAAATCTATGATGTAGATTTTWATTATTTATTGATTATTGTGTTTTTGTACTTTCAAAATTTTTATTAAATTAGAAATAATAACATTATTCAGAAATCTGGCCAGAACAAATAGGAAAATTGATATTTAAATAAAATTGTACGGAAATAAATAACCAAAAAATAGATGGTAATAATTATCTTAGAATTCCAATTATTATTTCTGTTATTTTTATTGTTTCATATTCTGACTTATTTTGAGTTTGTATTAAATATGTTTATTGAAAAATTACGTAATTTTGTTATTGAAAATTCTGAATCATAAAATTGGTTATTATTGCGAATATTCAAAAACTACAAATGAATTCAAAAAGTTCACTCCCATTCCCTGAGATAAATAAATCTCGATGAGCTTACCAGCAGGAAGACCGCCGAGACCCCACTCATTTTCAAAAGCTCCACCAATCAACTACTAATCAAAACAGCTCTATTTCGTGCATCTTGACAGCTAAACTACCATCGACTTGTTGCTTGAAACACCTTGCACTTGACAATGAAACCGAAAATCACTGTCTGTGACTCCCTTCGTAGTTTTTTAACCCCTCGTTTGGAATGCAGTTCGTATAATATATCTTTCTCTTTTTCCCACCATCCATCGGGGTGAAGAAGCGAAGAACAGGTTCTTCTTTCGATACGCGTTTCTAGTCGTCTTACACACTTTAATTATCGGATTATTTTAAATGTTTTCGTGAGTCAGTCAGTGGGTCGAAGAACTCGGAATGTTCACCAGATAATGTAATAATTTTTTGTGGCTCGTTTTTTTTTTTTCGTGATAAAAAATGGTTTCGGAGAGAGATACGGGTGGGTGAAATGACTGTAGAGAATTATAAATTATTTATGTGGACGGGTTGGTAAATGTGGTTGAATAATTTGAATTTTTAAAGGAAGAAGGGGTATTGTTATGGTGATGGCAAAGGGGGGTGTCGGAATGGTTAAGAATTGCGTTTTTAATGAGATGATTTAATTATTCTTGTAAGGGCAGTAAGCGGAACATTTATTCAACGTCTTTAGGAAACTTAACTCGCTTTCATAATTAGTATTCTAATAATTGGGGTATTAGGATTTTTTTTATTTTATTTTCGAGAAAATTAATTAATTATTTCAGTCTTTGTTAAACTTTATTAAATATCACTGTTTTTTATTCTATTTGTTTTGTACTTTGCATTCATTTTTAAGACGACATATTAGGATTGAAAGAAAAAATACAGAAAAATAATGTTTTGTGTTTTTATTCTTGAAAAGACTCCTGAACTTAATACTTATAAATTATAAACAGTTTTTATCTAATGTTTTGCTGATGTTAAAGTTCTTGCGAGGTTTTACTGAAAGAACTAACAAATATTTTAAGCTGCAAAAAAATTAAATACAAACAAAAAGAGGAGAGAAATAAAACAAAAATAAAAATAGTAGATGCGAATTTTGGTTATTTGAGCCAACTTTTATAATCATTTCTACTATTTATTTAGAATTTTTTTAAATATTTTTAATGAAAAAATGTATAATTTTGATATTTAGAATAATTCACTATACAGGGTGCGCCAGAAATCGCGTTCCAAAGAAAAATGCCATCCATGTAAGGTAAGATACCAGGAACATGGAAAAAATGTTAAAAAAATTCTATCTATAAAAATTTAGAAGTTATGAGAGTTTAAATTTTGCACTTTCACTTTATTTATTTCTGTCGGAAAAAAAAATTCCAAGTTTTTTTGCTACAGGCTATTAGAAGAGGACACAAGGAAGGTCTATCCTAAATTGTAACTCTGTTTAATGCTATTTGTGGCTTTTATTGGCAAAATTTATGTACTTTTACTAAATAATTAGGTATAAAAAAACATATACAATATCATCAGTGTCATTAAACAGACATGCAAAAATGTCAGATGTCAAAAAATAAATGTCAATTTTTTTTGACAGATAAAATTTTTTAAACATTTTTTTCATGTTTCTGGTATTTTACCTTACTCCAATTTTTTCTCTGGGGCGCGCGTTCTGACGCACCCTGTACGTAAGTAGATTATTTATTTAGAATTTTTTTTAAATATTTTTCACTAAAAATGTATAATTTTGATATTTAGAATAATTCACTATACCGAGGTAGATTGGCGCGAAATTTAAATTTGACATATTTGCATATGTAATTTTTCTGGTTAAATCTGTTTAATTATTGATTGTGAAAGGTTTTTTTTAATGGAGTTACTTCTGAAATCTATGATGTAGATATTTATTATTTATTGATAATTGGGTTTTTGTACTTTCAAAATTTTTATTAAATTAGAAATAGTAACATTACTCAGAAATCTAATCGGAACAAATAGGAAAATGGATATTTAAAAAAAAAACTACGGAAATAAATTATTTTTTTATTTATTATTTAATTTTTTTATTTTTTATTGATTAAGTATTATGTTTTTAACKTGCTTTCAAATTTTTTATTAAATTACAAATAATAACATTATTCAGAAATCTGGTCAGAACAAATAGGAAAAGTGATATTTAAATAAAATTGTCCGGAAATAAATAACCTAAAAATAGATAGTAATAATAATCTTAGAATTCCAATTATTGTTTCTGTTATTTTTATTGTTTCATATTCATACTTATTTTGAGTTTGTATTATTATTACATTAACTAACAAATATTTTAAGCTGCAAAAAAATTAAATACAAACCAATAAGAAAATGCAAAAAAAATAATTGCAAAATGATGTGAATAATATTGACAATTTAATGAACATTAACACCGCTACCAACTGGCAAAATTCAGGATTACGTCCTTTGAAGGATTTTACTTCAAAAAACATGGTTCAATGGTTCAGAAAATTTTCTTTTTTTCTGAAAAGATTTATTATTAAAAAAATTCGGTTTTTTTTTCAAACAAAAATGTTTATCGCTCAGGAACAAGACGACAATGTTGGCTACAATAGCAACCCCTCCTACATGGACCCCAGCGCATTCACACCCCCAAAAATCACCGTCAAAGCCCTCTACGATTATCGAGCCCAACAACCCGACGAACTCTCCTTTTGTAAACATGCAATCATCACAAACGTCACCAAACCCGAAAACAGCCCCGGTTGGTGGCGAGGCGACTACGGAGGCATGAAACAGCATTTTTTCCCAGCGAATTATGTCATGGAATTGGACAGGATGGACAGTCAAGACGGCAGCGATGATGGGGTAATATTTTTTTAAAGTTGGCAACATACACTATCAAAACGTCACACTTTTGTATGCCATTAATAATTCAGTGTAGCCAACTTAATTTTAAAGTCACAGGCCACTTTATTTGTATTTTAATTGTTTTGAAACGCAGTCGGGTGAGTCCATGCTTCAAGGACAGTTAGACATGAACGGCGCCGTCGTCGATCTTATCCATCACCCGGAACGACCGGGTCTCGAATGGGTGGTGAAGATTGTGACGTCGACTGCTTGCACGCCACTTGAGGTGGCGCTGCAGTCGCGAGAATTGGTAAGTAAAGTTTGGGTTTTTCCCCCAGGTTTAGGAAGCTTTTGTAGGCCGTGGAATGGATGCTGGCGATCAAAGAGGTGGCACAAAGGGCCTGCGCCCTCGAGAACCACCACCGTGAGATGGAGCGCACCTTCCGTATCGCTAAAGAAATGTCCAACTTGATAATTTATTGTCGTTCAATCACTTTCAACATCGAACGTGCGCGTCAGCAAGGTTTTATCTTTTACGAAATGTCTTCGTTTCCCGAGACAAAAGCCGAAAAGCTCATGTGTCAACAAGAGAAGAAGTTTTTCGTGAAATACCACCAACACCAATTCTCGCGAGTGTACCCGAAAGGTCAAAGGGTCGATTCGTCGAATTACAATCCTATTAATATGTGGAATATGGGGTCGCAAATGGTCGCATTGAATTACCAAACCGGGGATAAACCCATGCAATTGAATCAAGCCAAATTCAGGGATAACGGGAATTGTGGGTACTTGTTGAAGCCCGATTTTATGTTTAGGGATGAGTTTGATCCGGCTGATAGGAATACGTTAGTGGGGGTGGAGCCCTGGATTGTAACATTGAGGATAATAGCAGCGAGGCATTTGTTTAGGCCGAAAAAGGGAACGGCGAGTCCGTTTGTCGAGGTTGAGGTGATTGGAGCGCCCTTTGATTCGGGGACGAAACTGACCACCAAACCCGTCGGTAAGTTAGAGAACTAGAATTTTTTCAAACTTTTATGGTGATCTAATAAAATAAAAAGTCCGGCGAAACCTTGTACAGGGTGCTGCATTTGGAATGTCCGATTACGGAATCTCCGAAGCCAAAAACGAGTAATACATTCTGGTGTTCATTTTTTGAGAAAATAATATTGGTTAAAACCGCATCCCGCTATCGTTTTTTGTTTTCGACTTATAGACAAAAATTGACATTTTAGCGACATCTAAAAAAATTCATATCTTCGTTATTATAGAAGATACAGATTTGAAATAAAGGCATCATACAGGCACTTTTTTACGTAGAATTTAATAATGTAGTTAACAATTTTTTTCAGATGTTTGTTTAGCCGTAATAAAATAAACTTTTTTTTTTAAATAAACTTTTATTTTTTAAAATAGAAATCATAGATGGCTATGTCATATTTAAAAAGGTTATTTTTTTCTTATCTAAAAAATATATATTTGTAACAAATTACTATAATACATTTTTAGCAAAAAATTATCTTTGATTTTTGTTCGCAGTTGGCCATGAAAAAATGTTGCATCTTCAACTAAAAGGATTTAAACTATATTATTCACCCAGTGTCACTAATGAAAGAGTTTTCAAAGTACTAAGTAATGAAAAAAATTCAAAATAAATCGTAAATTAACTTCTTGGCGACTAATAACATTTCTTTGTTTTTAAACAAATTTATTTCGCTTTATTTCTTCAATAAAATATATTTTATATGACACAAAAATGACGATATGGCTATTCAAATACCCAAATTCCACCTATGTGGAACGTTATCCTACCTCCATTAGATCATCAAAAAAATGTTTTTTGTAATTGTGTAGACTGTTGTTGACATTTGTTTTTCCTATTTTTGGATTTTTTAAAAATATGTAATAATTTTGTTCTGAGGCGCTCGCATATTTGTTCAATACTTCCAACGTATCGTATTTTAATTTTTTTTTTAATTTTATCTATTTTTTCATCTACTTTACAGTTCACAAAACTCTTATTGATTATTATTTACACATTTGGAGTGAAATAGTTTTTCCATGGCCAACTGTTATCAAACAAAATATGTATTTCACTTTTTAAGTATAATTATAAAAAAAATATTCTTTTAGAAATAAATATTTTTTAAATCAGAAAAAATAAGCTTTTCAAAATTGCCATAGCCGCTATGATATCCATTAAAAAAAATACAAGTTTATCTTATTACGGCTAAACTAATAACTAAAAAAATGTTAACTACATTGTTAAATTCCTCGTAAAAAAGTGCTTGTATAATGTCTTTACTTCAAATCCGTATCTTTTATAATAACGAAGATATGAATTTTTTTTAGATTTCGCCAAAATGTCAACTTTTGTCTGTAAGTCGAAAACAAAAGTCGATAGCGAGATGCGGTTTTAAACAATATTATTTTCTCAAAAAATGAGCCCCAGAATGTATCACTCGTTTTTGGCTAAACCTCTTAGTTTCACCACCCGAAATTTCCTAATTTAGAAATATTTGTATTTTAATAATAGCTGATAACGGGTTTAACCCTCGATGGATGGAAGAAGTGGTTGAGTTTCCCGTCTACAACCCTTATTTTGCTCTCTTGAGGTTCCTGGTGCAGGACGAGGACGTTTTCGGCGAACCGAATTTCATAGGACAAGCCACTTATCCCGTAAATGCCCCCATTTTGAGCTAAAAACCCAATAATCGATTTTTTGTTTAAAGGTAACATGTTTGAGAACGGGCTACCGCAGTGTTTGGCTCAAAAACGCCTACAGCGAAGACCTCGAATTGGCCTCTCTCTTAATTCACATCAGTATCAAACGCACGTCCGTGAGTCCCCCATAAATCGCTAGCGCTTAAGAACTAGAACATGACAATATCAGACACTTGTTAAAAGACTTTCACGGTTTTTCAATCGCCTCATACATATCATCGAGATTATGTACCTTCCAAATCATATCATTTTTAAGAGATGTATATTTTGTATGAGATATAAATATATTTTCGGATATGCGGTCTTGTTTCAGGTGTGGATGCATTTTTTTTTTTCAAATAATCGTCTATTAAGCCAAATAATTTTATTACAATGTTATTTTTAGCGAGTTTATTGCCGCCATTAGTCACCCATTGTTACAGGCCTAAGACTGGTGCGACATTTTTACATTTATTGCAATAAATTATGAATTACCAAACTGTCATCTTGTTAAAGTTAAGAAAAATAAACGCTTTAAATGTTTCATCTCGTTGGTTTTTCCTCATCTTCAACATCTGGATCCCTCTGTTCCCCCAACATGATATTCAAATCGGCCGGTCTCCTGAAGTAAGTCTCCATGAGGATGAAAATTCTCTTGTCCGTTTTTGTCTCAATAACAAATCTGTTTTCCTTCCAGGGCACAATCCCTGTCTCTCTCCCATGAAACACTTCGCCCCTCATAAACTTGAATCTTTGTTTTCCAAACGGTCCATAATTTATCGAGATGTATTTCGTCGTTTGGGGCACTTTGTAGATCCTGATAGGGACTCGTCTGACCATAGTTTGTATTGAAATTATAAACAAGAAGAAAAACAAGATGTAAATCATTTCCTGATTACCGCTGGCTCTAGTCGTAGGGCTCCATTTGGTGACCTCGCGCTGGATATCGTCGTAATCGGCCTTCAATGCGTACCCCATGAACACAGCCCCTCCAGCCAGCAGTGTGATTATTTGGGCCCCTAAAATATATTTACTCATCGTGTTTCTATAAATCAAATCGTACGTGTCAGGGATGTCGTCCGCAACCTTCAAATCACGCTGAGAAGGCTTCAGCCAAAACCGGTAGAAGGAACGAGTACCGGTCGGGGGACTCTTTTGTGGTGATCCCGATAACATGTGAAACCTTATTTTGGGGATTAGCCTCATCCGGAAGCACTTCTCAAGGACACAAATGCCCCGCAGGTGGCCAAATAGTGCCATTTCAGGGGCAATTTTCCAAAAATTCGATTCGAAATTTGGAGGTTAAAACTGGTTTCAGTGGCCAACCTTGCAAAAACAAATTCCCCATAATATTTAATTATTTTTTACTTAAAAAAGGGACGTTAAAGGTACAAAAATGATTTCTGTTTGTAATATGGATTCTTTTTGCGCCAAGATAATTAAATGTTAGCTTTTTTTCTGTTTTTTTTTATTTGTTCTAGATTTTTCCGTCATTGTGTATTGGCGGTTTTGTGTAACTAAACTTCTAATTAACGGGTAAATAATAAGGATTGTTTATAACTCGCGTTGCGTTTAGTATAATCAAATATGGTGCTATTTTTTCATGTTCTACATTTGTTTTGGGTTTTTTCGTGTTGGTGTGTTGGCAGTTATGTAAAAACCGTTGAGGAAAAAAGTGACAATTCAAATTCGAACTTATCAAACTTTTAATTTCCGCTGAACCGTGTAATCAAGTGAAGTCTTGTTGTTGTAAATATGTCCCAAAGGAAGCCCCCCACGTGCCAGAATAAAGAAAACAATGTTCCTCGAGCTGCCCCAGTACAAAAATGTTCGGTCAGGAAGGGCCCCCCAGTTCAAAAAACTGGTCTCTCCGAGAACAAAACACAGAAACCTCGGGTAACTCCGACTACGAGTGAAGCTCCGGCTTCTACTAACGCCCCCAAAGACAAGCCTGCTCAAAATTCGAAGACAAATAGCAAAGACACCTCCAAAGGCCGTTGCTGGACTTTAGCTGACTTCGACATCGGTAAGCCCCTCGGTCGGGGCAAGTTCGGCAACGTGTACTTAGCCCGTGAGAAACAATCAAAATTCGTCGTTGCTCTGAAAGTGTTGTTTAAAAGCGCAATCAAAGAATTCAACAACGAGCATCAAGTCCGTCGCGAAATCGAAATTCAGTCGCACTTGAGACACAACAACATCCTTCGAATGTACGGCTATTTCCACGACGAGTCTCGCGTCTACATAATCCTCGAATACGCCCCAAACGGTAAGCCCCCTACAGACACAACCCCAACTAACCCACCCCCAATTCAGGCACATGCTACAAGGCCTTGCAAGCAGCCCCCAATAAACGCTTCCCTGAGGAGACCTGCGCTCGCTACATTCGCCAAATCGCAGACGCCCTCAGCTACTGCCACACGAAGAAAGTCATTCACAGGGACATCAAACCCGAGAATTTGCTCCTGTGTGCCCAAGGCCAGATCAAAATCGCTGATTTCGGGTGGTCGGTGCACGCCCCTGAGTCTCGTAGGACCACCTTGTGTGGCACACTTGATTACCTCCCCCCGGAAATGGTCCTGGGGCAGACGCACAACGAAAAAGTCGATTTGTGGAGTTTGGGAGTATTGTGTTTTGAGTTTTTAACCGGAAAGCCCCCTTTTGAAGCCACCTCGTACGAAGAAACATACAGGAGTATAACCAAGGCGCACTACACGATTCCACCGTATGTCTCAGAGGGGGCCCAAGATTTGATTAGGAAATTACTAGTTGTTAATCCCAATGATAGACTGGAGTTGAGTCAGGTAATGAAACATCCTTGGGTAGTATCACACACGGAGGCTCAGGGGAGCCAATAATTGTGATTTTTATTTAAAATAGACGAAACACTGTTTTGTGTATTTTTCAGACTGTGTTTTTTGCCATACAATTAGATGATTTTTATTATTTTGTGAAATACAAATTGGTTCAGAAAACTATAAATTATTTATTCACCTAAATCGTAACATTTTTTACCGTTTTTTGGCACTAATCGCCGACGCATTCTGTTTTGTTGGATCATATTTGTAAGTTTTAACAATGGGGCCTCGTCCAGCCTTCTGAAACTGCATTTCGTCTATTCTTTTCCGTTCCTCTAACTCTCGTGTGATTTTTATATTGGTCCACGCTGTAAATAAACAAATTAAAATAAATCAACATTAATTTTTCCACTTACAATCTTTTAAACCCTCCGTGAACCCTTTAGGTTTCATTGGCAAATTTTTGTGGGTCACTAAAGGCTCAATTTTGAAGTAACTCCTAACCGTTGGTATTTTTAAAAAGCCGACTTGGAGCAACGAAATAAAATTTGAAGACACCCAGTAACACAAAATAGCCCCTGGAAAGTTAATAGTGAACGGTAGGACAATCACAGGAACTGCTCTTAGCACATATTTCATCGTCTGTAAATTCTGTGATGAAAGTTTTGCGGTATCAGTGCCCAACTGAAATTAAAAAAAAAATAAAAATTGCGTATTTGGGGCTAAAACCGTACTTCAATCGTGGCTAAAAGTGTGGCACTTGTAATTATAGGCATCAAGAAGTACTGGTCAGGGACTGTCAAATCTGTAAACCACCACAGCCCCCCTGTCCTCAAGCTCTCGACCGGGACATTGGCCATTTCTCGCAAAGCCATGAAAAATGACACAAAAACAGGCATCTAAAATTAACAATTACAAAAAAAATCGGTCAAAAATCACAACAGTACTTGTGCTAAGGGCACTATCATATTTTTGAGCGGATTTAACTGTTTCTCCTTCATGAAAATCATTAATTCTTGCGAATATCGGGCCACTTCCAATTGGTTCCCTGTTTGTCTGGCTTCAGTCATTTTCAGCTGAATTGCCTGCAGTTGGGGCATGTAATTGTTCATTTTGGCGGCGTTTCGTTGCGCTATGATGACTAAAGGGAATAAACAAATTCGTATAACTAGCGTTCCTATGACTATAGCCTCCCACCAGGGCACCCCCAGGTTGATGTGAAGGTACTCGAAGCATGATTGGGCTATTCCCACCGGTGTGTTGCCCCCGAGCCCCAACGAGGCGAATGTGGGCTCGCCTAAAGCATTGATTTGACTGATTACTTCAGGCGCGGATTCTAGGGCTTGGGGCGCCTCTGGGGGGACCGGAGGGGGCTCAGGGATCGGTTCTATGACCACTTCGGAGGTAGCTGACGCTGCAACGGTACTAGACGCCCAAAATTGTGTTCTAGAACGGCTTTCGTTTTTCTACAAAAGTGAGGTTATGTTGACTATCTTTCACAAAATTTAAATACCTTGCAACTAAACTTATCCTGAATTGAAGACAATGTTTTCGTGAATGTTTTAACTATTGTGAGTTCCTGTAATTGAATTACGATTAGTTCGTACTCGTGATGTAACCAAACTTTTTTACGTTATATTTTTCGAAGTGGGTGGAGTTTGACGATGGGGGCGCACTGGAATTGTGTAATGTTTCGACTGTTGTGGCCCCACACTTGGGTTTAATGTTCTGTTGAAAGAAAAAGAAGAAATTGACATAACCTCAAAATTTGACATTTTTGGGAATAATTCAGTTAGAAAAATTAGACAGTGATTATTACCTGTGCCCCTTTAATGGACCTGGCAAAGGCTTTGTATTTCGAGACTAAATTTGTTCTATTAAACATTTTTTTAATTATTATAACAATAAATAAACACTAGTGTGCACCGGAGAATGGGCCTCAAGATGGCGCTGTGACCATTAGCGTCATTTTCAAATTGTTTTAATTGATACTAAACAAATATCTTTGATTGTTTATTGCAAATTACATTACAGGTGAGTTGAAGCTCTTCATACAAAATAAAAAACAAAAATGTTTGAGTAATTCTAGTACATTCAAATTTAATTTATTCACGGTTGCAAACAAGTTGCGATAAGAATTCCACAAGCGTCCTCGTGGGCCTTCCACTCATGCCCTGCCTCAAATAGGGGTAATCCAATCCGTTGCTATACATCACTCCATACGTATCCATATGTAACCAATCCCCACACGGCACAAACTCATTCAAAAACGCCGCCACTCGGCACGCCTCACCATCTTTCGGCTTGAACCCTCTCCCGTAGGTTTTAACATCAACGGCTGAGTGGTGCCTCGCCACCAAATGCGTGAAATGCTCCCACAGAGGGAACCTCCAGACTCTATCCCCTGTGTGCATCGACGCCGCCAACATGTACTCCCACAACGCCTCCGAGTTGCTAAAAACGCCACTCGCGGCCTTCCCCAGCGACTTCTTCATGTCGCTAGTCATAGTTCCCACGTCCACAATGAGGCGTGGCCAGAAATTCTGGGCGTAGACAAGGGCGTCGGCTAGACACAGCCGACCTGCGGTGTCCGTCGACTCGATTTTGATGCTTTTGCCATTCATGGCCTTGACGATGTCCCCGGGCCGCATGGCAGCGCACCCTGGCATGTTCTCGCAAAGGGGGATGAGCGCCCGGATGTTGAGGGGGAGCTGAAGGCCGGCCACCGCCCGACAGGCGGCGACTACGCAAGCCGCCCCGCCCATATCCCCTCTCATTTTCTCCTGTTTGCCGCAGGGTTTGATACACAACCCGCCACTGTTGTAGGTTATGCCTTTGCCAATGAGGACGACGGGGCGTTCATCACGCGCCGCCCCGTAGTAACTCAACTCGAGGAAAATGGGCGGTTCGCAGGATCCTTGGGCGACGGCCAAAAACGCAAACATTTTCTGAGTCTCCGCCCACCCGCGGACTTTAACCTCAACGTTGACGCCCGATTTGCACAAAACCTCGACTGCGTTTTGCGCAAATGAGGTCGGAGTCATGTAATTGGCTGAGGTGTCCATCAACTGTCTCGCTAGATTCTGGGCGGCGGCTTTCTGCAAGCCGATTTGCCAGCCGGTCCAATCGCAGTCGTCCCACAATTCCAGCTGGGGGATCAGCAATTGGTGCTCTTTCTTCTTCTTCTCCTGGAAGAGCCACACCCCGAGCGCCGCCCCCTCAGCCGAGCTCTCCGCATGGCCGAAGCTCTCGACGAAGATTTTCGTCGCTCGAAGGTCCTGGAGGGCGCGACAGCCCGCTGCCGCCGCCACCCGAATCGACTCCTTCCCCTCGTCCATTTGCTCGAAGACGTCGTACCCTTGACACTCCTTGCCGAGTCCGACGACCGCCACCGAACTTATCTCATTCTCCAGGTTGTAGAAAATCCGGACTTTGCCCTTGGTGGGTGGGGGTCCCGCATAGCGCAAGAGGTCAATGAGGCGGTTGCAGACGAGGCGGTTGTAGCGTTCGCCGGTGGGGGTGAGTTTCCCGGGGTCGAGGGGGTCGTCCGGGTTGGTGTAGATGCCCAAGACGAGGCCTTTGTTGAGGTGGGCCTTGCAAGGGTCGTCGTCTTTGTTCTGTTGACCGCAGCCCACCCCTCCCGAGGTGTAGCTGCGCACCAGGAGGCAGCGGGGGGACTTGAGGAGCTGCCCGATTATACGAAGTGCCATTTTCTTACTTACTGTTGGCCGGAGGTTTGCTTCATTACTCACAATTTTTGGGTTTGGGAGGATTTGTGTCAGAAAATTTTCGAATGATTTTTTTGTTTATTTGGTTACGTTGGCGATTGGGGTTTTTGGCTAATCAAAACGGCTGCTTTATTTTTTCAAAAAGAAGGGAAATGAAATGTTGAGATTTAGATGCCAACATGTTTATTTCGACTTTGTAAATACATGCATAAATAACAGCGTTATAATATTTATTATTATTCTCATTTCTGCACTTGTTTCGTAAACGTCTTGTACAGGCTAATAAAATACGTTTTTGGCAAGTCGAATTTAAGATATGTATAGTATTGCCACCTATATGTATAATACTGATTTTTTCCTATTGAAACTCTCTAATTTTGTAGTTCCAAAGGTAGATTTTAAAACTAGTGTTTTGAGTATAATTAAGTCTAATTAATTGAAATTTCAATTCCTATTTTTGAAAATTTTTCGTAAAATTCTATCCGAAACCGTGCAGTACGATATTCAAGACGGCATTTAGCCAAAAATTATACAATACCGTTAACAAACCCCTACTATATGCCTTCATAGAATACGAATTATAGAAGGCATCCATCCATTCAAGCAAAAGTTTGTAATACTAATACGAGCTGCGTAGCGGCGAGTTGAAGAACAAACAATTGCTTGTATCTGTAAGAGCTTACACTATTTTTGCTATTTTGCGCTTTTTACATCGTTTTTAAAGAAAAAAACTATTAGTCATTGTGCTTAATTTGGAAATGAATTCTCATGTTCGTCACCGACAATTCGAGAATGTTATTGAATGCTGAGAAGCTGTTAACACACGCAAACGAGTTCGTTAATAGTGTTGAAAAAGACGCAAAATAGAAAAATTAAATTTATGATAACAGTGCCTGCGATTCTTCATTCAAGTTTGCAACTCTGAATAAAACACAGGCCACTTTGTATGCAAATTCAATTATTGCGGTTGGATAAGAATAATCACGTGGTTTGTACAAAATGAAATCACGTGATGAATCTAGCCAATAAGAGAGCCAGGATTAGGGTTTATTTCGGTAGATGAGTCCAATGATCACTAGATGATTTTGAAGATTTAAGAAAATTTGACACAATTTACTTTGATTTTCTTCACAACAATATCTGGTTTTGCATTTTTTATAACGGAAGTGACCAGAATTTTGGAAATAGACTTTGAAAAATGGAAAAACATATTTCAGATTTGACTTCGTATACAATTTTTTTTTAATTTGAATTGTCTAAAAATTTTGACACAAACATAAAACAAAGGAAGTTAAAAATCGATGGGCGAAAAAAATTCTTATACGCTTATACCAGTGATTATCAAACAATTGTATGTAGTAACTAACGGCTTCGAAATTTGGCTAATCCAAAATTTTGTTAAATTACTAATTTGCATTTGAATGTTTTTTATCTATCACAATTTATTACACATTTTTTGAATCGTTTATACACATACAGGGTGATTCAAAGGTGGAAAATTCTCCTTTAATTTTTGAAGTTTTTGTCTTGGTATACAACATACAGGCTACGCCAGAAGTTGCGCCCCAGAGGTAAGATACCAGGAACATTGAAAAAATGTTTAAAAAATTCTATCTATAAAAATTTCGAAGTTATGAGAGTTTAAATTTTGCACTTTATTGTCTCCATTTATTTTTGTTGAAAAAATAATTTTCCAAGTTTCTTTATTACAGAGGCTATCAGAAAAGAAAACTAGGAAGCTGTACCCTAAATTGTAACTCTGTTTAATGTTATTTGTGGCTTTTATTGAGAAAATGTTTGTACTAAATAGTTGTAAAAAAAAACATATACAAAATCATCAGTATCATTAAATAGACATAAAAAAATGTCAAATGTCAAAAAATAAGTGCCAAAAATTTTTGACAGATCGAATTTTTTAAACATTTTCTTCATGTTCCTGATGAAATTTTTCTCAGGGGCGTGGGTTCTGACACAGCCTACATCACTTTTCTTAATGGGCAATCCACATAGTTTTTCACAAATATTCACTTGCAACAAAAATTCATAACCCAGTGATATTAGAAGAATGCCTAATAAAATTTTGAAATTTTCTAGATCAATAATTTAATGTTTTTCTTAGATTTCCAAGTAAACAAGATGTTTGACTTTTTCAGCACCCTACTTAACTTTTTTTTCATTAATTTTGCTTGCTTGTTGTATAACACTCTGTTTTTATAATTATTTTTCACGCACAACCTTGAAAGTATTTTTCCACCCTTGATTTTTCTACAAACTTAACAATAAATGCTTGAAACAATAAACAACCACTTCTTAGGCTTTTGCATAGTTTTCTCTCTTATTTCTATATAAATATGTCTAAATTTGACAACCAACTCGGGCCACTTCAGGATCACAATTGAGAAACATTGACCAAAACAAGCATAAAATTTCCACTTCCACTTGTGGAGATCACATCAAACTCTTAGAAGTAAATTACCCGTTGTGATTGGTCCATAACAAGCATTTTTACAGGGCTGTTATCTGCACTTTGCTGTCATTCGTGTTGGTGCTGATCTGATGACCAGCATGTAGCTATAGTTATGTCTGCGATTGGGCCAAAGACGCACTCGTGGACTCCTTAACAATGTGAGTTTTGCTGTTTTTCTCATCGAGCCAATCATACATCGGGTACTCGCAACAGAGGAGGAACTTGAGGAATTGGGGCACTTCGACGTAGATCCCTGGCGGGATGGGGATGAGAGGACTCGTCGAAGACTTGTAGTAGCGATATTCGGAAATGCTACAAAGAGTGATTTAGTGTATTTTTTGGTCAATGACCGACTTACTCTCTGTATTTGTCGTCGGAAGACCGTTCCAGGAGTGGAATTCCTGATAGGAACAATATGATAAGGGTTGTGAAAATGGGGGACAAGATGGCGATCCATTCGAAGCCTTCTAAGACGTTCAAAGATATGACGAAAATGCCCCACCAGAGGACGATCTCGCCGAAGTAGTTTGGATGGCGTGATAACCGCCAAAGGCCGTCATTGCACCATTTTCCCTGGTTTTCTGGATCTTGCATAAACGAGAATTTCTGCAAGTCGGCATAAGTTTCGGCAAGAAATCCAACTACGAAGAAACAAGTCCCAGTGGAGTCCAAAGTCGTCATGGTTTTGGGGGCGGGAGGAATGGAGTGACGAGGAGAGTTGATAATAATGACCGGGAGGCTCACCACGTAGACCCAAACGGCCTAAATCACACAAAAATTACCAATACAAAACAATTTTTCTATTTTAATTAGTGTTGGGCACAATTTTGACTATCGAATAATCATTTATCGAATGATTTGAACTATCGAATGAATCATTCATTAAAAATTCATTAATTGAAATAAATCAATCGTTTGAGCAAATAAATGATGGTAGAATGATTCATTCGATATTTCAAATCATTCGATAAACTCAATCAAAATCATGTATCCTACACCTGCGACATCAGAACCTGCAGAAAGAATTTTTTCAAAAACAGGACAGATAATGACTGAAAGGCGAAAAATTTAGACCGTATTGTTTTGTTTTTTTTTTTTAAATAGCAATTTCTTAAAACCCAAATTGTTTTCATACGCGCACGTGCTTGGGAAAATTTGATGATTTTTAACGAATGAATGTATTCTCTACTATCGAATAATTCTAATGATAGACAACTATCGAATTATTCGTTAAGATTCATTCGATTAGGGCCGCCGCACGAGGTTTCAACGCCTGTGTGCAAAATTTGAATTTGGCGCCCTCTTTTTTTGTTAATAAAGTATGGGTATTACCTATAAAAAATATATACACAGAATTTTGTTAAGATTAAAAACTAATGAAAATTTGTATTAAATTTGTTTATCAAGAAGTGTTAATAAATCAAAGTAATTAATTAAAAAGTATTTAAAATGTTGTTTTCTAGAGTTGTAAATAATCAAATAAGTTTTACATTGAAAATTTTACTTAAAAAAACTGTACTTTTTTAAATTTCATTCTACCTCTACAGTCCCGTTTAATCGAATTTGATAAGACTGAGAAGAGGACCAACGCTACGAAATAAAAATTCGGTTCAAGCGGAACAAAGAATTTTTATATTTTTAAGCTTTTATTTGAATAATATTTTATAAAATGAAATATTACATTCTGAAGAAAATTTAAACTTTTAAAACTCCGCATCATTTATTTTGTTTAAAATATCAACTCAAATTGTAATGAAAACAACTAATACGATTTTGTAAAGGCATGTAAAGGAGTTTTATGGGTAGTAGCAATATTCCAAGAATCATCTTCAAATATTTTAATCAGAGTATAAAAAAGTCTACAGATATGATACCAAAATTCTTTAACTGCTTCTATTCTGCTAGAAAAAAATTAAATTTCTTGAAATAATTTGAAAAAGTGATATAGTTTCATAGGAAACTTTACTACTTGTCACTTGCCTCCGCCCCCCTAATTAGAGTACATAATTTCTAATATCACCAATAGATTCATTCAAATTACTTCAGATGTAATCTTTTGTAAATTTATGTCCACCGGTTACTGAGATAATGGAAAAAAAGATCTTGTACCTTTTTTTAGCTCGCTTTTTTTTCTGAACATAGGTCTTTAGATTTTTTTTTTCTTCTTTTGACGTAGCAGACCTGCCCCCACAATCTTTCAATATTTTTCCGGACATCCGGACCTCCAGTATGATGACTTTCTCCGCATATTGTTTTAAATTATGTTTATGTATTTTAATTTTTTTGCATCTTTTGTTGTTTGAGTAATTCAATTTTTTTATTTATGGTTTTATTAAAATTTGTTGCTCGTCTGGCGCCCCCTGGACATGGCACCCGCGTGCCCCGCTTGTGGCGGCCCTGCATTCGATTGTGCCCACCACTAATTTTAATCACCTGGAAGGTCCAAAAAATTGCAAAGCGAATTGTGTTGCTCTTCTTATCCTCAAACTGCTTATCTCTCCCAATTTTGATTATCCTGTACAAGAGATAACCGGACAGACGCATCCCCCAGAGACAGACAAAGATGGTAACCATGAGTTGGCGACTGTCGTAACTTTTCTGTGACAAAATTTGGTATCAAGTGATAAAAAAATTGAAATTGGGGTTACCTTGCCCCCACTTTGGCCACAAAAAAACGTCAACAAGGCAATAATAATAAAATTGATGCCTCCTGCAAAATCCGTCACTTTGTCCATTTGGAAAGTGGCAGCGATTATGAAGAAGATTATTTGCATGGTCACTGTGACAATGGCACTGATGGCAAAGTGGTCTTCGTCGAGGATTTCCACAGCCATTTTGCGGGATTTAGCACTTTGATTGTGTCCTTGTCCTACAAAAATGAAATTCCACGTTATTTATTAGAAATATTGTTTTAAAGAAAATTTTCCGGAGGGAAACCAAAACCCAGCTATGATCGATTTAACAAATGAGATGTTGCGCCATATTTATCGCAACACCCATTTTTTTCTCACCTTCATCTTTCAAGATGAAACAGTTAATTACTTACCAAACACTAAATTAATTATTTTTAGCCCCAGATTAATCAAAGTCGGGGTCAGAATGAGTCATTTGAAACGAATTGTGGAAATGTACACAACTTACAAAACATTTTGGTGAGGATTTGTCGTCGCGACGCCGACGTCGCTGCTTCCCCTTGTGAGTCAGTAACAGCACTGGTGATCTGACGGGAGGAATGCGCAAACATCGACGCTGATTCATTCCTTCTGGACTAAAATTAATTATGTTTGTCTAAAGTTTTTCACTGAAAACGATTTTTGATTACTATTATTTTTTTATATGTAAATTTCTAACTTGTAATATAATGAAAAGTGATTTTGGTTTGTTTGAGCAAAGTCTGACAAAATAAGTGAGTTTTTAATGATAAAAGTCAGTTTTTGGCAAAAAACGTGCTTAAATATTCAAATAACACAAAAACAACGTTATTTTCGACGCGAATTTGCAATTCATGACATAATCAAATATGTTTTTGACCTATTTAAGCGAAACAGCATAAAGAAAAAGTAAGCTTTTGGCTCTAAAATAGCAAAAATAACGTCGATTTTGATCTAATCTAAGAAAACGTGCATGTGTGTAGCGTTGGTTGCATAAGCTGTCAAAGTTATATTGCTAAAAAACATGTTTAAACGTTTGAAAAGAGACAAAAGCAATGTATAATAAAAGAATTTCATTGTGATACCAAGTGCAAGTTTATGTGGTTCAAGGGAAGTACGGGAAATAACGTCTTCTTGCACAAGAGTTAAAAATATATATTTGATTAAAACTGACGACGAGACATGTTTCGAGAACCATCTGGTTTCATCTTCAGTCTAATTGTTAATAACAATATACAAATTTGACAAGATTAACATAACATTTTTAAAAAATTGTAAAAAAGTAAAAGTGATCAAGGAAGCTTCACTTCCTCGATGATCACGATGTTAAAAACAATGTTTTTTTAAAGCAAATTAAACGATTTATTAGCTTCTTTGAATGAAATTTTGAGAGAACTTCAGTTTGTCACCTAATAAACAAGTTTTTTTTTATTAAAAAATGTAATATCTTAGCTAATTTTAACTTAATTTAATAGACAAAAATGATGTGATTTTTTTGGTAATCATACGATATTTAAACTTTTAAACAAATTTTAGTGGAAAAAGTAAGTTTTTACCAAAAAATCGTGTTTCAATGTTTGGAAAAATAAACAAACAAAGTTATTTAGATGCTAATTAGATAATTTTTGAACAAAAAATAAGTTTTTTTGCCCGAAAAAATAATCCATGTTTGTAATGTTAGGTGCTTAAAATATTAAATTTGTATTTAAATTAAAATTTATTGTTAAAAGTTGCAAGTTTAAAAAAAGCTATTTCTCATAATTTAAGCAATTTTTTTTGGCTTTTTTGAATTGTGCATGATTGTAATGTTGGTTGCATAACATCTTAAAACTTAACGGCCTTAGAAAAAATGAGAGTATTCCTCAGCACTCAAGTTTTTTTTTTCTCTCCAATAAATTTCATTTTCGCCATAAAAAAATCACTTTAGTGCATTGTTATAATTTAACGAAATAAACCCTCAATTTTGGTAATTAAATATATATTTAATAAGTATTAATGAATATTATAAGATAACATAATTCACTGTGTAACATACATAAAAAGTGATAAAATTTAAACAGCAAGTCCAGCCTTTTGACGACACTTTTGCATCAAGGCCCTCAGCATAAACTGCTTCCTAGACAAAGTCCTAACTTGTCTAAGAAACACATCTAAGTCAATAACACCGCATCTTAAGGCCTCCCCCATGTAATAAATTGCATCCTCTAAAGCGGCTTCCTCGGCAAACGCATTCAACAACCTAAAAAATAAAAAAATTGTAAAATCAAAAATTGGTTCCAAAACAACTCACTGTTTGTACAAGGGCGCTGTAGTCGTCACAGCATCATCAACATCGATCTCTTCCTCATTACTCAACCTTTCGATCGCTTTATCCAACTCTTGTTCCTTGTCTTTCAACAACGTGATATTTTTATTCAAATCACTCTAAACAAAACAATCAAAAAACGGAAATTTCCTTAAATTAAACTCACTTTTTCTTTCTCGAGCCTACTCAAAATCGTGTTTAATTTCGTCTTGCCTTGTTTGAGCTCCTCTTGTGTCCTTTGTAACGTCTCAAGTTCGGCTTGATTCTGTTGAAACAACTCTTTCATTCTTCTCATCAATTTCTCCTCAATTGCGGTCAACAAAGACTCCCTTATGTGCTCGTCTTTTATGGTTCCTGTGCCCCCCACAGCGGGCGAAGGCCCGGGGTATGCGCCCCCACTGTACGGCGGATAAGGACTAGGATAAGCATTGTAACTCGGATAGGGCAAATTGCTCGATTGGGGGTACGGAGGATAGCCCCCAAAGCCGGAAGTTGGAGGGTAGGACGTGGGGGGATATGGAGGCATGTAACTCCCCCCAGGCATGAAAGCTACAACTGAAATTTAAGATTTGGGCATAATAATAATAAATTGACTCACAATTAGTGGGATAGGGCATGTCAGTGTCCTTCGGACGGGCAAAAACAGGGGGTTGGTCCCCAAATGTCACAATCATGACTTGAATCAGACCCAGGAGGTCCGACGTCCCATCATGGGTCTTCCAATCGTGGAGATACGGAAGGTATATTTTGCCGTTTTGGTCCACAAACATTGACGGTTTTATTGACATGTCTGCGGTGGGTTTGACGTAGCAAATGGGGGCGTTTTTGGGGTGCGTGTCCATTAACCAGATGCAAATCGGGATGTTGTAAGTGTTGCCCTTGTAAGTGACCGGGATGGTGCCCGTCAAATTTACCAATTCCATGGTGGAACCATCAGTGAAGGCTTTAATTAATTAATTTTTGGTGATGAAATTTCAAGACTTGGTGACTTACTGTAATATTCGTGAAAGGGGAGGAGCCCCTGGTAGTGATTCACAGCGTTTAAGACATCTCGAAGGGTTACTTCAGGGTTGTGATACTGAAATCATCAGGAATTAGGAGATTTCTTTGTGTAGAAAATTTTACCTTGGAGAGCCACTGGCGCAGTCTGCTTTCGTCAACATTGGCCATTTTAACAAATGTGTAATATCACTGTTTAGGTCAAATGTTAATTAACAACAAAAACTGAAATAATCAATTTGATTACTCACTTGACATTTATTATTAATTTTTGACGTTTCAAAACGTCTGTGAAGATAGCCACGTAAGATTACAGTGGACCAGTAGAAAAATTAAAACGTAACAAAACAAACATATTAAAAGTTAATTTTCTTAAAATCTACAAAAAACAGTAGTGCGTGTTTTATTTAACAGGATAAATACTTGTTTGAGTTGTAATTAAAAATTAATTATTCAGTTCAATTCAGCAACATTTAACTGGTCAACTGTTTAATGAGCTCTCTTAAAAAAGCTATCTTCACAAACCTCTCAAAATAACCAAATAACTAAATGTTATTTTGAAAATAAATGATGATTTAACCAAAAATTTACACAATCGATTGTGTTTTTACTTTAATAAACTATTAGAGTACATTTATTATTTTATAATTGCCAGGTTTTTGCAACAAAACTGGAAAATTAAGATTGGTATACCTGTGAGTTTTTTCGTGTTATGTTGGCGATGGATATGAAAAACTAGCTCAAAATTTCATGTTAATAATTTAATATCATTTATCTTGCACATTCTAAATATGATGTAATTAAGTAATGCATTTTGTGAAATTGGGGCACTTAATCTGTTAAAAAATGCACTTTTGACACATTTCACATAACCTCAAAATGAGAAACGTGTTTTAACTCCGATTGAAAGCATTTATTACAATGGGTAAAAAAGGAAAAGACAAGAAAAAAGGCAAAGGTGCTGAGAAAACCGCCGCCAAAACGGACAAAAAGCTATCAAACAAGATGAAAAAAGAGCTGCAAAAACTTGGAGAGGTGAGCCCCAAAGTCCCCGAAACCCCCCTTTCATGTTATTTTCTTAGGAAGACATTGAGAGTATAGTGTCACAAATCGAAAAAGAAGAAAAGAAGCGACAACAAGTGACCGAAAGTGTCATCGAGGCCCCCACTCGCCGCCTCAACTTCACATTTATCCCTCACCCAGACAAGGAACAGTTGATTTTGTACGGGGGCGAATTTTACAACGGTCAAAAGACTTACGTCTACAACGACTTATTCTTTTACAATATTCCGACCGGCTCGTGGACCGTGGTCAAGGCCCCCGCGGGGCCTCCGCCCCGCTGCAGCCACCAGATGGTCGCCACTTCGGCCAACAAAGGCCAGTTGTGGCTCTTCGGGGGCGAATTCGTGAGCCCCTCTCAAGCCCAGTTTTACCACTACCGGGATTTATGGGTGTACCACATTTCGCAGAAACAGTGGGAGAAGATCCAAGCCCCCAATGGCCCCAGTGCGAGGAGTGGCCATCGCATGGTTTACGTCAAGAAAAATTTGATTGTCTTTGGGGGTTTTCATGATAATTTGAGGGACTACAAGTATTTTAATGACGTTTATTGTTTCAATACAGAGAGTTATAAGTGGACGAAATTGGAACCTAGTGGTACCCCACCTGCTCCAAGGTCGGCCTGCTGCATGGTACCTTTAAATGACGGTCGCGTGTTGATTTATGGGGGCTATAGTAAGGAGAAGATTAAGAAAGATGTCGACAAGGGGCATGTCTTCACCGATTGCTTTTTACTCACACCTGAAAGTAAGTTCGTAAGTTAATCGGCGATTGACAATTTTGGTAATCAACGCTCTCGCTTCAGAAAATGACACCAGTGGAACCAAATGGAAATGGGTGCAAACTAAACTAGGGGGTGCCCATTTTTCGCCCCGTTGTAGCATGCCCATGACTTCAACCCCCAACAATACCACAGCTTACTGTTACGGTGGTGTTTTCGACGTTGAAGAAGATGAAGAAAACCTGGCTGGAATTTTCTACAACGATTTTATTTCTCTCGATTTGGAAAAACTAACCTGGAGAAATGTTACAGTTTCTGGAAAGAAGACCAAAGAGGCTAAAAAAGAAGATATCGTTGATGTGGAAATGGAAGAAGAACAGGCAGTTGAGCCAACAACCATTTCTGATGATGGTGTTTTTAAAGTAACAGTTGGGCCATCTTTGGGGTGTAATACGAGTAGTAGTGAGAAAACCACTAGTGATGGTCCAAAGGTTTTTCAACCATCACCACGTCTTAATTGTGGTTTGGCGGTTAAACATGGAGTTTTGTATTTGTATGGCGGAATGTTTGAAGATGGGGATAAACAAGTCACATTTAGTGATTTTTATTCCATTGATTTGAGAAAGTTGGATGAGTGGAAAGTGATAATTCAGGATGATACGTCGAGTCAGGAGTGGTTTGGATCTGATGATGAGTCGAATGATGAAGATGAGGAGGAAAGTGAAGAAGGGGAAGAAGATGAGTCTGATTCGGAAATGGAAACTGATCCATGAAAAAAATGTTAAACCGTTTTATTATAATAATAAAAATATGTTTCTATTCATGTTTTTTATTTGTTTCCTTTTTTTTTGTTGCAACCACAAAAATTAGGTAATAAAAAAACAGGAAAATTTACAAATGAAAAATAATAAATCCCATAAGAGGCATTTTATTTCTTAAAATAGTGGAAAATTATTATTCTGTTACACTAATATGTCTATTGGAGTAGACAAATGCAGAATTGTACAAAGTGTGGAATCAGTCGCTTTTTTTTAATCCCTTGCCTTCATAAAATAATGATAAAAATTAAAGTGCTTAAAATGTGATCGTGTTTTGAGGATGAAATTTTGTTTTGTTTTTTAATTAAGCGACTTTTTTGAAAAATTACATATGAATTTTTTTGTAATCCTTTGGTCATAACCTTTGTAAAAAAAGGTTTTAAAGTGGATTGTCATTTCAAAAAATTCAACATATACATTTTTCGAATTTTTTGTATTGTTTTTGCACAACACAAAAAATTCGAAAAATTTTATTCTTGATAAAATGTGACATTTTTATAGTGGTTTATTATGCATTTAGTTTTTTCAAAAAATAAATTAAGCAAAAAACGTTTGGTTCCATACTTTTTGTTTACCTGGTGACCTGGTATACAGAGTGTTCCGTTTTTATTGTTACAAATTTAAACAGGTGATAGGCTATTCAATTCTAAGACAAAAGTTTCCTATAAACATATATCGAAAAATGCTTGGTAAGAGAGCTACACCCTCTGAAAAGGGGCTAATAAGTTTTTGTTAATATTTCAGAAACCATTTAAGATAAAATTACAAAATTTGCTACAGATGATAACCTTTATACACCTAAACGAATTCAAACATCAAATGTTGAAACTGGTGAGGTTTAGGGTAAAAAAGACCCACCCTATCTATTTTGACTTTAGTTTCTTTAGTTATGCATTGATCAAAATGGTGGTCACTTTGAACAACTCCTTTAGATTTAGGCAAATTCATTTAATTAATGTTATTATTGTTACTGTAATGTAATGTTAATTAGTTGAGGTTGATTAAAAAATATGAATTTCGTATTTCGTAATTTTGTAATTTTATCTTATATGGTTTCTGAAATATTAGCAAAAACATATTAGCCCCCTTCCAGGGGGTGTAGCTCTCTTACCAAGCATTTTTCGATACATGTTTATAGGAAACTTTTGTCTTAGAATTGAATATCCTATCACCTGTTTAAATTTGTAACAATAAAAACGGAACACCCTGTATAATACATTATACTTAGGTACCAGACACCTATAACTGAAAACAATGAAGGGATTGAAAATCTTAATAATAGTAAATGAATGAATGAAAAATGAAAGAATTAAATCGAAAAAATCTTATGTCTGTGATGACCTACTTACTTATATAAATTTGAACTTGGCGGCTCTCTTCTAGAGACCTTTTGGTTGGCAGTAGTGTATGAAAAATCAGAAAAACGCCATCTTGGCTATAGTGCTTTGTTGTGTTTTTTAAACTTTTTAAACTCTCTGTATATTTTACTGTTTTCCCATTGTTATTGTGTTAGATTTAGAGCCCATTACGAATAAGACAAATTATTAGTGTCCAAAAGTGAAAACACATGTGCTACGACCGGTTTTGTACCTGTTCCACCTCCTCCTCCTGCTGCAGTTGCGAAATCCTGCGTGGGTTCCTTTTCCTCAAACACCAGGTCAGTTTTTTTGTATAAAATCCCCCCAACAATAAAAATAGTGTAAAAACTCCGATTTGAAAACAGTGAAATTAAACTTTTATTCATACACGTAATAGACGCCTAAAGAATTTGCTATTTGCTATTTTAATTATTTTGAGTCCCATTTCGCTAATGCTTCTAATCTGAACCCTGTCACAAATGAAAGATTTTAAGAATTAGGTAGAGGTAGAGTTCGAGAACTTGTAAAAGGACCACGATAGGCGGAGCCAATGCGTACTCGGTGTGGTGGAGGAACTTGAGCAGTGGCGTAACACAATGAAAAAGGGAATTTTAGAGTTACACTTTTTTATTAATTTTTCTTCTGTATATACTCAATGATTGCGATATTAAATCCAATAAAACTTTCGTAGGATGCTAAAAAAACTTAGTTTAATTAAACGGTTCAAAGATACGACACGAGTTGGAGGCCTACAGTTACTCAAAAATAAAACACTTAAGGCACCACATTTTTAAGTAAATAAAAAACGCACAAATCACTAAATAAGCGCACGCGTTGCAGTCGTGAAAATTTCTTTTTCGTCGTAGATCCTTGTTCAAAAACACAAATTGGCTCATTATGCAACTTTATGCTGTTCTCAGTTGATTTCGGAACTCCCCTATATTTACGAATCGACTTGTCCGCGACCAGTTTCGCCTTTGCGCATCTTGGGCCTTTTACAATTTCCTAAGCTCTATTTTTTCTTTTGTGGGAGTTCTCCCTCTCCTACCCTTGTGTATTATCTGTTTTTTGTAGCCACGTAACAAGTAGGCCTAGGTGGGCCATAATCCACCTCAAGTTATGCAATTTCGATATTGGATAATTTTACATTCAAGAATAAACAATAGCAAATTTAATAGATTTGTTTTATTATACTTACACTCTCATTTCATATCCCCATATGATCCCTTAAGAAAAGACAAAAAATATTAATTTTTCAATAATTTATTAAATAACGGTAATTAAGACAACTTCAATTATCAAATGTAATCTATAGCTTTTTGACTGATCTTAAATTGCACCTATATTTTTTCTCTCTATGAAACTAAAGATTACATTTAATTCCAGTGGGTGTAAACTATAAACAGTAATATTGATAATAATTCCTAGTGAGTAATAAGGCACTGCATTCGTCGTCCAATAAAACCAAACAAAAACAACTAAAAACAATTCGTATACGTTTTAAAACCATGTTAGCATATTAAGCAACTCATTCAAATTCGTGTTTCGTTCAATTAAGTAAAATCATCATCAGTATCACAGTATCCTTAATTGGAGCTTACATTAAAGTCGATTACTTCGCCTCGCAATTAGCCAATAAAAACACTTTAATCGTAAGCTCCCCAACAGTCAAAATCATAAAAAATTATTTACATCTAATAATATAACAAATATACAATAATTTATTTAAATAATTTTTTGGCGTGACACCAAATTCGGAAGAAGTATTCGTCCTTGCGTAAAAGTTCGCCTTTGGAGTACGAACTGATGTCAGCATCCATGCTGTTTTCTCTCAGCCAAGAAGTCGTGGTTTCGGTACTGTACGACGTGGGTTCACGGTCGGTGACCTCTCGGAAGTCGTCTTGGTCGGCTTCTGGAATTTGGATTTGTAGATTGGGGAAAAAGGGCAAAAAACGGGTTTTACCTCCCGAAGGAAGGACTTTGAAGGGCTCATCGGACTCCAGAGGGTCACTTAACCCGATTTCGTTCTTGGCAAAGATTCGAATCATGTATTCGTGGTCCTCTTGCAAGTCCCGAATGGTAAATTTCTGGACTCCTTTACCCACACGACCGATTTCCATCCACATGGTCTTTTTGGTGTCTCTGATAGCGATGTTGTAGCCCAGGAGAGGGGAACCTCCATCGGATTCGGGGATCCCCCATTCGATCACTATAGCGTTGGGGCCGATGGTACGGATCTCCAGTGGGGCCGTGGGAGGTGATGGTACCGCTGGAACCAGCATTAGACAAAATTTCTGATTTTTTGGTACACTTACTTGCATAGGTTCTGAGTTTTACTACATCGGTCGTCGCAGGCACACTAAGCCCGATGGGGTTCTCCGCAAACACCCTAAACAAGTACTCGCCTTTCTCCTTCAAATTCTCAAAAGTGTACTGGAGGCAATTGCCTTCCAAAGTATAGACTTTCTCCCATTTGGGCATAAACTCTAGTTTTTTCTCGACCACATATCCTGTGATTTCTGCTCCGCCATTGTTCAAGGGGGGTTCCCACGTTAGCGTGGCGCTTCGCCCTTGTACGTCGCTCACGGCTAGGTTAATCGGGGGCGAAGGTGGCGCTATAAGCACAAAGTTAGTGTTTTCCCGTGTGATTAGAGTTACTCACTCCGGGTGCCCAGTTTAGTAGGGGGGAAAATGCCTAGTAAGCAATAAAGCGTCTCGTCTGTTTTGGCAAACTCGTATTTGATCCCTAGAGCGCAAGCAAAGGTGGAGAAAAGGCAAATTGGAAAAGGAGTACTTACTGATTCGCGATCCGGCAACTATGGTCTCTTCGGGGAGGTAGGGATCGCTAATACCGATGGCGTTTCTGGCAGTGATCCGGAATTTGTAACCGTGATCCTTCTCCAAGTAATTGACGGGAATGTTAGTATTATCACTTTTAGTGGCGCCGAGTTTCTTGAAATCTTTCTTGGAAGTGATGTCTTTCATTTCGACGATGTATTCCAGGATGGGAGAACCACCGTCGCTCTCGGAGGGCAGCCAGTTGAGGGTGAAGGAGGTGGCGCTCATGCCAGTCACTTCGAGGGGGCCGCGCGGGGGCGATGGCTTGTCTGTGATCAACCAATTAGTATAACTTGTATTTTTTTGAGTTCTAAATAAATCAGTTAAAATTTTTTTAACAAAAATGATCTGAGATAAATGTGCTGTCTGATTTAAAAAATACAATAAAGAAGTACATACCTCCAGCTATCAGTTTGGATGAAGTCTTCAAACTTTCCACAGTACAACTATACTCGAACTCATCCTCGTGAGTCACCTCGTGGACCACAAGCTTCCTAAACGTCTTTTCTTCAGTGATGGTATACTTTGAAGACTTCTTAATTTTCTTGCCTTGCTTCAACCATTGTACCTCAGCATCTTCCCTCGAGATTTCCACCAAAAACTCAGCATTGGTTTTCATAGGAACTAGAGTATATTCTGGAAGAGTCTTCAAGAAGGTGACTGTGGGTACTTGCACAGTGAGATTGGCTTTGGATTTTTGGGTACCAACTTCGCAGCTGTAAATTCCCTCATCTTCGGGTTCCGTCTTGTAAATTTTTAGTTTTTGTCGTTTGCCGTCGATTGACAATTGAATGTGTTCCGAGAACTGGATTTCGGTACCATTTTTGAACCAGCGTACCAAAGCGTCTCCTTTGCTCAACTCGATTTCGAAGACTGTCTTTTCTCCTTTGTTGACAGTCTTGTCTTGGAGAGGAGTGATGATTTCAGGTGGTAACTCAATGACTGTCACGTCCGCTTTGCATTCCTCGTCAATTAGGGTGCAAGTATATTCGCCCTCATCGTGGATGGAGGTACTCCTAATTAGGAGTTTTCTTACCCCTTTATCCTTCTCAATAGTGTATTTAGTATCAGTTTCTTCAATCACGGTACCATCTTTCTTCCAAGTGACATCAGCAGTGTCTGATGTGATTTCAACCTCCAAAACTGCAACTTCTTTTTCTGGAATTTCCAAATCTTGCAACTCTCGAACAAATTTCGGTTTGGTCCCACTGACGGTTAGTACCGTCTCAGTTTTCTCTTTTTTAACCGTACATTTATAGTGGCCTTCATCTTTCTTCGTAGTTCTCTTCACGATGAGTTTGTGAGTTCGGCCATCTTGAATCACAACTCGGTGATCCATTCCACTAATTTCCACATCGTTGTGGTACCACTTAGTGGCCGTCGTTTTGTGAGAAGTCTCACACTCGAATTCGATGGTTTCACGTTCGATTGTTTCATAAGACTTCTTCAACTTCTTGGTGAAGGTCACATCAACATCTACTGTGATTCTGGCCCCATGTGAAGCTTTTCCAGCCGGATTGCTGGCAATACACTTGTAATCGCCGGTGTCTGTCTCCGAGTCAGCTTTTTTGATCGTGAGTTCGATGTTTTCACCATCGTAGGAGATTTTAACCTTGTCGGAGGGCTTCAAAGGCTTATTGTCGCGCAACCAGTAGACTTCCGGTACCGGATTTCCTATAACACGGGCAAAAAGTCTGATGGTGGAGTTCTCTTGGACGGTCTGCTCCTCGAAACGTTCCACGAAGAGGGGTGGTTCCGCATTGTCTGGAAATTCTGAAAATAATTTAATTAAAATATTGTATTTGACTTGTGTTTTTAAGGAGCGGAATAATAAGAAGCGTAATTTTTTTCGTTTATTTGAGAAGCATTCGAGCAGAGAAAATAATTTACCCTCAACTGTGAGTTGAGCTGTCGTCTCGGTGGTACCAACAGAATTGGTCGCTTTGACCGTATATTCCGCCGTATCGTCCATCGTCGTATCGACAATAGTCAAACTATAAGTGTCACCATCTTTCTTCGTTGGTTTTTTGATCTGTTTTCCATTTTTGAACCATGTGATGGTGGGTGCCGGGTTCCCGGCAATTGTAGTACTGAGTACCACCGTCTCGGTTTTTCTCACCGTCACTGACTTCAAAGGTTCTAGCACTTGTGGTGGTTCCTTATCCCCCGTTTTCACCTTCAAAGTAAACTGAACCGTGGCTTCCCCTTCTCGGTTCTTGGCCACAATCTCATAAGTACCCTCTTGCTTCTTTTGCACTTCTTTGATTTTTAAAATGGTGGTATAGCTGTGCATGTCTGAGGTTATAATAATCGTGACATTGTTCTTGGTGGTGATCTTTTTGCCGTTGCGGTACCATATGATCTCGGGTTCGGGTACCGCAACAAGGCGACAGTCGACCACAACGTCGGATTTCTCCGGTACGTATTGTGGTTTAGGTTTGCGGGAGAAAGTTGGAGGTATTCCTTCCAGGATGTCGGCGAGGGATGACTCACGTGACATGCTTTTCCGGGAAAGTCCGGTGATGTCGGATCCGTGGTCGGATAAGGGGAGTTCCACGATCAGTTCGGTGGTACTTGAGGCAAAACCGGCTGCGTTTTTGGCCACGCAAGTAAAGGTTCCTGCATCTTCGGGGAAAACCTCACTGATGATGAGGGTTGCAACGTTATCTTCGTCGTAATACATTTGGAAGTCTTGGGAGGGTTTGATGACGGCGGTTTGGCGGAACCAAGTGATTTGGGGACGAGGGAACCCTTCAACTTGGCACTCGAACTGGACAGTGTAACCATCTGGGGTTATTACTGGTTGTAGTTTTTCGATGAAGCGAGGTGCGACTGATTTTTCTTCAGGTTTGGGTTCTGTAAGACCCTTTTGTATCTCTGGTACTAAAAACATCCCAAAATACTTACTCTCGAAAACTGGAAGCTTGTCAATTTTTTCGTTGAGTTTCTTCTGAACATACATGGTGTAATTGGGTTCGTCCATTAGGATTTGGGCAGGTACCCAACCTTTTTCTTCAGTTAGATGCTTCTTAACGAACCACCAATCACTATTGGGTGTTTCTAATACGTAAACCCTTTCTCCTTCCACAAGGTCAATTGCTTGTTCTGCTTCTGCTACGTAAGAGTGAACTGAGAAGTAAACATCCCCTTCTACCACTTCAACAATCTCGGGAGTTTCTTCGATGGTCTCTGATTCTTTGGTAATACTCAAACTTACCGCTTCTAAAAACGATTTTTGTTACCAAACACACCTTCACTCACACACAATAAGCGTAAAAAGAAGAAAAGAAAAAAAAATGGTGCAAATAAAACGTAAAAGCTGAAATGCGAATGTAGCCAAAACTCCCAAATCAAACCTTGGTCGAAGGATGGTTTCCTCTTAGGTTTGCTTCGCTTCTTCACTGTCACTGATTCTTCTTCAAATTCGACGGGCTGTTCTTTCTTCAAACCGAGCGAAACTTCTTCTTCCATTTCTTCAAACACTGAGTACTTGCGTGATGGTCTACGTAGAGGAACGTTATAGCTTTCAGATTCTTCATCATCGTAAGGAAGTTCTTCAGCGTCGCTTCCTTCATCTATGATTTCTTCAATTACCGGACCTTCATCTTCAACCTCTTGCGTGATTTTAATAGATTCATCCACGCTTTCTTCATTGTAGGTTTTCGGTTTGGTTTTCTTCAATTTGATTTTGCCGGACATTGAGATTTCTTCTTCTGCATAAGAATCCAAAGAAATCTTAAATTCTTGTTCTACGTCTTCTAGTGTTTTGGTCACTCGAGGTCTAAATGTGACATTTTCTACTTCGGTGTATTCCGGAATGTCAGGTCTTGATGGTTTCCTTACTTTCTTCAATTTTTTTATTGTGATTTCTTGTTCTTCATGTTCCTCTATTGACGGTACACGTGGAGGTGGTCCTTTCTTCTTAATGGTAAATTCTTGTACTACATCTTCAGGTGGTTCTTGAACTTCTAGTTTCTTGACAGTGAGCTCAGCCTCGGCTTCATCTTCGTCTTTCTTGGGTACAGGTTTTTTCTTGAGCTTAATTTCTTCTTCAACTGAAGATTCCTCTAGTTTTTCTTCTGGTTTTTCAATCTTCTTGATTGTGATTTCTGCAGCAGCTTCTTCTTCTTGCTTTACAGGAACTTTCTTTTTCTTCTTTGGAATTTTTACTTCTTCCACAGTCGTTACTTCTTCCACTTCCGGTTCCGGTTTCTTTTTAATTGTAACTTCAGCTGCGGGTTCTTCAGGAACCTTTTCGGGTTCTTTAGGTTTCTTTTTAATTACCACTTCTTCTGTTGTTTCCTCTTTTTCTTCTTCAGGAACTGGTTGTATTTTTTTAATAGTCAATTCTGCTGCTGCTGTTTCTTGTGGCTTTTCAGGTGCTTTCTTCTTTTTCTTAGTAACTTTCACTTCATCCACAGTTTCTTGCTCTTCTTCTGGTTCTGGTTTCTTTTTGATTGTTATTTCAGCTTCTGGTTCTTCCGGAACTTCTTCAGGTACCTTAAGTTTCTTTTTAATGACGATTTCCGCAGTTGGTTCCTCTGTTTTTTCTTCAGGAATTGGTTCTATTTTTTTGATAGTTATTTCTGCAGCTGCTTCTTCTTGAGCCTTTTCAGGTACTTTTTTCTTTTTCTTTGTAACTGTAACTTCCTCTACTGTTGCTTGTTCCTGCTCTGGCTTTGGTTTCTTTGGAATAGTTATTTCGGCTTCAGGTTCTTCTGGAACTTTTTCGGGTTCCTTGGGTTTCTTTTTAATGACTACTTCTGTTGTTTCCTCCTCAGGTTTCTCATCAGGCACGGGTTCTATTTTTTTTATCGTAATTTCAGCAGCAGCGTCTTCTTGAGGCTTCTCAGGTACTTTTTTCTTCTTTTTCTTTGTGACTGTTACTTTTTCTGCCGTTACTTGTTCCTGTTCTGGTTCCGGTTTCTTTGCAATTGCTATTTCAGCTTCTGGTTCTTCTGGAATCTTTTCGGGCTCTTTAGGTTTCTTCTTAATCACAACTTCTTCAACTGTTATCTCTTCTACTTTTTCTTTAGGCTTTTCTTCTGGCTTTTTTATTGTAACCTCAGCAGCTGCTTCTTCTTGAGGTTTTTCTGGAATCTTCTTTTTCTTTTTTGTAACCCTTACTTCCTCAACAGTTATTTCTTCTTTCTCTGGTTCAGGTTCCTTTTTAAATGTAATTTCGGCCTCAGGTTCTTCTTTTACCTTTTCCGGTTCTTTAGGTTTCTTTTTGATTATAACTTCCTCTTCTACAATTTCTTCTGGTTTTTGTTCTGGTATTGATTCTTTCTTTACAGTGATTTCAGCAGCTGCGTCTTCATCCGGTTTTTTAGGTTCTTTCTTTTTCTTTTTTACAACTTTTACTTCCTCCACAACTGTTACTTCGTCCTCAATTTTTTCTGGTTCTGGTTCCTTCTTGATGATTATTTCTGCTACCGCTTGCTCAACTGGTTCTTCTGTTTTCTTAGGTTTCTTTTTAATGACTATTTGTTCAACCGATGGTTCTTCTTCCTCTACTTTTTCTGGTTTTTTAAGAACGATTTCAGCTTCAGGTTCTTCCTCAGGTTCGGGTTTCTTTGGTTTCTTTTTAACCACAACAACCTCTTCAACAGGAGCAGTTTCTTCTTCTTTTTCTGGTTCTTTCTTTAGTGTGATTTCTACGGGTTCCTCTTCCTCTGGTTTCTTGAGTACTTTCTTTTTCTTTTTCTTAATTGTAATCTTTTCAACTTCTTCATCTGTTGGTATTTTTGGTTCTTCTTTCTTCAGTTCAATTACAGTTTCTGGTTCTTCTTTTTCCGGTTTCTTGAACGGTTTCAATGTTATTTGTTCAGGTTCTTCTTCTGGTTTATCTTTTTGTGGTTTCCTGAAACTAATCTCATCTTCTTCGTCCGGTTCCTTCTTCTTAGGAACACCTTTAGTTATCTTAATTTCCTTATCTTCTGGTGTTGGTTTTTCTTTCTTTTGCCTTTCATATTTAGATTTTTTCTCCTCAGGAACCTCTTTTTCCGGTTTTTCGAATTCTGGTTTTTCAAATTCGATTTTCTCAGGCTCTTCCTTCTCGTAATCAGTAGGTTTGAATTTGATTGTGTCTTTATTTTCTTCCGGTTTTTCCTTAACTTTCTTCACTTCTTCTATTTCTTTGACTGTAGGTGCTTTTGGTTCTGGTAGTTCTTCTTCTTTTACTCTTTCGGGAGCTTTTTTTAGTTTTATGGCTTCCTCTTCCTCTTCTTGTTTTTCAGGTATTTTTCCCTTGCCGATCTTCAAAGGAACTTTTTCTTCAACTTTATCCTCTTTGGGTTTTTTAGGTTTCTTTTCAAGTTTAAACGCTTCATCAACCTTTTCAAGTTCTTTTTTCTTAAGTTCTTCCATTTCAAGATCTAGTTTTTCGAGATCTTGAAGCACTGTGTCGTCCTCTTTGAGCTTTCTTCGTTTAGTTTTAATAACCTTCTCTGCTTCTTTGACATTTCTGGAGATTTGTCCTTGATCGCGTACAACTTTTTCTAATTGCGTGATAACCGGTTTTCTTTCAGATTCTTCAACAGGAGGAAAGTCTACGTAAACAATTCTGCTCTTCAACCTTGGTAATTTGGCAGGTTTGGGTTCTTTTTTTGGAAGTGCTCTAGGTTTTTTTGGTTTAACTTCTATCGGTTTTGGTTCTTCTTCTTTTCCTTTGGGTATTGGTTTAACCTCAACTGGAGTAGGTTCTTCTACTTTTGGTTCGGCTGGTTTTGGTTTTTCTTCTTCAGGTTTCTTTACTTCTTCAACTGGTTGAGGGATTTCTTCTTTGGGTTCTTCAATTAGTGGTTCTTCTTCAACAACTTCTGTGCTTTCAGTTTTTGGTTTTTTAATCTTTTTAATTACTTTTCTAGTCTTTTTAATTTTCTCAGTTTCCGTATCTTCTTCTTCTTCTTTTGGTTTGTCCTCTGCAATTTCTTCAGGTTTTTCTTCTTCTAGTTTAGGTTCCTCCTTAGGTTCCACCTTGTCAACAATTTTTTCTTCAGGTTTTGGTATTTCTTCAGGTTTTGGTAATTCTTCCACTGGCTTTAGAATTTCTTCTTCGGTTACTGCAGGTTCCTCAGGAGCCGGTGTGTCTTTAGGTTTCATAATTTTCTTAACCTTCTTAACGACCTTTTTTCCTGTTTTTTCTTCAGGTACAATTTCTTTTTCAATTTCGACAGGTTTTTCTTTTGGTATTTGGCCATCTTCAGGCTTGATTACTGCAACAACCTCTACAGGTTCTTCCGGTTTCTCTTTCGCAATTGGTTTTAATTTAATTTCTTCAGGAGCTTCTTCAGGAGGAGGCTTTTGTTTGTATTTCAATTTTATTTCGGGTACTTCTTCTTCTTCTTTCGGTTTAGGTTTGCCCATTTCTAATTTAGTTTCAACTGTTTCTGGTTCTGGTTTTTCTTTCTTCTTTTTAACTTTTTTAATCTTTTCCTTGTCTTCTTCCTCCTTTACTGGTTTCTCAATTTCTGAAGGTTCGTATTTCAGTTTTTCAGGTTCTTCCCTATCCACATCATAGGGTTTAAATGGTTCAAGTTTAGGTTCTTCCTTTTCTTCTGTTTCAGGTATTGGTTTTTCTTTTTCTGTAACTTTAGGTTTCTTTAATTCAACTTCAACGTCTTCTTCTTTTGGTTTTTGAGGTACTTTCTTCAGAGTGACTGTTTCGTCAGGTCCTGGTTTATCAGGCATTTTACCTTTGCCTAATTTAATCTTCACTTCCAGTTCCTCTGGTTTCTCTTCTTTTTCTTTCGGTTTTCTTTCGTATTTATATTGGTCATCTACTTTTTCGAGTTCCTTCTTTTTCAATTCTTCCATTTCTAAATCTAGTTTTTCCAGATGTGTTAAATCAATGTCACTTTCTTTGATCTTGATGGGTTTCTTCTTTTTAATCTTTTTAGCTTCTTCCACATTTCTTGAAATAACACCGTTATCTCTGTAAACCGGTTCAAGGGTTGTAATTTTAGGTTTCTGTTCAGATTCTTCAATTGGTGGGAAAGGTACATGAACAATTCTGCTTTTCAGTAATGGTTTACGGACTTTTTCCTTAACTTCTTCCTTTTTGGGAACCTTTGGTTTCTTTAATTTGATATCAGCAAGGTTAATAGGTTGACATTCCGGTTCTTTAATTTTAATATGCTGCAGAGGTGGGATTGAAGCTTTTTCGATAAGAATTGGTTGTGGTTTTTCCTTTTTTCGTGGCTCAGGCCTTTTCTTGAATTCATCATCTACCTTTTCAAGATCGGCTTTCTTCAATTCCTCTACTTCCAAATCTAGCTGTTTCAGTTTTTCTGTATCTACAACTTTCTTTTTCTTCCTCTTTACTTTTTGTGCTTCTTCTACATTTCTTGACAGAACACCGTTTTCTCTGTATACAGGCTCCAAGATTGTAATTATGGGTTTTTGTAAAATTTCTGTTATCGGAGGGAAAGTTATGGGAGTAATTCTACTCTTCAACATCGGTTTTTGGACCTTGGGTGCTTCAACATCTTTCTTTTCTGGTACTTTAGTTTTGCGTAATTTAATTTCGGCAAAATTAACTGTTTGTTCTTGTTCTGTTATTTTTGAGAATTGAGGTTCGTGAGGAGATTTCCTAACAATTTTCATGAGTTTTGGCTTTTCTTTCACTTCTGGTTCTTGTTCTTCAATTGGTTTAATTGTTTCTACTTCTTTTTCTTCTTCTTCCTTAGCTTTCTTTTTCTTGATTTTTACAATTTTCTTACGCTTTTCTTCTTCCATAGGTTTTTCTTCTTCGGTTGGTTTTTCCGGAACTGGTTCAACCACTGGTTGCACTTCTGCTTTTGGTTCTACTACTTCTGGAATTTCAGGTCCTTTTTCTTCAACTTCTAGAACTTCTTCTACCACAGGTTCCTTTTCATCGGGTTGTTCAACTCCAGGTTCTTCAACTTTTTGTTTCGGTTTCTTTACAATGATTTTCTTTTTCTTTGGCACTTTTTCCTTTTCCTTATCTTCAGATGGTTTAAATTCAATTTCATCCTTTTCAAAATCATGTGAAGGAACACTATCTAATTTCGCCGGCAATTCTTTTTCCACTTTTTGCAATGGTTCAGGCTCTTCAGGTTTCTTGAAAGGTTTCAGTTTGATTTCTTCTGGTTGTTCCTCAGGTTTGGGCTTTTGTTTAGCTTTAAATGAAACATCTTCTTCTTGCTCTTCCGGTTTCGGTTTTGGAATGCCTTTCTTTAAAGTAATTTCCTCCATTTCTGGATCCGGTTTCCCTTTTTTTTCTTTAGGTATTTTCACTTTCTTCTTATCAGGCTTTTCCTTTTCAGGTTTTTCAAGTTCGAACGTTTCTTTCTCGATTTTTTCAGGTTCCTCTCTGTCAATATCATAAGGTTTGAATTTAATTCGCTCATCTTCTTCTTCAGGCTTTTCTGGTTTCTTGGGTTTTTCTTCTTCGGTAATCTTTTTCGGTTTCTTCTCAGGTTCAAGTTTTTCTTCAATTATTTTTTCCGGAACTTTCTTTAGTTTTATTTGTTCGTCTTCTTCTTCTGGTTTTGGAACTTTACCTTTACCGATTTTCAAGGGTTTGGGTTCATCTTTTGAAACCGATTTTTTTCTTGGTTGCTTTTCAAATTTGTATTGATCATCAACTTTTTCAAGTTCAGTTTTTTTCAATTCATCTATTTCAAGATCTAATTTTTCCAAATCTTTGAGTTCTTTGTCAAAGTTCTTCATTCTTCGTCGTTTAGTTTTTGGAGCAGCTTCAGCTTCTTTCAGATTTCTAGAAAGAACACCATTATCTCTATAGACCGGTTCTAGTTCTTTAATAACCGGAATTTGTTCTTTTTCTGTTTCTGGAGGAAATTCTATATGGGTAATACGACTCTTTAATCGCATCTTTGGTACTTTAGTGGTCGGAATATCTTTCTTCTGAGGAGCCTTAGGTTTGCGCAGCTTCACTTCCGCAAAGTGTTGTGGAAGTTCTTTAATAGGTACGATTTTAGGTTTGCTAGGTTGTTCTTGTTCAACATGTTCAATAGGCATAAGAACTGACTTTTGTTTAACCAAACGAGTCTTCTTACGTTCTTCTGGAACCTTTTCTTCTTCAGCGAGAGGTTCTTCAACCGGTGTTTCACCAGGCTTAACTTTCTTAACAACCTTTCTCTTCTTCTTTTCTTCCGGCGCTTTTTCTTCTTCGACTGGTTTTTCTTCTTCAACAATGGGTTCTTCCGGTTTAGGTTTCTTTACTTTTCTCTTGATTTTTTCCTCAACGACAGTTGTGATTTCTTCCGGTTTTTCTTCAGGAATTTCTTCTTCAATTTCTTTAACCACTGCTTCCTGGAAGTGTTTTTCTTCTGTCTTCACTTTTTTGATGACTTTCTTTTTCTTTTTTGTGTCATCTTCTTCTGGAACTTCTTCTACAACTGGTACTTCTTCAACGACAGCTTCTTGAAATTGGATTTCTTCTGTTTTAATCTTTCTGAGTTTCCTGACTTTCTTCTCAGTTTCTGTAGTTTCAGTTGTTGTTTCTTCCGGAGCTATTTCTTCCTTAGCTGGAAGTTCTTCAATTACAAGTTTTTCTTCTTCAGGTTTTTTCAATTTAGGTTTCTTAACTTTCTTCTTTTCTTCCGGTACTTTTTCTTCTTTTTTGTAACCTTCAATAGGTTTCTGAGTTTCCACAGTTTCCACAACTACTGGTTCTTGAATTTCTGTTACTCTTTCCGCTTTAGTGGTTTCAGTTATTGCACCTAAAATATTTATTTATAGTTAATTGTTTTGTTCAGTTATCCAGTTTTTAGTGTATTTAGAGATTAAGTATTGAAAGTGTGGGTAAGAGGAACTGTATTTCTTACCTAGTGGTGTTTCCTGTGTATGTTCTAGGGTGTGTACTTCTGTAATGGTTTTTGTGGTTGTGTGATGTGTCAGTCTGGGAGTAATACGTTGTGGTATACCAGGTGTTTGATCGAAGTCTGTGACAGTTTCGAGTTGAAGTGGTTCTGTGAAATTGTTGTCGGACGTGTAAATATTTACGGTTACTTGTGGCAATTTGTCATCTTCTTGAACGGTTATAACTTCGGTTATTTCTGGTTTACCGTCTTTCTCGCGTTTGGTGATTTGTTTTTTAACTTTCTTCTTTTTGACCTTACCGTCGACTACTTCCTCAGTTATCTCAACTTTCTCCGGAATTTGTTCCGTTGGTTTAAGTTCGATAAATTTTGGAGGTTCATCCGGAACCATTTCGACAATCGTTATTGTGGTTTGTGGTTCGTTGTCACCTTCTTGAGTAGTTTCCACATTGGTTATTTCTTCAATTGGACCTATCTGTTTTTTAATAACCTTTTTCTTTGTAACTTTTTTAGAGGGTTTGCCTTGTTGAGTTGTTATTTCAGTAACGGTGACTTCTTCAGGGTATTCTACTATAGTGGGTTTAGCGGTTTCAGGTTTCTTTTCGTCAGGTTTATATGGTTTAAGTATTTCTTCCACTAGTGGTTCAATAACAGAACTATCGTGTAAAATAGTAACGACAGAAGTTTGTGGTTTCTTATCGTCTTCTTCAATTGTAACAATTTCTGTTATTTCCTGCTTACCGTCATCTACGTCTTTCTTAATTACTCTCTTTTTGGTCTTTATTTTCTTCTTCTTACCGTCAACAAGTTTTTCTTCAATATCAACCCTTTCTAATTCTTCAACTGGTTTAGCTTCAGTTATATCTGATACTTCTTCAGAAACAATTTCTTCAATTGTGACAGTAGTTTTAGGCAATTTTTCTGGCTCTTCGACAGTTTCAATTTTCGTTATTTCTTGCAGGGGACCGATTTGCTTTTTTATAGTTCGTTTTTTGGTCACTTTTTCAACTGGTCCTTTTTCTGTGATAACCTGAGTTACTGTTACTTCTTCCGGTAACTCTACAGTTAATGGTTGTATTTTCTTCTTCTTTGTTTTTTCAACTTCAAAAGGTTGAATAATTTCAAGCGGAAGATCTGTTGAAGAAACATCATGAGATTTAATGACAATTGTTTTAGGTTTTTTATGATCTTCTTCAACAGTAACAATTTCTGTAATTTCAGGTTTACCATCAATGTTTTTAGTTATTCTACGCTTTTTGATTCTCTTAGTTTTAACTTTGTCACCTACTTTTTCTTCAAAAACTTCAACCTTTTCTACTTCTTCAACAGGTTGAGCTTCAACTAATTCTGGTGTTTCGTCGGAGATAATTTCTTCAATTGTAACAGTGGATTCAGGTTCTTTACCTTCTTCTTCGGCTGTTTCAATTTTGGTGATTTCTTGAATTGGACCAATTTGTTTCTTAATAATTCTTTTTTTAGTAACTTTTTGTTTTGGTCCTTCTTGAGTCACAATTTCAGTAACTTTGACCTCTTCAGGCAATTCAACAGTAATGGGTTTAACCTTTTTAGGTTGTTTTTTACCAGGTTCGAAAGAAATGAAGGATTCTTGTTCAAGAGGTCCTTCAGAAGAAATGTCGTGAATGAGAGTAGTAACTGTAGTTTGAGGTTTCTTATCGTCTTCTTCAACAGTCACAATTTCTGTTATCTCTTTTTTACCATCTTTATCTTTCTTTATGACTCGTCTTTTGATTTTCTTTTTCTGAATCTGTTCACCTACCACAGTTTCAATGACATCGACCTTTTCTGGTAATTCCTCAACTACTGTACCTTCAGCTAATTCAGGAAGATCTGCAATAAATTCATCAACAGTGACTGTTGTTTCAGGTTCTTTACCTTCTTCTTCAATAGTTGCAATATTAGTAACTTCCTGAATTGGCCCAATTTGTTTTTTAATCACTTTCTTGGTAACTTTTTTCTTGACTGGTAAGCCTTCTTCAGTTTTTACTTCACTAATTTTAATTTCTTCGGGCATTTCAATTACAGTGGGTTTAATTTTTTTCAATTTTGTTTTATCAGGTTTCAATTTTTCTGTTTCTTCTTCTAAAGGTTCTGTGGAGGAAGTATCATGAATTAACATAGTAACAGTAGTTTGTGGTTTCTCATTATCTTCTTCAACTGTAATAATTTGTGTGATTTCCTGTTGGCCATTATCTTTATCTTTTTTGATGACACGTTTTTTAATTTTCTTCTTTATAATTTTTCCATCCACAACGTTTTCGACAATATCGACTTTTTCAGGTAACTCTTTTACGACTGTTGCTTCTTCTAGCGGAAGAGACTCATCCGCAATAATTTCTTCAACTGTAACAGTGGTTTCAGGCTCTTCACCTTCTATTTCAGCCGTTTCAATTTTTGTTGTTTCTTGAATAGGACCGATTTGTTTTTTAATTACTTTTTTAGTAACTGTTTTCTTGACAGGTTTTCCTTCTTTGACATCAACTTCTGTAACTTTGACTTCTGGAAGTTCTACAATAATTGGTTTAATACTCTTTGGTTTCTTCTTTTTCAGCCTTGGGAATTCAGAAGTTTCTTCAAAGGTTTCAAGTGGTAACAAATCGTGAATCAATGTTGTAACAGTGGTTTGAGGTTTTTTATCGTCTTCCTCAACAGTAACAATTTCTGTAATTTCTTGTTTACCGTCTTCGTCTTTCCTAATGACACGCTTTTTAATTTTCTTCTTCTTAATTTTTCCACGTACGACTTCTTCAACTTCTTCAACTTTTTCCGGTAATTCTTCTACAACTATAGCTTCTTCAAATGGAAGAGATTCTTCGGCAATTACTTCTTCAATTGTAACAATGGTTTCAGGCTCTTTACCATCTTCTTCAACTGTTTGAATTTTAGTAACTTCTTCTATAGGTCCTGTTTGTTTCTTAAAAACTTTCTTTGTAACGGTTTTTTTAATAGGTTTTCCCTTTATTGCGGTAACCTCAGTCATTGTGACCGTTGGTAGTTCGACAACAGTTGGTTTAATTTTTTTCGGTTTTGTGATTTCGGATTCGTAAGGTTCGGCAACTTCCAAAGGTTGTGTTAAAGTATCATAAGTTGTAACAGTGGTTTGAGGTTCTTTACCCTCTTCCTCAACTGTAACAAATTCAGTTATTTCTTGTTTTTCACCTTTATCTTTTTTAAGAACTCGTTTCTTGATCTTCTTTCTTTTAATTTTGCCACCGACTATTTCTTCAATAACATCGATTTTCTCTGGCAATTCTTCAATCACATTAGCTTCTTCATAAGCAAGTGGTTCGTAAGCAAGAATTTCCTCAATTTTGACTATTGTTTCTGGCTCTTTGCCTTCTTCTTCGGTAGTTTCAATTTTGGTGATTTCTTGCACATCACCTTTCTGTTTTTTAATTAGTTTAGTTTTCACAACTTTCTTAACAGGACCTTTCTTTGTTTTTACTTCTGTAACAGTGACTTCTTCCGGTAATTCAACAGTGACAGGCTTGACTTCTTCCGGTTTCTTCATTTCAGTTTTAAACGGTTTTACAATTTCTTCTTTGAGTTCTGGAATATTGTGCAATTTGGTGACAGTGGTTACAGGTTTTTTGTCGTCTTCCTCAACTGTAACAATTTCTGTAACATCAGGCCTGCCATCAACAACTTTTTTAAGAATTCGTTTCTTGATTTTCTTTGTTTTTACTTTATCACCCACTTTTTCATGCATCACTTCGATTTTTTCGTGCTCTTCAATAGGTATGATTTCAACAATTTCAGGAGTTTCGTCTGAAATTAATTCTTGTACAGTAATTGTGGTTTCTGGTTCTTTACCTTCTTCTTCAGTTGTTTCAATTTTAGTTATTTCTTCAATTGGACCTATTTGTTTCTTTATAACTCTGGTTTTTGTAACCTTCTTTTTAGGTCCTTTTCTAGTTTCTACTTCTGTAACTTTAACCTCTTCTGGAAGTTCAATTACATTTAGTTTAATTTTTTTCTTCGGTCTCTTTTCAGGTTTGAATGATTTTGTTTCTTCTTCCAAAGGTAGCAATGAACTAGTTTCAGCAATGAAAGTTGTAACAGTTGTTTCTGGTTTCTTATCTTCATTTTCTGTTGTCACAATTTGTGTAATTTCCTGATTTCCATCATCATCTGTTTTCTTAATTACCTTCTTCTTGATTTTCTTCTTTACAAGTTTTCCTTTAACAACTTCCTCAATAACTTCAACTTTTTCAGGTAGTTCTTCAATAGGTTTAGCTTCCATAATTTCTGGAATCTCATCAGCTATTATTTCCTCAGTTGTAACTGTTGTTTCTGGCTCTTTGCCTTCTTCTTTGGCTGTTTCAATTTTTGTTATTTCTTGTATGGGACCTATTTGTTTTTTGATAGTTCTTACTTTCTTAACTACTCTCTTAGATGGTCCTCTTTTTGATTTTTCTTCGGTTACCGTTACTTTTACCGGAAGTTCTACAATTGTCGGAGTAACTTTTATTGGTTTACGTTTTTGAGGCTCAAGAGGTTCTGTTATTTCTTCAGTCAAAAGTTCATTAGAAGAAACATCATACACAAGTGTTGTAACACTTGTTTGGGGTTCTTTATTATCTTCTTTTGTGGTAACAATTTCAGTAATTTCTTGTTTACCTTCAAGATCTTTCTTCACTACCCTCTTTCTAATTTTCTTCCTTCTGATTTTTCCTTTAATTTCTTCTTCAACTATTATTTCCTTTTCTGGTAACTCCTTAACAGGTTGAGCTTCTATTATTTCAGGAATTTCATCCGCAATTATTTCTTCAATAGTTACTGTACTTTCAGGTTCTTTGCCCTCCATCTCCTCAGTTTCAATTTTTGTAATTTCTTGCATTGGACCGATTTGTTTTTTAATAACTCTTCTCTTTTTAATCTTTTTCGTTTTGTTTACTTCAGAAACTTCAATATCTTCCGGAAATTCTATCGTAAAAGTAGTAGTTTCATCGGGTACTATTATAGTCGCACTAAGTTCAGGCTTTTCTTCATCTTCAACAGAAACAATTTCTGTTATCTCTTTCTGTCCTTCATCATCTTTCTTAAAAACCCGCTTTCTGATCTTTTTCTTTTTGATTTTACCTCTGACTTCTGTTTCTATTTCTTCAACTTTTTCTGGAAGTTCTTCAATAATTACTCCTTCATAAAGCTCTGGAAGGTCGTCAGAAATAATCTCTTCAACGGTAACTAATGTTTCCGGTTCTTTTCCTTCAATTTCGGTGCTTTCAATATTAATAACCTCCTCAATGGGACCAACTCGTTTCTTAATAACTTTCTTTCTAGTAACCTTTTTCACAGGTTTACCTTCCTCGGTTTTCACTTCAGTAACTTTCATTTCCTCAGGCATTTCAATCACAATTGTTGGTACAACTCTCTTTTCTACTTTCAGTGGTTCCACAAGTTCTTCTATCAGTGGTTCAATAGTTGTCACTATTGTTGTTTCTGGTTTTTTATCTTCTTCTTGTACCGTTACGATTTCGGTTATTTCTCGTGTATTATTATCTAAATCTTTCTTAAGTACTCTCTTTTTTACTCTTTTCTTTCTAGGCTTATTGTCAATTATTTCTTCAATAACTTCCTCTTTCTCGGGTTCTTCCTGGATGTATGAGACTTTTGGTATTCTAAACTTAATTTTATCTGATAGTTTGACAGGAGTGACCTCATCATCTGCATCTTTCTTCCAAGGTTTCAGTTTAATCGTTTCCGGTTCTTCCTCCGGTTTAGGTTTTTGTTTATACTTCAATTTAAGATCCTTTTCTTCATCATCAGATTTTTCTTTTGGTTTTCCTTTGATTATTTCAATTTCTTCTGTTTCAGGTTTAGGTTTATCTTTCTTTTTAGGTTTATATCTACCTTTTTTATGATCCTTTTCGCCTGTGTCCTTTTCGTAATCGAATTTTTCAGGTTTCTCTAACTCAGTTTCGGGCAAATCAATATCGTATGGTTTAAACTTAATCTTGTCACGTTCTTCGTCTGGTTTTTCAGATTTTGGCACTGATTCTGGTTTTGATTTTGGTTTTGGCTTTTCAGGCTGTTCGGGTACTTCTTCTTTGAGTTTTTCAGGGATTTTCTTAAGTTTAACTTTTTCAAGCTCATTGTCATCGACAGGTACTTTACCTTTACCGATTTTAAGCCCTTCGGGTTGTTCTTCCTCTTCAGCTGTAGGTTTAGGTTTTCTTTCATACTTATCCTTTGGTTTATCTTTGTCCGTTTTCACTTTTTCCAGAAGTTTGGTATCTTCCGGAATTTCCAAATCGGGAATAAATTGTTCAATATCTTTTACTTTAAACTTTTTGCGTTTTAGTACTTCATGTGCTTCTTTCACATTTCGTGAGAGTTCTCCGTGATCTTTTAGGTCACGTTTGCGTTCAGTAATGATTGGTTTTTGTTCTTGTTCTTTTTCCGGAGGGAAAGTAACTCGTACTATTCTGCTAGTAAGACGAATTTTTGGGAAAGTAACTTTTTGTGTTTGTTTCTTTGGTATTGCTTTAGGTTTTTTCAATTGACTAAGAAGTGGTATTTCTTCTTTTGTAACGATTTTTACTTTAATCGGCTCCATTTTAATAATTTCTAATTTCATAGGTACAGGCTTTGCTTTCTCAACATCATGAGTCTTGGGTTTATCTTTTTTTGCCTTTTTAACTTTCTTCGGCTTTTGCGGATATTCTTTTACAGTAACCGTTTGTTCAGGAGGTTTATCATCTTCAAGTACGGTCACAATTTCAGTAGCTTCAACTTTTGGTCCCACTTTTTTTATTAACGTTTTCTTTTTTGTAACCTTTTTCTTTGGAGTTTTATCATTAGTGCTAATTTCAATAACCTCAACATTCTCCGGTAACTCAGTTATTGGTACTCCTGGCTGCTGATAATTTTTGTCATCTTCATCTACCTCTTCAGTAGTTACAATTGTTTCAGGTTTTTCTCCTTGTTTTTCAGTTATTTGTATTTTCGTAATTTCAAGTTTGTCACCTTTTTTCTTTTTGATTGTACGTTTCTTGATAGTCTTCTTAACAGGTACTCCTTTCTTATCGACTTCTTCAACTTGTAGAACTTCTTCCGGCAATTCTGTTGCAGCAAACTGAGGTATTTCAGTAATTTCCCCTTCAGGGAAATCAGGAAGTTCATGAGCTATTGCTTTTTTTAAGAGTTCCGTTCTGATCATATCTAAAACCTCTTCAACTTCAATTGGTTCTTCATCTTCTTTTTCGGCCAAAGTTGGTACAAACAGAATTTTGTCTTCAGGTTCTTCTTTTTTAGGTTTTTGTACTTGTTTAACTTTCTTCTTTTTGGACTTAAGCGGTGCTTCTGTTTCCTCCACCGTAACTGTAGTTTCAGGTTGTTTACCCTCTTCTTCTACAGTTACAATTTCAGTTTTTTCTTCTTTATCATCTTTTCTTTTACAAATAACTCGTTTTTTAATTTTCTGTTTCTTTGTTTTACCATCAGGAGTTATAGTTTCGACAATTTGAACCTCTTGTGGCAACTCTTCAATGAAAATGCCTTCCGAAGGTTTTTCTTCGAATTCTAGTATGTTTGCAGGAATTTCACTTTCTTCAACAGTTACAGAAGTTTCAATGGGTTTTCCTTCTTCTTCAACTGTTACAATACTTGTATCTTCCTGTTTACTGCCTTTACGTTTTCTGATTTTTCTAATTTTGACCGTTTTCTTCTTAGGTTTACCTTCTTTTGATACCACTTCTGTAACTTTAATTTCTGTTGGTAATTCCTCAATATAAGTAGATTCTTGTGGTAAAATTTGTGTTACTTCTTCAGGCACGTCTATCTCTTCAACAAGTACAGAAAATTGTGGTTTCTTTCCTTCTTCTTCAACTGTCACAATTTCGGTATTTTCCTGTTTGCTACCTTTGCGTTTTCGTATTTTTCGAGTTTTGAATATTTTTTGTTTGGGTTTTCCTTCCAAAGTTACTGTTTCAGTAACTTTAATTTCTGTGGGTAATTCTTCCAAAAACACTGCTTCCTCTGTTTTCATTTCGGGTAATTCATGAACAAATTCTGGAACAGGAATTTCTTCCACTGTTACAGAAGTCATTGGCTTTTTGCCTTCTTCTTCCACTGTTACAATTTGAGTTTCTTCTTGTTTACTACCTTTACGTTTTCGTAAACGTCGCACTTTGACGATCTTCTTTGAAGACTTTCCGTCTTTTCCAATTATTTCAGTTACTTTAATTTCAGTAGGGAGTTCTTCAATTATAGCAGGTTGTTCAGGTATTGGTTCAACTTCTTCAGGTATTAGTATTTCCTCAATTGAAAACGTTGTTTGTGGTTTCTTACCTACCTCTTCCACTGTTACAATTTTTGTTTTTTCCTCTTTGTTTCCAACGCGTCGCTTAATCTTTTTCACGATAGTTTTTATTGGCTTACCTTCCTTACTTACCGTTTCCGTTACAGTTACTTCCACAGGCACTTGCTCAATAGGTTTTTCAGGCTTAATGGTTTCTTCCAATAATGGAATTTCTTCCACAGTTACAGTTATGTCAGGTGGTTTGCCTTCTTCATCCACTGTTACAATTTCGGTTTTCTCTTGTTTCAAACCTTTCTTTTTCTTGATTTTTCTAGTAGTAACTTTCTGGCGTTTGCCGTCTTTAGTTACCGCTTCTTTGACTTCCACTTCTGCAGGTGTTTCTTCTACAAAATCAGCACTTTTATATTCAAGTGCTGGTATTTCTTCTAATGCTTCTGGTGCTTCAATTTCCTCAACTGAGACGGTTGTTTGAGGCTTTTTACCTACTTCCTCCACTGTTACCATTTCAGTTTTTTCAACTTTATTACCTATACGCTTTTTGATTTTCTTTACAATTGTCTTTTTCGGCTTACCTTCCTTGGTCTTAGTTTCAGTGATTTGAATTTCAGTTGAAACTTTTTCTGGTTCAGGTATCTCTAATTCTTCAACAGAAACAAAAGTTTCAGGTATTTTACCTTCTTCTTCTACAGTTACTACTTCTGTTTTTTCTTCTTTGTTACCTTTACGTCGTCTGATTCTCTTTACTATAGTTTTTCTAGGCTTACCTTCTCTAGTTACTGTTTCACTTACCTGTACTTCCACTGGTACTTTTTCAACATAATCAGCTTCTCGAGGTTTCAGTTCTTGTTCTTCTGGAATTTCAGTTACAGAAACTTCCATTTCAGGTTTTTTGCCTTCTTCTTCTACTGTCACAATTTCTGTTTTTTCTACTTTACCTTTTTTACGTCTACGAATTGTTTTAACAACTTTTCTTTTAGGTTTACCCTCTTTTGTTACGGTCTCCGTTACTTGGATCTCACCAAGTAACTCAACAATGTGGTCTACTCTTTCAGGTTCAACTATTTCTGTTTCTAGTTCTTCAGGTACTTCGAAGTCGTCGTAAATAACTGTTGTTTTAGGCTTTTTCCCTTCTTCTTCTACTGTCACAGTTTCGGTCTTTACCTCTTTACCATCTTTACGTTTCTTTATTTTCTTTGTGATTGTTTTCTTGGGCTTACCTTCCTTAGTTAGTGTCTCCACTACTTGTATTTTGGTAGAGACTTTTTGTGGCTGAAAGTCAGGAATGTCTTCGATTGTTTCTGGTATTTCTATTTCTTCAATCAGAACAGTGGTTTCAGGTCTTTTACCTTCTTCTTCTATTCTTGTTACTTTCGTTTCTTCTATTTTATCATCTTTGCGTCTCTTAATTTTCTTAACTGTTGATTTCTTAGGCTTACCTTCTTTTGTTATGGTTTCAGTAACGAATACTTCAACAGGTAATTCTTCAATGTATTTTGGTTCTTCAGGTTTAATTTCCGGAATTTCTTTCACTTCTTCGGTAACGTCAATTTCTTCGACTGTAACGGTTGTTTCTGGTTTCTTACCTACTTCTTCTACAGTTACAATTTCTGTTCTTTCTTCTTTGCTACCTTTACGTCTCTTCAATTTTCGAACAGTAGTTTTCTTAGGTTTACCTGTTTTAGTTATGGTTTCGGTAACTTGCACTTCAGCAGGAAGTTCTTCAATGATGTCTGGTTTGAATTCTTCGATTTCTTCGGGAACTTCAATTTCTTCAACTGCAACTGTTGTCTGTGGTTTTTTGCCTTCTTCTTCAACTGTTACGATTTCTGTTCGTTCTTCTTTATCACCCTTACGTTTCTTTATTTTCTTCACAATAGTTTTTCTTGGTTTATCTTCTTCAGTAATAGTTTCTACTATTTCAGTAGTTGTTGAAACTTTTTCACGAAGTTCTTCTGTAGCCTCAGGAATTTCTATTTCTTCAATAAAAACTGTACTTTCAGGTTTTTTGCCTTCTTCCACAACTGTCACGACTTTTGTTGTTTCTTCTTTATTGCCTTTACGTTTCTTGATTTTCTTTGTAACTGTTTTCTTTGGTTTGCCTTCGTCGGTTATAGTTTCTGTTACGTACGTTTCTGTAGTAAGAAGTTGCTCTTCCGGTATTTCTTCAGCCACTGGAATTTCCTCTACTGTAACTGTTGTTTCAGGTTTCTTACCTGCTTCCTCCACAGTTACAATCTGAGTTTGTTCTTCTTTGCCACCTTTCCTTTTCTTAATTTTCTTTATAATTGTTTTTTTCGGTTTACCTTCTTCGGTAATGGTTTCTGTCACTTCAGTTTCAGTTAGAATTTTCTCAGGAATTTCTTCAGTTAATTCTTCAATTGGGATTTCCTCAACAGTTACAGTTGTTTCAGGTTTTTTGCCTTCTTCTTCAACAGTTAATATTTCAGTTTTTTCCTCTTTGGCACCTTTGCGTTTTTTAATTTTCTTCAAGATTGTTTTCTTTGGTTTACCTTCGTCAGTCAAAGTTTCAGTAACATGCATTTCAACAATTTCTTCTTCAGGTTTCTTTTCAGGTAATTTGTGAGCTATTGCCTTTTTCAGTAGTTCCGTCTGAATCATTTCTATGACATCCCCTTCTTCTTCCTCCTGTTTCTGTACTAAAGTCGGAACAAAAAGTATTTTCTCCGGTTCTTCTGTATCCTCTTTGGGTTCCTTTAGTTTTTTAATTTTCTTCTTAGGTTTTTTATGTGCAGGCTCTTCAGGTTGTAATTCTTCAGGCCTTTCATACTCTTCCACCGTTACAGTAGTTTCAGGTTTCTTACCTTCTTCTTCAACAGTTACAATTTCTGTCTTTTCTTCTTTGTCTCCTTTACGTTTTTTGATTTTTTTCACTATTGTTTTCTTAGGTTTGCCTTCCTCAGTTACTGTTTCAATTACGTGTGTTTCAGTAGAAACACTTTCAGGTTTAAATTCAGGTAATTGTTGTATTTCTTCTGGAATTTCGATTTCTGTAACACTTACTGTAGTACTTTGAGGTACTTGGAAGGGAATTTCTTCAACTGTAATTGTGGTTTCCGGTTGTTTACCTTCTTCTTCAACAGTTACAATGTTTGTAAGTTCTTCTTTGTCACCTTTTCGTTTCTTAATTTTCTTTACAATAGTTTTCCTAGGTTTCCCTTCTTTGGTAACTGATTCAACAATCTCAGTTTCAGTTGATACTTTTTCAGGTAAAATTTCTTCTATTGCTTCAGTTAATGGTATTTCTTTAACCGTAACTGTTGTTTCAGGTAACTTGCCTTCTTCTTCAACAGTTATAATTTCTGTTTGTTCTTCTTTTGCACCTTTACGTTTTTTGATTTTCTTTATTATTGTTTTCTTAGGTTTTCCTTCTTTGGTAACCGTATCAATAACTTCAGTTTCAGTAGATACTTTGTCAGGTATTATTTCTTCAGTTGCTTCTTGGAACGGAATTTCCTCAATTGTGACTGTAGTTTCCGGCTTTTTACCTGCTTCTTCTACAGTTACAATTTTGGTTTGTTCTTCTTTGTCACCTTTACGTTTTTTAATCTTCTTAATTACAGTTTTCTTAGGTTTACCATCTTTTGTAACAGTTTCTATAACTTCAGTTTCTGTAGATATCTTTTCGGGTTTAAACTCAGGGAGTTCTTCAACTCCCTCCTCAACTGGTAATTCTTCAACTGTAACTGTAGTTTCAGGTTCTTTGCCTTCTTCTTCAACTGTTACAATTTTAGTTTGTTCTTCCTTCTCTCCTTTACGTTTCCTTATCTTCTTGATTATAGTCTTTTTAGGCTTACCTTGTTTAGTAACAGTTTCAATTACTTCAGTTTCTGTGGAAATTTGCTCTGGTTTAGTTTCTTCAACTGGAATTTCTTCTACAGTAACAATAGTTTCAGGTTTTTTACCTTCCTCCTCTACAGTGACAATTTCTGTGTGTTCTTCTTTACCTCCTTTACGTTTCTTAATTTTCTTTACAACAGTCTTTTTAAGTTTACCAGTCTCAGTTACAGATTCCGATACGTAAGTTTCGGAAGAAAGAGTTTCAGGTTTAAGCTCGGGTATTTCCTGTACTTCTTCGGGAATATCAATTTCCTGGAGACAAACTGTTGTTTCGGGTGTTTTACCTTCTTCCTGAATTGTTACGGTTTCAGTTTGTTCTTCTTTTCCTCCTTTACGCTTTTTAATCTTTTTAACAATAGTTTTCTTAAGTTTGCCTTGTTCCATTACAGTTTCCGTCGCATGTGTTTCCACAGTTTCTTCTTCAGGTTTCTTTTCAGGAAGTTCATGTGCCAGAGCTTTTTTAAGAAGTTCAGTTTTAATCATTTCAAGAAGATCCTCATCTTCTTCTTTCTTTTTCTGTGCTAATGTAGGTACAAAAAGAATTTTCTCAGGTTCTTCTTTCTCCTCTTTAAGTTTTTTAGCTTTCTTTACTTTTGGTTTTTTGTGACTTTCTTCTATAGTTTCTGGTACACTTATTTCTTCCACTGTAACTGTAGTTTGAGGTTCCTTACCTTCTTCTTCAACAGTTACGATTTGTGTTTGTTCTTCTTGCTCTCCTTTGCGTTTTTTAATTTTCTTTATAATTGTTTTCTTAGGTTTACCTTCCTCAGTTATTGTTTCACTTGTATGCGTTTCGGTAGAAACTGTTTCTGCTTTGAATTCCGGTATTTCTTCAACTGCTTCCTCAACCGGGATTTCTTCAACTGTAACTGTAGTTTCAGGCTGTTTGCCTTCTTCTTCAACAGTCACGATCTGAGTCTGTTCTTCTTTACCACCTTTACGCTTTTTAATTTTCTTAATTATGGTTTTCTTAGGTTTACCTTCTTTTGTGACAGTTTCAATTACTTCAGTCTCTGTCGAGACCTTTTCTGGTCTAAATTCAGGAATTTCTTCAACTACTTCTTGAACTGGAATCTCTTCTACTGTTACTGTAGTCTCTGGTTTTTTACCTTCTTCTTCAACGGTTACAATTTGGGTTTGCTCCTCTTTTCCACCCTTTCGTTTTTTGATTTTTCTTATTACGGTCTTTTTAGGTTTACCTTCTTTGGTTACTGTTGTAATTACTTCAGTTTCTGTTGAAATTTTTTCTGGAATTGCCTCAACCGGTACTTCTTCAACTGTTACAGTCGTTTCAGGCTTTTTGCCTTCTTCTTGAATAGTTACGATTTCTGTTTTTTCTTCTTTTTCTCCTTTACGTTTCTTAATTTTTTTCACAATAGTTTTCTTTGGTTTACCTTCTTCAGTAACTGATTCGGTAACAAAAGTCTCAGTCGAAATTTGTTCAGGCTTGAATTCAGGTAATTCTTCCGTTGTTTCCTGCACAGGTATTTCCTCTACTGTAACTGTTGTCTCGGGTTTCTTACCTTCTTCTTCAATTGTTACGATCTGTGTTTGTTCTTCTTTTCCACCTTTTCTTTTCTTAATTTTCTTAATAATCGTTTTTTTAGGTTTTCCTTCTTTTGTAATAGTTTCAATTACTTCAGTTTCTGTCGAAATTCTTTTTTCAGTTGCTTCTTGGAGGGGAATTTCTTCAACTGTAATTGTAGTTTCCGGTTTTTTACCTGCTTCTTCAACAGTTACAATTTGAGTTTGTTCTTCTTTTCCTCCTTTACGTTTCTTTATTTTCTTTATTATTGTTTTCTTAGGTTTACCGTCCTTGGTAACTGTTTCAACAACTTCAGTTTCTGTAGATAGTTTTTCAGGAATTATTTCTTCAGTTGCTTCTTGGAACGGAATTTCTTCAACCGTGACTGTAGTTTCCGGCTTTTTACCTGCTTCTTCTACTGTTACAATTTTGGTTTGTTCTTCTTTGTCACCTTTACGTTTTTTAATCTTCTTTATTACAATTTTCTTAGGTTTACCATCTTTTGTAATAGTTTCTATAACTTCAGTTTCTGTAGATATCTTTTCTGGTTTAAACTCAGGGATTTCTTCAACTCCCTCTTCAACTGGTAATTCTTCAACTGTAACTGTAGTTTCAGGTTTTTTGCCTTCTTCTTCAACTGTTACAATTTTAGTTTGTTCCTCCTTCCCTCCTTTTCGTTTCTTTATCTTCTTGATTATAGTCTTTTTAGGCTTACCTTCTTTAGTAACAGTTTCAATTACTTCAGTCTCTGTGGAAATTTTCTCTGGTTTAAATTCAGGAACTTCTTCGAGAGCTTCTTCAACAGGAATTTCTTCGACTGTAACTGTTGTTTTAGGTTTCTTTCCTTCTTCTTCAATAGTAACAATTTGGGTTTGTTCTTCTTTTCCACCTTTTCTTTTCTTAATTTTCTTGATTATTGTCTTTTTAGGTTTACCCTCTTTTGTAACCGTTTCAATCACTTCAGTTTCTGTAGATATCTTTTCTGGTTTAAACTCAGGGATTTCTTCAACTCCCTCCTCAACTGGTAATTCTTCAACTGTAACTGTAGTTTCAGGTTGTTTACCTTCTTCTTCAACTGTTACAATTTTGGTTTGTTCCTCTTTCTCTCCTTTACGTTTCTTTATCTTTTTGATTATAGTTTTTTTAGGCTTACCCTCTTTTGTAACAGTTTCAATCACTTCAGTTTCTGTGGAAACTTTTTCTGGTTTAAACTCGGGTATTTCTTCAAAAGCTTCTTCAACTGGAATTTCCTCAACTGTAACTGTTGTTTCAGGCTTTTTGCCTTCTTCTTCCACAGTCACGATCTGTGTTTGTTCTTGTTTCTCTCCTTTACGTTTTTTAATTTTCTTTATAATTGTTTTCTTAGGTTTACCTTGCTCAGTTATCGTTTCACTTATATGTGTTTCGGTAGAAACTGTTTCTGCTTTGAATTCCGGTATTTCTTCAACTGCTTCCTCAAGCGGGATTTCTTCAACTGTAACTGTAGTTTCAGGCTTTTTGCCTTCTTCTTCAACAGTCACGATTTGTGTCTGTTCTTCTTTGCCACCTTTACGCTTTTTAATTTTCTTAATTATGGTTTTCTTAGGTTTACCTTCTTTTGTAACAGTTTCAATTACTTCAGTTTCTGTCGACACCTTTTCTGGTTTAAATTCAGGAATTTCTGCAATTGCTTCTTGAACTGGAATCTCTTCTACTGTTACTGTAGTCTCTGGTTTTTTACCTTCTTCTTCAACGGTGACAATTTGGGTTTGCTCCTCTCTTCCACCCTTCCGTTTTTTGATTTTTCTAATTACGGTCTTTTTGGGTTTACCTTCTTTCGTAACTGTTGTAATCACTTCAGTTTCTGTTAAAATCTTTTCTGGAATCTCTTCAACTGGTACTTCTTCAACCGTAACAGTTGTTTCAGGCTTTTTGCCGTCTTCTTCTACAGTAACAATTTCAGTCTTTTCTTCTTTTTCACCTTTTCGTTTTCTGATTTTCTTTATTATAGTTCTCTTAGGTTTACCCTCATCTGTGATAGTTTCTACGACTTCTGTTTCTGTTGAAACTTTTTCTGGTTCAAATTCAGGAATTTGTTTTATTTCTTCTTCCGGTATTTCAATTTCTTGAACGGCAACTTTAGTTTCCGGTTTCTTACCTTCTTCTTCTACTGTCACAATTTCAGTTTGTTCTTCTTTACGTCCCTTGCGTTTCTTAATTTTTTTAACTGTTGTTTTTTTAGGTATACCTTCTTCGGTAATTGTTTCAGTAACATAAGTTTCAGTAGAAACTTGTTCTTCAGGTTTAAATTCAGGCAACTCTTCAACTTCTTCAGGCATAACAACCTCTTCAACAGTAACTGAGGTTTGAGGCTTTTTACCTTCTTCTTCAACAGTGACAATTTTAGTCCTTTCTTCTTTCTTGCCTTTGCGTTTTTTAATTTTTTTGATTGTTGTTTTAACGGCTTTCCCATCTTTTGTTACACTTTTAACCACTTCGATTTCAGTGGATACTTTCTCGGGTTCAAATTCGCGTATTTCTTCTATTTCGAGTTTCTCGTCTTCAATAGTTTCAACAACCTCTTTATCTCCGATCCTTCGTTTAATCTTTTTAATTATCTTCTTTTTATGTTTCTCTTCGATCTCCGGTTCTTGGGGCTCTTTAATTTCTTCAACTAAAACAGTGGTTTCAGGTTTCTTCCCTTCTTCTTCTACGGTTACAATTTTAGTTTCTTCTTCTTTGTCACCTTTGCGACGCCTAATTTTTTTAACTACTGTTTTCTTAGTCTTACCTTCTTCAGTTACACTTTCCGTTACATGAACTTCACTTGGTAGTTCTTCCACATATTCAGGTTTAATTTCTTCAACAGCTGGCAATTCTTCAACTGAAACTGTAGTAACAGGTTCTTGACCTTCTTCTTCAACTGTAACAATTTCCGTATTTTCCTGTTTTCCACCTTTACGTTTCTTGAAAACTTTTCGTTTTACAGTCTTGGTTTTGGTTTTACCATCTGGCGTTGTGATTTTCAGAATTTGTGTTTCAATGGGTGTTTCTTCTATATGTGCTATTTCAGGTTTAAATTCAGGAATTTCTTCTAATTCTTCAGGCACTTCGATTTCTTCAATCGTGACAGTTGTTTCAGGCTTTTGTCCTTCTTGTTCTACTGTAACTATTTCAGTATCTTCCTGTTTGCTACCTTTACGCTTTCTGATCTTTCTTCGCTTGATTATTTTCTTAGTGACTTTTCCATCCACTTCTTCTTCGACTTCTTGTACCTCTTCTGGGAGTTCTTGAATGATCGGTTTTTCTTCCTCTACAACCTGTGTGTCTTCAATCACTTTTTTCTTCTTAATTTTCTTCTGAATCTTTACAGTTTTTGTTTCGGTGTCTTCAAGCACTTCTGGTTTTACCTCTTCTTCAACGATTTCTTCAATAAGAGGACTTTGTTTAATTTTTTCTGTTTCAGGGGCAATTTCATCCAAAACTTCTTCAATGATAACATCACCTTCCTCTGCTTTCTTATCGCGTTTTTTGATAATAGTTTTTTTAGTAATGATTTGAGTGGTTTCATCACTATCTGGTACAGATTTAAATTTGGTAATAATTTCATGTGTTTCCTCTGTATGGAGCTGAGGTGTGTCATCTTTTTGGATAATTGATGTGTGTTGCTCTGCTTTTTGGGTTAGAGATGTGGTTTGTGTAACTCTGGCTCGTGTTTTGTGTGGTTCTGTTTCATCCAACGGACCTGTAATTGACAGTTGTGTTTACATAAAGAAGAACATTGTGTGCATACTTTGTGTTAATTGTTTCGTGTTTGCTTGTTTATAGGAGTAATGTGAGATGTTAGAGGTTTAATCTTTTCTTTTAGGCACGGTCCACCTTTTATCATGGTTGATTCAAATTTTATTTATTTGATTTTTTTATTTTATTTCATTTAGTTTTAGTCGCTGCTTGGAAAACTCACCTTCTTTCTCCTGTAACTGAACTTCGCTAATTTCCAAACTCGCGACATCCTCCAAAACTACTTTAACCGTCTTTGATGATGCTTTTTCCACGTCTATTGACTCCAAATCGCCCGTTGTTTTCATTTCAGTAACTATGAGTCCGTGTTTTTCGGTCAAGTCACTTTGAGCTTTCGTTAGTTTAGGTTTCTCAGTCGTAAATACATCACTTGTTTGAAGAGGAACCGTTTCTTCTTTCACTGAAACGGGACGATGGACGATTTCTTCTTGCGCTGTTGATTCTTTTGCAAGGCCTTCAGTAATTTCTTTACCTAACTGCCCTTGAATGTTAACTTCAGTCACAGTTAAACCTTCCTTGAGCAAAATATCAACACTAGCAGTTTTAAAGCTAGTTTCTTCTTTTTGAATTTTTTCAGTAGTACCTTGTACGGTGACTTCACTTTGTACTAACCCTTCTAAGGGAATAGTTGCCTGTGAAGCTCGTCTGGTTTCTTGGACAGTCTCAGTAAACTCCTCAAATGAATCAAAAGTTTTTACAAGGCTCTTCTGACCAATCTTTCTGCCTTCTTGCAAATCAAACTCGGCTAGTTGTTTTGAAGGCACCTCGGGTTTAAATTTACTCAAACCTTCTTGAACTTCTGTTTCCTCAATTTGAGGTGCCTCTTGAGGACTTACAGTTTTATCAGCTTTGGAGGACTTTGGAGAAGTCTCCTCAAAAGTACTCACTTTCTCCTCAGTTACCACTTCAGCAGTCGAAGCCGTTTTTCGCGTCTTTTCCAATTCTAAATCCGCCAGCTGAGTGACCGGTTTATCGCCAGGTTTAAAAGTACCCTCTTTCTCAGTCAAAGTCACTTCAGTGATACTCAAAGTTGAGTGTGTAACATGTTCCGGTAAAGCTTCCCCTTTATCGGGTACTTCGGTTGTAAAACGCCCTAAACCTTCCTCAATTCGAGTCTCCTCAATCTGAGGAGCCTCCTGAGGACTCACTGTCTTATCAGCAGTGGTCGTTTTAACACGACTCTCCTCAAAAGTAGCTTCCTTTTCCTGAGTAATAACCTGAGTTGTTGAGGCAGTTTTTCGTGTTTTCTCCAACTCCAATTCTGCGAGTTGGGTCAGTGGTTTATCCCCCGCTTTGAAATCTTGCTCTTTTTCGGTGGACGTTATTTCAGTTATACTCACTGTAGAGTGAGGTATGTGTTCCTGAGAGGCGTGTTCTTGTTCAGGTGCTTTGATTTCAAATTTGGGCATGTCTCCCACTGAAGTCACCCCTTCAATTACTAGAGCTTCTTGTGGGATGATAGTCTTCTCGGCTTTGCTGGTTTTGAAAGAGATTTTGTCCTCGAAAACGCTTTCTTTTTCTTGGACAATGACTTGTGCAGTTGACGCAGTTTTTCTTGTATCTTCTAATTCCAACTCGGCCAGTTGGGTTGCAGGTTTATCTCCGGGTTTGTACCCACTTTCTTTTTCAGTTGAAGTTATTTCAGTAATGCTGACACTTGTGTAAGGGATGTGTTCTTGCAAAGCTTCCCCTTTTTCTGGAATCTCAGTTTTCAGCTTTCCTATATCCTGCGTTGTTCTTACTTCTTCGATAATTGGAACTTCCTGAGGTGTTATCGTTTTGTCAGCTTTAGAAGTCTTAAATTTAACAGTTCCTTCAAACGAAACTTCTTTTTCCTGAGTCAAAACTTGAGCAGTTGACGCAGTTTTTCTTGTTTCTTCTAATTCCAGTTCAGCAGACTGAGTTACCGGCATATCGCCAGGTTTGAAATCACTTTCTTTTTCCGTAGAAGTTATCTCAGTTATACTGACAGTTTTGTGAGGAATGTGCTCCCCAAGAGCTTGTTCTTTATCAGGGATGTCAGTTTTCAATTTTCCTAAATCCTCTTCTGTTGTTACTTCCTCAATCAAAGGAGCTTCCTGCGATGTAACACTTTTGTCCGCTTTCAAAGTTTTGAATTTGAAAGTCCCTTCAAACATTTCTTCCTTTTCGTCGGTCACAACCTGGGCTGTGGAAGCAGTGCTCCTGGTTTCTTCCAACTCGAAAGCTGCTATTTGTGTTGACGGCTTTTCAAGACGTTTAAAATCGCCTTCTTTCTCGCTTGAGGTGATTTCAGTAATACTGACTGTGCTGTGAGGGACATGCTCTTGTTGCGCTTTACTTTTATCAGGTATTTCAGTAGATAAAGAAGTTACAGCTTCTTGAACCGTGGTTTCCTGTATTTGGGGTACCTCTTGAGGACTGATCGACTTTTCGGCTGTGCTTGTTTTGAAACTTGGTGTTTTCTCAAACTCAGATTCTTTGTCAGTTGTTGTGATTTCAGTAATTGAGACTGGAGTTTGCGGAATTATCGATAAGTCGCCTCTTTTGCTCTCAATAGGGGTTTTGTCGAACGGTACTTCCGTTTCCTGGACCGTTCTCTCCGAAATTATAACACTTTGCAAAGTACTTTCGCTGATTTCAGCCGTTTCAGTGCTTGGTTTTTCGGTTTTTAATTTTCCAATGTGTTCATGGAGTAGTACTTCTGATTTAGAACTAGTGGTTAAGTCAGAGGTAATGTTGGAAATTCCAAATTTCTCCTCTTTAGTGAAGTCGCTCACTAATTCCCTTTCATTTTCTTGTGTTGTGATATCAGTAATGTTTATTGAGGATTTTTCATCAAACACTTGTGTTGCTTTCTTGGTATCAAAGTCGGGTGTTTTATCGAAACCTTTTTCAGCTTCGTGTACAATATTTTCTGATGAAATCACCCCTTCTAGTACTCCCTGAGTCACACTTCCGACTACCGGTTCTTTGGTTTCAGGTTGGAAATCGCCAACATTTTCACTGACAAGTACCTCCGAAGCTTGAAGTGGTTTCCTAGTGGCATCGTACTCGGCTACGGCTTTCTCAGTTTTGGCCTCAAATTTAGTAAATTCTTCGGCTTGAGCTTCTGTGTATGTTTCACTAGTGGTAATCTCACTTAAAACATCAACTTTGGTGTCAGCTTTCTTGGTGGTGGGTTTAAAAGTACCTTCAAACTGCCCAAAAGTATCCATAACATCAGTTACAGCTTGAGTCAAACTTTGCAGAACGTTTTGTTCAGGAACAGCAGACGCGGTTCCTGGTTTTTCAGGAACGAAATCACCAACTTGCATACTGGTTAAAACCTCGGAGGCTTGCATTGAAATATTGCTGATGACGTCAATACTGGCACTTGTGGTTTCCGGTTTGCGTTGCTCTTCCAACAAACTTTCCCTTTCAGCAGGGATAATTTCAGAAGTTGAGATTATTTTGCCTTCTTCGATTTCAATTTCAGCTTTCTTAGTCACATAGTCTGGCTTCTGGTCAAAGCTTTGTTCTTTTTCTTGGATAAGTGGTACCGTTTGGATTAACACTTCGTGAGTTGTGTGTTTAATAGAGGCTGTAGATGTCGATGGTATTTCTTGTACCAACTCCCCAGGTACGCTTTCGGATTGAATTTGTGTTTGTTCTGGGACGAGTTTTGCGTCATACCCGCTTGTGGCTTTTTGGGTTTTAGGCAAGTCGAAGTCTTTGACCAAACCTTCTTTATCGTGAGTCACAGACTCAATTGATTCTACAACTTTTTTTCCTTCTTCTAAAGAGACATTTACTTTACTAGTGGTCGGTTTAAATTTACCCTCAAATTCGGATTCTCTCTCCTCAGTCACACTTTCACTCACAATTAAACTAGCAAGAGCTTCCTCATTCTCAGAAGCTTGCTGAGTTTCAGGTTTGGTACTTTCAAACTTCCCAATATCTGCACTCGAGTCTACTGTTGTCTGTTCCGCGACTTTATGAGTCACATCGATGCTTTTAACTGCGACTTTCTCCGATGGTAAAACAAGAGGAACAAATGTGTCTTCCTTAATCCCCAACGTAGCCTCAGAAATAGCAATTCCTTCGACTGGTTCAACGTTAACACTAGCGATAACCTCACTCGGTTTTCCTCCTTTTTCAAACGTTTCCTCTTTATCGATTACAATTTGTTCAGTTTGAGTCACGATATTGTAAGGGATTGTTTCAGAAATTGCAGTTGTGGTATCCTTAATATCAAGTTTCAAATCCCCGATACATAAATCAGCTTGGGTTTGACAGGTTGCAGCAACGGCTTTCATATCAGCGAAACTAGCTTCAGCAATTTTCGTATCAGTCGTTTCTTTCACAAACTCTTTTTCAGCTTCGTTAGTCATAACCGTTTGCACAATCACACTTTGACCTTCGTTGACCGAAATTACAACATTTTTAGTTTCGGTTTTAGAAATTTCAAGAGGTGTATCTGACTCCGTAGGGACAGTTTCAAGATTAACAGCGGTTTTAAAAGCTGAAAATTCAGACTGCGCTGACACCGTTTCCGGATTTTGTATTTCCAAGTCTTTGAAGGTTTCATTGACTCCGGTTTCGGTTTTTATAACGAGTTCTAAGGTCTCAAGGCCTAGAGCTGCGTGTTTACCTTCGGGTTTTTCTCCGGGTTTGAGAATTGTTTCACTCTCGTTACTGTCAGTTTGTGTTATCACAACTCCTGTATCTTCTCTAAACGCAATAGTTGCGGTTTTTAAATCAAAAGGAGTTCGATCAAAGGGAGTTTCACTGTCTCGGACCAGTGATTCGGATTGGATAACACTCTCTAAAGTAGTTTGATCGACGTTTGCTTTAGCTGAGAGTGGCAAAACTTCGACCACATCCTTAGTGATGTTTTCAGCAACTACAATGTTAGTTTCAGCAACCGGTTGAACGTCGAAGCTTAGTGAAGCTTGACCAGAAGTTGCAGTTTCGGCTTGTTCATACATTTTTTCTTTATCGACAGTTAAGGTTTCCGTAATCAGGGCTGTTTTAGTTTCCTCAAACTCAACACCTGCTGTTTTTTGCTCCGGTTTTGTGTCTTTAGTGAATTCTCCTTCAGATTCTCCGATAACAGCCTCCAGATTGATAATACTTTGTAGTTCCGATTGAGTTTTAAGAGCTGTGGCCCGAGTAGGTGACGATCTATCATAATCCCCGAGAGTATCCCCTGGGATGGTTTCCCCAACCTGGACCTCGTCTTGGGGCAACAAAATTGGGGCTGCGGTTTCAAACTCGCGTTCTTTCTCCTTAAAATCTTTTTCCTTATCTGCAGTAGTGACAGAAGTTATTGAAACACTCTCTCCAAGAGTGTAATCTTCCGCAGCTGATTTTAAATCAAATTTGGTTTGGGCAAAGTCTGATTCTTTTTCCTGGATCATCACTTCGCCAGTGATTACACTTTCAAGCAAGGAACGGTCACAAGTTGCTTGTTTTGTGGTGACTTCCGGTTGTGTCAATTTATCGATAGTGTGGTCAGGTTGGACTTCCGTTTTGGTTGCAATTACGTGTGAAGAAATTGATTGTTCGCCATAAGCCACCTCTGGTTTAGTCATTTCCTCTAATGCCTTTTCCTTGTAGTCTGAAGTGACTTCGGTTACGTTCAAACCCTCGGTTTCGAGGAATTCAACAGTGACTTGCTTTTGGTCCGGTTTGACATCAGCAGGTTGAAGGCTTTCTTTCTCGCCTGGAGTAAAATGGGTTTGGACCAAAGGATGTGAGATATCTTGAGCCGTTTTGGCGAGTTGTTTCTCCGGGGATACTCTGGAGAAATCTCCAGGGCTTATCTCAGGAGTTACTTCTTCCTTAAGGGCAACTTGGGATTCAGTCACGTCGATGTTAGCCTGGGATTCTGTAGGTTTCAAAACCTCCAAAGGCTGCTCTTTGTGATCTGTCACAATTTCAGTGACTGATAATTGCTGGCCTGGGATTATATTAACATTTGCCGATTTTTTGAACGGCATTATATCTTTGGGCAAGTCTTTCTCAATATCAACAACGTTGGTTTCAGTGACTATCAATTCCTGAAATGGTTTTGCATATTTCTTGGCTTTACCAGTCAGTAACTCCTCTTCTTTTATCTCATCAGCATGTACCACAGTCTCAATTTCGGACTTGACTATTACCTCCTGTGGAGTGACATTCGGGAGAGCTAACCCGTGTTGAGGTTGAGGTTGAGCTTGATACTCTTCCTCCCTCTCATTTGTGAAAATTTGAGTAACATTTGGCCCTTGTCGAGCTTCAGTCAAATCAACAGCGACTTGCTTAGTCTCAATTTCAATTTTTTTCACCTCGTCTACTTCCTTTTCCGCTGCTTGACATTGCGTTATTTGTACACTTTCAAGTGTGTCCTGTTCTGTTTCTGCAACCACAGTTGAAGGTTGCAAAGTTTCGAGCTTCTGGGCCGAATCATCAGGCTGGACGATGAGTTTACTAGCAACTTTCTGAGTGTCAATGTCTAGAGTCGCTTGTTGAGTTGCTGGTTTTTCACCAGGGATGTATTCCTTCTCTTTGTCATCAGTATAGACTTCGGATATGTTCAAACTTTCTTTAGGTGAGACAATAAGAGAGGCTTGTTTGCCCTCGGGAGTCACATAATCCTGATCTTGGAAAGTCTCGCCGACCATAGCTTGTGAAATGATGGTTTCGGTGTGAGGAGTTTGGGTGAAGTCCGCTTGGGTAGGTTTAATTCCAGTTTCGTCAAGTTTGCTCGCACTATACTCAGGATTTACCTCTTCGACAATTCCGGTGGGGAGAGTGTGACTTGTAATTGCTTTACTTTTGTGACTTTCGGGCATTTCAAAAGTTTTGAGATTACTCTCACTTTCCAAATAATTCAATTCGGTTACTGCTACCTGGTCTTGGGGCCGGGTGAAATTACTTTCAGCGGTTTTCAACTCGGGTTTATCCTCGATGTATGACGACTCCCGTTCATTGATATTTGTCTCAGTGATGTGAGTCGCTTCGAGAGTTTCAATGTCTCGAATAGCGGTATCAGTTTTAAATTTGGGATAATCAGTGAAATCATCAGGGACATCAGTAGTGTGAATTTCCGAAATCGTCAAGGATTCTACAGGCCGTACTGATGTTTCGGCAAGTAATTCAGTCGGTTTTTCTCCCAAGTCTAGCACATTTTCGCTCTCTTGAGCCGTTACGATTGAAATATCGGTCACTTCGTGACAAATCACCGAACTGTCTGCAGTTTTATAATTGGGTTTATCCCCGACTTCGTACCGGCCTTCACTCTCAACAGCGAGAGTAGTTTGAGTTGAGAAAGTTTCTTTCGGTAAAATTTCAACACTTGCTACTTCTTTAGGGAGTAGATCTTCTTCCATATCTTTTTGTGGCATTTGAGAGTCGGTCACACTAACCCTGACTCCTTCCGAAAGGATCAAATCCTCTGTAGCTGAAGCTTTTTCGGGACTAGGGGCTTTGTTAAAGACATTTTCCTTGTCTTGTGGCAAAGTTTGAGAAACAATTACACTTTCTCCTGTTGTGACTTTGAAATCGGCTTTTTGGGTTGGAGGGAGCCGTCCAGGGACGTACTCACCTTCAGTTTCAGGGGCTACCATTTGTGATTGAGTTAGTGATTTTTGGGGGATGACTCCAAGAGTAGCAATTTCGGTGGGAACGAAAGCTTCTGGAAGATGTTTTCCGGGCTTAGTTTCCGATTCAATTTCTTCAACAATGATCGATTCTTTGGTTTCAATACTGACTTTGCCTTTAACTGACGTTGGTTTGGTTATATCGAGCTCAGTTTCGCTGACTCCCTGGAAGATTTCTTCGATATTGATGCTCTCTTTCGTTGTGAAAGTACCAGTGGCTTGGCTGGGTTTGGGGATTGTAAATTCGTCTAAATTTTGTTCTTTTTGCGAAACTTCCACTTCGGAAACCCCTTTGGCTTCTTGGGGAAGTAGTGAAAATTCAGCTTTGAATTCTTTTGCGTCCTCTTTAGTGATAGTCGAGGACGTGTCTGCGAGTTGTACTTCTTGAATTGAGATACTTTTATTTGAGGTAAATTTAGGGAAAGCTGTTGATAAAGTTGGTTGGAAAGTGCCATCGAAGTGACCAGGGATGCTTTGCACATCTTGTTCGCTGACTTCGTAAGCCTCACGCGTATCGATTGATTTTTTGGCTACGAAACTCGCTGAAGTGACTTTTTCTCCTATGATTTCCTTTTCCTCAGCTTGGATTTGATGCTCCATAATAGCAGAGTGTGTTAAAAGATCGACGCTAGCCTTCGATTCGACTACATCTCCAGGTTTGATTTGAGCTACAAGACCTAACGGGGTCGTCTCTGAATAGACTGCTGAAGTGTGTAGAGGAATTTGTTGTTGTTTGGTGGCATCAAAAGGAACAATTTCATCGTATTCTTCCTCGTCCATGTCATACTCGCCAACTTTGGGCCTATGTGCTTTAATTTTGCGACCAGCGATTGCTTTTTCCGCTTCTTCTTCCTCTTCTTCCTCAATTTCAATATCTTTGCGACGTTTGACCTCGACTTTTTGCTCTTTTTTCCTGCGCCAAGGCGCAACGGACTCAAGTTCTGGTTGTTCAACGGGCAATTCAGTAATTGTGAGCTTGTCATCGTGTTGTGTGGTGCCTTTGATGCTGCGTTCTGCTTCAATTTCAACGATTTCTGTAAGTGTTTGTATGATTGTTTGATGTTTGTCTAACAGATTAGTGTGAGATTTTCATGCCGAAGCTGGAGTGAATAGTGGCATGAGTGCGTTGTCTAAGCATAGTGTATGAGAAAGTTCTACTCACCTAGAGAAAAATAAAGCAGGCGACACTAAATGCCATGCTTCGAGTTAGCTTTGCTACATTTACATTTCAGCTTTTAGTTGCGTTTTGCACTAGGTTATCAAGCGCAGAGATGGCGCAAAGTTTTTCTCGTCTTGTGGCAGCACTTACCTTGCTGCCAGTCAGACAGTCAAAAACCAAATATTTACGACAAAGAATTAAAGTAATTTTCACGTGAAGCTTAACAACTTACCAACTTCATCAGTTTCTTTTTTACCCTTTTTCTTAACGACTTTTGTTGTGTCTAAATATAAAAACTACATCAGTCTCTTTGGGGATACTTTATTGAGGCAATTATAACAATCATATAAAATATAGGCAGGCAATAACGCATAAAGTTTATTTTTTTTTACAAATATGGCACAAGGACATGCACAGCTCACACAAGACTCACCTTCGAATACTTCAACTTCTTCTTTAATTGTGACCATTTCTTTGAAAGATGCCTTGGTGACAGACTGCAACAAATCGAGTTAGGGAAACACCAAGAGTGACAAAAACACGTACTTCTGTTACTTCAGATGACTCCCAAGCCCTTTGGATGAAATCCTCCGGTGTAAAACTAGTGATCACTTCTTCAATAGTGACATAATTTGACTCCACCATCTTCATAAGGGCTCTAAATCCTACAGTTGCGGCTAATTGCTTCTCATCAATTGTCGTTTCTTCGGTCAAAACTTCAGAAATAAGGGCACCATGACCCTTCCTTTCGACCACATTGACCAAAGCTGACTGTGCTTGAGGACTGGTCAAAGACGGAAATTTGTTTTCGTGATACAAAACTGTGACTTCTTTCGTCGTAATTCCATTCTTCAGTAAGTACCCTATTTCGGCAATTTCTCTTAGAGGATGCTCCCCAGGTCCGAACTGCTTGACATTGATGAAATCCAACATTTCGGTGACTTCCTTTGCCATTTTCATTTCGCTCTTTCTGATGATTTTTTCCACACGTTCGATTACTTCTTCTAACTTGACTTCCGTAATGTTGGCAAATTCGGCGATTGTTTCTTCAATTTCAGTTCTAGCTCTTCGAGTCTGTGGCCTGGTTTGGGTAATATCCTTGACAGTCTCCCCAGGCTGGATCAGTTCAGACACCATCGGTTCGGTTGGAGACAACAAGGTTTTAGCCTTTTCTTCTTCAATCACTTCAGTTGTATCATCAATTTTCTTGCATGAAGCAACAGCTTCGGTTTTGAGAGGCTTTTGGATGTCGAGTTTGGGAGTAGCAGTTTCGGGTTTGGGTTCTTGGACTTGGATCTGTTCCGTAGTTTCGATTGTGGTAACTTCACTTACTTCCAAGGGTTTGGTTTCTTCTTCGCGAGTTTCAACAACTTTCTTCCGGTGACGCTCGGTGCGTTTTTTCTCGATGGTGACTCGTTCTTTCTTCACTTTCTCTTCACGTTCTTGGGCTTTCTTGATTAGGAGTTCTTTCTTCTTTTCTTCTGGTACTTCCTTGACGTAGAGTTTGGCCTTGGTGACGGCCAAACCGACGTCGCTTACTGCCTTACACACGTAAGTACCTTCGTGTTCCTTGGTGACCTCGGTGATGGTGCAGGAAGTCTTGTTGTCTTCGATGCGAACCTTGACTTTATCAGTGTTTCGCACGATTTTGTCATTGTGGTACCAGATGATATCTGAAATTATTCATTTCTTGATTGTAAAAGTTTTTTCAAAAATTCAAGTACCTGGAGTAGGGGTTCCCGAAAATAGACACTCAAACTTGATGGTTTCAGTTTCAGAAGTTCGGACATCTGTGATTTCTTGTATGAAAGTTGGCGGACTTTGAGAAGCTAAACCAATCACAGATTAGTACCTTATCGTACAAACATGGGCAAAAATTGACCTACCTTACTTAATTGCCTGTCCATAGTTTGGTACTATTGTTCTAATTGAGAAAACACTAAGATTAGTAAGCAGACACATTAGCATTAGTTTACCTTGATCGGTGGTACCTCCAACATTTTCCATTGATTCTACAAATGCAGATGCTAAACCCCGTCCTCGGTCACTCATACATTCACTTTCCAGAAGTAAAAATTCCTGAAGTTCTTCTTGACTATCGGCCGTGTGTAGCTGTTGGAAAGCACAAGGGTCGAGTTCTCGCGGTTCCAAAGGGTACATAGTCTCATCGTAGTAATTTTTGTATAAATTGTGACTTTCCCCTTCGTTTTTAATTCTTGGAAAAGTGAGGTACTTCTCCTGGTACTCACACGCTACTCTTTCTGAAGGGATTGGATCGCAAGAACTCGATAGTTTGTACCTGGCATCGAACCGTCTTTTCTCAGAACCGTTACTTCCTCTGAAACTACTACTCCTAGTCGAGGGTTCACTCTTTTCCTCAATTGGTGAAAGGATAAAAAAGGGTTGGGGCGATTGTCGACTTTGGGGTTCCACATATACTTCCTCGTAGTCTACAGGTTCATCAACAATTATTTCCTCGGCGAATCTACGAGTTCTCTCGCTCCTGTCGATTAATTCCATCACAGAACTCAAAGAGTGTCTATGTGAATTGAGATAGTCCGTCATGGCACTCTCAATAAATGACATTTTGGCTCTAGTTGCCTGATTTGGTTCACTATAGACTGAAGCTAAAGAGGAAGCTTGCGATTCGGTTGGTTCGGTCAAGTAGCAGGGAGCACCAGAAGCACCAGCCTTACCTTCACTTCGTTTTACGGGTACTTCGAGACTATCGGTGGACATTTCTAACGAACGTGCATGCGAAACACTAGTTGCAACACTGGATTTACCTTTCAAAGCCGCTTGGAGCTCCTCCATGTGGGTAACCCATTCGGGTTTGCGGTACTCCTTAGTACCCAAGATACCTAAAACCAAATTTCGATTAATTCCCCTCCAAAACAAGTGAAGTGTTGTGTGAATTGAAAGAGTATTGTGGAAGTTAGGGATAAGGGCAAGGTTGCTGAAAAATTATCATTATTACAATTATTAGAACCAAACGGTTTGATTTATTTGGTTCCATTTACCTTCAGTACTCTCTACAAGTAATTGTGTGGTTGTGACTGCAACTCCGAGCGGGTTTTGGGCTTCGTAGACGATATCACCTGTGTCATCCGGGTACACCTCTGAAATTGTGAGAATAGAAGTTCCATCTTCAAAATTTTCGATCAGGAACTCGCGAGATGGTACAATTTCTGTCCCTTGTTTCAACCATTTGCCTTCAGGTTTGGGTTTTCCGACCGCTTTGACTTCGAGTCGTGTGACATCGCCATCTTTCGTCGATACGACTTGTGGTAGTTTTTTGATGATTTTGGGGGCACATTCAGTGTCGCTGTCGGAGAGGGGACCTTCACTAATAGTTCTGTCGGCCAGGAGGTCTTCCTCAGAACCGGTCAAGTGGACAATTTCCGAATCAGGAACGTATTCATAAGCTACAAAAAGAAATCAGGCTGATATTTCTACTAAAAGAGTGGTACCAACCTTCAACAATGAGAGATGACTTGCAGATCGCTTCACCAACTTTGTTGACTGCTCGACAAGTGTAAATTCCGGCATTTTCAGGAAACACTTCAGAAATAGCCAATTGACATACTCCTTCACTAGTTTGGGATATAACAACGTCTTTGGCTTCTTTGACAGGCTGGTCGTTGTGGTACCACTGGACTTTGGGTGTTGGTTTGCCAGTGACCACACAACTGAAAGTCACTTTTTCGCCATCCATGACACTTATTGGTGTCAAAGGTTTGACGAATCTTGGATACGCCATTTCTCGAGTCTCTTCCCATTCCATTTCGTCGACTACGTTAAGAGAGGCAGTGCAAGTGACTGAACCGACGGCATTTTCGGCCCTGCAGGTAATAGTACCGGCTTGCTCAGGAGTGACATCAGTTAGGATTAAAGTGGACCGGTTTTCCTCTGAGACGATTTTCATCTCAGGTGTTGAAATAATAGGAGTCACTTTTTGGAACCACTGGAACGACGCAGGAGGAATCGACTCGACTGTGGCCTCGAGTATGACCACTTCGCCAACTGTTGCATATTGTGGGTTAATCGGTTTGAGGAATTTGGGCGGTTGGGCTTCCTGAGTGATGGTTTGAGTGACAGTTACAGTACCCGAAGTACGGACTTCCCCTTTGGGGTTCGTTGCATGAACCTCGTATTTCCCACCCTTCTTTTTGACCTTCTTTTTGATTTTGAGGATAGTTTTCTTGTCTTTTGTCTCAACTTCATAGTCATCATCTTGTTTGATTTCTTTATTGTTTTTGAACCATTTGATTTCAGGCGCTGGAACACCCTCGAAGAGCGCTTCAAGTACCACCTCTTCATCAGGTTTGACCATAACTGCTTCCACCGGTTTAATAATCGTAGGGGCTTTCATGACCAAGGGTTGTGTCACTGTAACTGCCTTAGAGATGACGAGATTGGCGCGACATTCAGCTTGGCCAAACTTGTTATCCGCTTTGACAGTAAAGATTTTCTCGTCTTCGGAGGTCGGTTTGAGAATTTCAAGGGTTGCAATCCCAGTTTGGGGGTTGTAATTGACTTGGTGACTGCGAGTTGGAACCACCTCCTTGTTGTCTTTAAACCACTTGACTTGCGGGGTTGGTTGACCTATGACTTTGCACCGAAGAACCGCTTTGGACTTCTCTTCGATGATTTGCGGTTTAAGAGGTTCTACGAAGTGAGGAGCAACACCGCTTTCTTCTTTTTCTGCAACCGTATTGTTATTTCATTGTTTGAAAGACACTCAAAGATCTAACACAAAAATAAAAAAAATAAATCATGCAAAAATAAATATAATAAACAACACACGAACTCCACACCAAGTACCTAAAATGACAAGATTTGCAGTCGAAGTGGCGACTCCAGCCGGATTTGTGGCCTTGCAGGAATAAACAGCAATGTCCTGGGGTTCGACTTTAGCAAACTCCAAAGTTACCGTATTTTCCACAATGTTCCAGAAGACTCTCTCAGTGGCGTGCATAAGTACCTCATTTTTGTACCAAGCTATTTCAGGGAATGGTGTTCCCTCAACTTGGCAAACGAGTTGTGTCGGTTTGTCAGGTTCAGAAACCACAGGCTCAACCCTTTTGATAAACTTCGGTGCAACAGTTTTGCGTTTAGTTCTTTCTCTAATAGTTTTTTGAACAATTGATTTATGAACAGTTTTCTCTTCATGAATATCAACATCTTCCTGAAGAGGTTCCTCAGGAACCTTGTCAATACCTTCGGTTATCCGTTTCTGTGAAATAATTTCAAGTTCTGGGATTGGCTGGCCGTAATCGTCAAATCGGACAATCCTTTGAGCTGTTGTTTTCTTTTTAGAAACAACAGCAACGTTCATTGCTTTCTGGAAGCGGATTTCTTCATCTTCGGTGACTTTTTCTTCTTTCTGTTCTTCAACCTTCTCAATTTTGCGTTCGGCGAGAGTGATTTGAGCAACCGATTCTTGAGTCGTGACTGCTTCCTGGACTTTTTCTGGAACTTCTTCTAATTTTGTTGGTATTAATTCCGGCTTTTCTTCATCAGGGATAAGTTCTGTTCCTTCATTGTCTTCCGGAAGAACATGAGATTTGGACTTTCTGATCACCTTTTGAGTTTTGATTTTCTGTTCTTTAACATCAGGTTGTTCAGGTTGCTCAAGTTGGCTGATTTCTTGTTTTTTCGGAATTGGTTTCAAGGTTACAATTTCTGGTTGTTCTTCTTCTGGTTTAGGCAATTGTTTGCCTCTACGCCATTGTCTAACTTCCGGCTGTTCTGTAGGAGTAGTTTCAACTGGTGCCAAATCTTCCGGCTTCACTTCCTCTTTTTCTTTTGGTCGTTTCTTATAACGTTTCTTCTTTTCTTTCTCCTCTTCTGGTTGTTCTTCACGATCGTGTGGTGTAAATTTAAGACCGTCGTCTCTTTCTTCCAAAACTGTAACAACTGGTTCTTGCAACTTTACTGTTTCTAGAATAACTTTTTGTACCGGTTCTTCCGGTTTTTCCTTTTTGAACGGTTTGAGTTTAATCGGTTCAGGCTTTTCGTCTTTTTGGGGTTTTGGTTTTCCCCTTGGCCACTCTTTCTCTTCAGGCACTTCTTCAATCTTTTGTTTCGGTTGCCGTCTCCAAGATGTTGTTACTGTTTCTTCAAGTTGAGGTTCACTTGGTTTCTTTTCAGGAACAATTTCTTCCGGTTGTTCTTCTTTTGGTTTGTCTTCACGTTCTTTTGGTGTCGGTTCAAACTTCTTGCGTTCGAATTCTGATGGAACAAATCCAGTATCTTCTGGTTTAAATGGTTTTGAAGGTTCTGTTGGTTTTTCTTCTACCGGTTTATCTTTCTTTACTGGTTTGAGACGAATCTCTTCCTTCTCATCTTTATCTTTTGGTATTTTACCTTTACCGATTTTAAGTGGCGCTTTTTCTTCTTCGGAAATTTCAGGTTTGGGCTTAGATTCCCTTCGCCATGGTAGTGCTGCTTTCTCTTCAATTTCTTTTGGTTTTTCGTCAAATTCAACTTTTTCGACTTCTTCAGGGACGTAACGTTCGCCGTCTTCAGGAAGTTCTACATCTTTGTACTTCTTTCGTCGAGGTTTCTTTTCGATTGTGGAAACTTCGGCAGTTTCAGGTGTGAATTTTGGAACTGGTTTTAATGCAACTGTTTCTAGTTGTTCTTCAACCTGAGGTTTCTCTCCTTTTTTTACTGGCTTAAGTTTTATAACTTCAGGTACTTCTGCTTTAATTTCCTCTTTAATTCTCTTATGTTTAGGCTTAGGTTTATCATCTACTTTAAGAACAACCACATCTTCTACTTCTGTAACAGTTTCTACAATTACTGATTCAGGCTGTTCAACACTTTCAAGTGCTGGAATCTCTTCAGTTTCTTTAGAAACTACCTGTTCTTCTACTTTTTCTTTAGGTTTCTTCTTCTTTATTTTCTTTACTCGTTTAATCTGGCGTACTTTGCCTTCTTTGTCTAGTGACGGTTGAATTTCTTCATCTTCCTCTTCTTCTTCTTCTTCAGATATCTCAGCTTGTTGAGGTTGTTCAGTCGATTTAGGTATTGGTTTCAAACTAACTGTTTCTAATTGTTGTTCTTCAATTTGTTTTTGAACTTTAGGAGTTTTCTTCAGCTTAAGGGCTTCTTGCGTCCAAGGAACTTGAAGTTGCTCTGTTTCAGGCTTTTCAGGAATATCTTTAGGTTTTTTAGAAATTCGTTTAAGTTTGTCTGAATATTCTTCAGGTTTCTCTGAAATTTCTTCAATTTGAGGAGTTACTTCCTCTACTGGAAGATCAATAAGTTTTTTGCCGGGTTTATCTCTTTTAGAGAATGGTTTGTCAACAACTTCAGATTTCTCAGTTGTTGTAATAAGATCAGGTTTACTTTCTTCAGGAACATCTTCCTCAATCTTAGTTTTAAATGGTTTCAAAGCAACCTCTTCTAGACTCTCTTTTTCGATCGGTTTCTTTTCAAGTTTGGCACGTTTGAGAACAATTTCTTGCTTATTCCAAGGAACAATTTCTTCTTCAACTTTTTCGGCAGGTGCTGCTTTGGGTTTACGCCAAGGTCTTGCCTCTTCGACTTTAGCTTTTGTTTCATCTATCGCTGGTTCGGATGGCTTAACTTTTTCAATCGATGGTTTTTCAACAGTTTCTTCTGTTACTGTTGGTTTAGTCCATTCTATATCTTCTAGTATAGCTTTCTCAGTTCCAGCTTCTTCGAGTTGTTTCTTAAATGGTTTTAAAGTCACTTCTTCTAAAGATTCTTTTTCAATCGGTTTCTTCTCAGTTTTAGCACGCTTTAGAATAATATCCTGTTTATTCCATGGAACAACTTCCTCTTCAACCTTTTCAACAGGAGCTGGCTTGGGTTTGGACCAAGGTTTGAGTTCTTCAATAGACTTCTCGCCTTCTTTTGGTTTTTCTTCTTCTTTTGGTTTCTCTTCTTTAACATGAACCTTATCCTTTGGTTTATCTTCTTCCACAGATTTTTGTTCCTTTTTAGGCCTTCGCCAGCCTCGTGTTTCAGGTTGAGGTTGTTCTTCAACTTTTTCTGAAACATCAATCTTTGTGCTATCTTCAACGTGAACCGTGTCCTTTGGTTTTTCTCCTTCCATAGGTTTTTCTTCCTTTTTAGGTCTTCGCCAGCCTCTTGTTTCAGGTTGAGGTTGTTCTTCAACTTTTTCTGAAACATCAATCATCGTGCTATCTTCAATGTGCACCGTGTCCTTTGGTTTTTTTCCTTCCACAGGTTTTTCTCCTTCCACAGGTTTTTCTTCCTTTTTAGGTCTTCGCCAGCCTCTTGTTTCAGGTTGAGGTTGTTCTTCAACTTTTTCATTTTCAGAAACAACAATCATCGTGCTATCTTCAATGTGAACCGTGTCCTTTGGTTTTTCTCCTTCCACAGGTTTTTCTTCCTTTTTAGGTCTTCGCCAGCCTCTTGTTTCAGGTTGAGGTTGTTCTTCAACGTTTTCTTTTTCAGAAACAGCAATCATCGTGCTATCTTCAGTATGAACAAGCTCATCTTTCTTAGGTTTTTCAGCCTGTTTCCGAGTTTTAATCACTACTTTTTCTTCTTGTTTTATATCAATCAAAGCTTTATCTTTTTGATGAACCTTCTCATCTTCTTTGGTAATTACTTCTTCAGCTTTAGATTCTCTCTTTACAGGTTTTAATGCAAATTGCTCTTGTTCTTTAACCACTTCCTTTTTATCTTTTTGGATACGTTTAAGCACTATTTCTTGTTTATTCCACGGAATTTCTTCTTTTTCTTCAACAAACTTTTGTTGTTTTGGTTTATCTTCTAAAACACCTGGTTTGAGCTGTGGCGTTTCAGTACTTTCTGGCACTTCTTTAGGCTTTCTTTCTCGTCGCCATCCTTTTGTTTCCAGTTTTTCTTCAGTGCTTTCAATTTCTTCTTCAGTCGGCAAGCTAGGTTTAGGCATTTCTTCCTCACTAGGCGACCTAGGTTTAGGCTGTTCTTCTTGCTTAGGTTTTCTCCAAGGACGCACTTCATCTTTCTTTTGTATTTGTTCTCTCTGATCAATTTCAAGCATTGTTTCATCTTCAACATGTTGCTTTTCCTGAATAATTTCTTTGTCTTGAATTTCATCTTGTTTAATTATCCGCTGCATCTTTGATTCGGTAGTTTCTTCTTTCTTAGTTGTATCTTTTACCTTTTCGCCAACCTTTAAAATTGTCTTATCTTCAACAAACGCTTTATCAACCTTCTTTTCAACCAATTCAGGTTTAATCTTCTGAAGAGATACAGGTTTCAAATCAACTGTTTCCAATTCTTCCTTTTGTATAGTCTTGCTGTCACGTCGAGTTGGTTTCAATTGTACATCTTCAACCTTTTCTTTTGGCACTTCTTTTGGTTGTCGAGGTGCCTTTTTAAGAACAATTTCTTGTTTATGCCAAGGAATTGGTTCTTCTTTTTTATCCTTGGGTTTTTCTTCAGGCTCCTTGTGAACTATTTCTTCAATCTCCTCAACTTGTTCTTCACCTTCCTTACGAATCTTTCGCCAATGTTTTTTCTTTATTTTATCTGTTTCTTCAACCGTTTCGTCAATATGTAAAATCGCACTATCTTCAGTATGTGCTTTTACCAATTCTTCAGTTTCCGTCGGTTTAATTTTTTGAAGAGAAATCGGTTTAAGATCAATAGTTTCCAATTCTTCTTTTGGTATAGGTTTACTTCCACGTCTTGTAGGTTTAAGTTGTACTTCTTCAACTTTCTCTTTGGGTGTTTCCTTTTGTTCCCGAGGAGTCTTTTTAAGAGTAATCTCTTGTCTGTTCCAAGGTATTTGTTCAACTTTTGGTATTTGCTCATCTTCTTCCACCTTAATAATTTCTTCCGTTTCACCCTCCTTTTTCATTGTACGCCATTGTTTAGTTTTGGTTTTCTCGGTTTTATCAACTTTTTCACCAATTTTAAGAATAGTGGTATCTTCAACATGAGCTTGAGATATCTTATCTGTTTCACTTAGATCGATTTTTTGAAGTGGTTTTAACCCAACCGTTTCCAATTCTTCTCTTGGTTTACTACCACGTGGGGTAGGTTTCAACTGAATTTTTTCAACTTCTTCCTTCGGTACTTCTTTCTCTCTTGGAGCTTTTTCAAGAGTAGTAGGCTGCTGAGTCCAAGGAACAGGTTCTTCTTTCTTATCTATTACTTTGGGTTTTTCTTGTTTTACTTCAACTTTTGTAATTTCTTTAGTTTCTGCGTCTTGTCCTTTTTCTGTTCTATCCAATTGGTCAGTTTCAACAAGTTTTGCTTTTTGAAGAGAAACAGGTTTTAAATCAACCGTTTCCAATTCTTCTTTTGGAATAGGTTTACTACCACGCCGAGTAGGTTTCAATTGAATATCTTCAATTTTTTCCTTTGGTACTTCTTTCGGCTCTCTTGGAGCTTTTTTAAGAGTAATGGGTTGTTGAGTCCAAGGAACAGGTTCTTCTTTCTTTTCCATCCTTTTAGGTTTTTCTTCAATCTTGACAGTTTCTTTAATTTCTTCAACTTGTGCTCTATCCAGTTGGTCAGATTCAATAGGTTTTGCTTTTGGAAGAGAAACAGGTTTTAAATCAACTGTTTCCAATTCCTCTGTTGGAATAGGTTTGCTACCACGTCGTGTAGGTTTCAATTGAATTTCTTCAATTTTTTCCTTTGGTACTTCTTTCGGCTCTCTTGGAGCTTTTTTAAGAGTAATAGGTTGTTGAGTCCAAGGAACAGGTTCTTCTTTCTTTTCTATCCTTTTAGGTTTTTCTTCAACCTTTACAGTTTCTTTAGTTTCTTCAACTTGTGCTCTATCCAGTTGGTCAGATTCAATAGGTTTTGCCTTTTGAAGAGAAAGAGGTTTCAAGTCAACATCTTCCAGTTCTTCTTTTGGAATGGTTTTGCTGTCACGTCTTGTCGGTTTCAATTGAATTTCCTCAAGTTTTTCTTTAGGGATATCTTTCTTCTCTTTAGGTGCCGGTTTTAGTTTAATTTCTTGTTTATTCCATGGGATTGATTCTTCTTGCTCTTGAACCAAATCTACACTCTTTCGAGGTTTGCGCCAAGGCTTAGTTTCTTCTTCAACTTTCTCAGTTGATATCAAAGTTGTATCTTCAACATGCTTAATTTCTTCCTTTTTAGGTCTGCGCCAACCTCTTGTTTCGGCTTCGTTGGTTTTTTCTTGTTCTTTAACTGATAACAAAGTTGTATCTTCAACGGATTGTTTTCTTTCGACACTTGTATCATCTTTTCGTGGTCTACGCCAACCTCGAGTTTCTGATTCTTTCTTCTCAGTTACTTTTTCTCTTTCTTCAACTGATAACAAAGTTGTATCTTCGACATGTTTTTGTCTTTCAACACTTGTATCATCTTTCCGTGGTCTACGCCAACCTCGAGTTTCAGATTCTTTCTTCTCAGTTACTTTTTCTCTTTCTTCAACCGACAACATAGTTGTATCTTCAACATGTTTTTGTCTTTCTATGCTTGTATCTTCTTTTCGAGGTCTACGCCAATCTCGAGTTTTTGTTTCCTGTGTCTCTGTTACTTTCTCTCGTTCATCTAATGACAATAAAGTTGTATCTTCAACATATTTCTTTCTTTCTAGACTTGTGTCTTCTTTTCTAGGGCTTCGCCAATCCCTAGATTCGGCTTGTTTTTCAATTTCAATCTTTTCTCTTTTTTCCACAGACAACGAAGTTGTATCTTCAACATCCCGTCTTATATCTTTTCGAGGTCCTCGCCAGTCTTTTGTTTCCAATTTTTCAGTCTTATCAGTTTTAGTTTTCTCATCAACACTCAATAGAGTCGTATCTTCAGTATCAACTCTCCTATCCAAAGAAGAAATCTCTTCAGTCTTTTTTGTAGTCATTACTTTGGTCCTATGTTTGAGATCAACTTTCTCCAACTCAACCTTCTCAACTTCTTTACTCTGAATCCTGGAAGGTTTCAATTGCACATCTTCAATTTGCTCCTTTACAATTTCTTTAGTCTGTCTTTGCGTTTTCTTCAAAGTTATTTGTTGTTGTGTCCAGGGTTGAGCTTGTTGTGGTTTCTGTTCTTCAACACCTGCAATTTTTTGAGGCTTTTTGTGTACTTGTCGCCAAGGTAACGTTTCGTCACCCATAGGCAACTCATCTTGATCGACGGGTTGCTGCACGCCACCTTTTGAGCCAGAAACGGCTTTTTGTGAAGTTTGGCCCGGGCCACCAGGGCCAGGGCCAGGGCCGGCTTGAGGCTGTTTCGCAGCTTTGGAGAAGTCTTTGGGAGATAAGTCAGTGGTTGCTGGTTTGCGGTATGTTCCAGGACGGCCTGTAAGGTGGGCATTGAGGTGACGGTTTTTAAATATGAAATGAAATTAACACACAAGACACTCAACAATCATTTTTAAATTATGGATAAAAAACATTTTTTTAATTATCATTTATAAGAGGACAAAGAAACAAAATTAAATAGGATGAAATATGAATAATCAAAAAGTTTTGATAAATATTCTTCTAATAAAACATGGTGGTAAAACTGAATAAAAAAATATACACACTGTTTGTCTTGCATTTTGAGAATCAAATTTTTTTTTGAAAATAGAAGAAAAATAATTTTTGTTTTAATTTAATTAATAATTAATGTAATTAAGGTATATTCTCATAATCCTAACCAGATTTTAATCCAACAGATTTTTTTCAATACGTACGAGTATGTATTAATATAATTCAACTCCCTGCAGTAATAAATAAAAATTATGATTTTCTGATTAATTTGATTTATTTTCAATTGTTTTCTTATGTTCTATTAAAAATTTGACATAAATCATTCTTATAAATAAAATTTCTTAACTCTGAAAATTAATGCAGAATTTTTTAATAAAATTTTACATTTTAAATATTTTAAATATTTTCTAAGGCACTTAATAAATTTCAAAAATTATAAGAAATATAAAAAATGAGGACATTATTAAAAAACTTTTATTACAAGAAAAAAAATAGTTTGTAGTTTTAAAAACAAAAATATACCTAGGATGTCAATTAATAACAATTATGCTACAAAAAAAATATTGAAAAAAAACTATAATTTTGATTAGTTTAAATGTAATAATTTTTGTAAAAGAGAGATATTAAAACTCGAAACGAGATGAGCCTCCTCGCTTCTATCAAAATATTTTTTTAAAGAGAAAATAAAAAAACTTTCATACAATAAAATAGAACCTTTTAAATAAATGGCCAAGGTTTATTTGGATGGTGATGCAATGTTTGCAAAGCTGTCCATAAATGGCCATACAAATTACAAATTGCAAAGCGAATTATTCTTCGACCTTAATTTAGTTAATCATCCGCATCGCCACGCCATACAAGACACATCAGTAAAAATAAATCTTATTTACATTTAAAATAGAAATGAAAAAATAACTCGAAAATTCCAAATTCCACTCGTATGAGTGATTGTTGTCTCAACTCTCTAGTCATTGTAATATAAAAATAATCCTCGTGACGTCCCTGTAAGCCATCCAAAAACCGCCACGATGCACAATACGTGTCGTATAAAAATAATAAATGATCAAAAACACAAAATTCAAAAATTAGCACACGTGTATACAATTTGAGACATAGGTGCGAACACCGTTCCAAAAAACGTTTAAGAAACCAGAACAGGTGTATTTTTGTAAAGTTGGCACAAACGGCTCATTACTGCCAATCTTGATCAAGCCGAGTTGTTTTGACCCACTTACGTGAGAAATTATCAAAAATTGCTTTTTTTTTAACGAAATAGTCACAAAAATGACACCGTTTTGGCGTGGTGGCTATTTCCGTCGGAAAAATGACTCACAATCTCACGCATAGTACGCACCCCCTACTACGGGTACCACGTGAGGTGCTTGCAGAGTCACTCAAACATGTGCAGTGGTCGAGTGAGGATGTGTGTGGAGAAGTTCAAACCCGCGCGAAATTCACCCCTTCGGGGCGAATTTCCGCGGGTTTGGTTCGACCCGGGCGAGGGTTTTGTGGTTCCAAGTGACCAAAAAAAGGGGTAAGTGTGTTACTTTTGAATTTTCTTAAAAAAATTTGTTTCAGAAGTTGAAGTTGGGCCAGGCAGGTGTAAAATTTGATGTATTGAATAAATTTTTTTGCGAGAATTGTGTTTTATTTCTTGGAGTCGGCGGCCATCTGGCCAGCTGTCTCCTAATTTAGAACTGTAATGTAATCCAGTGGAAGTTTAAAATAGTTGCCAGCGTGTGTCATGGTGCACACGACCCCACTTTATGATTTTTGTTTACAAGTAGACCGTGCTGATGCATTGAATGCACCTGGTCTGGATTTCGGTCTATTTCGAATTTTAAAGGTCACTTGAAACGACAAGACTCTTCAGTAGCAGTTTATTAAATAATTATGCATAATATTTACGATACATTTCTTTTAACAATATAATAAACAATAAGCCCAGCAGATTAGTGCCAAAGCCGTTTCACTCCTAAATATCATCTCACTTGGAACTTTACAATAATCCCATCACCTTTATTGTTAAAAATTTATAAAAGAGAAGCGCAACTAACAACGATTCCGAATAAGGGGTGAAGGGTAATTTATTTCTTACTTTTGACGATCAGTTTGGCCGATCGCTCGACTTGACCGGCCGAGGAGGTCGCCCTGCAGGTGAAAGTCCCAGAGTCTTCTTCGTAGGTCGTGGAGATCAGGAGGACGGCGTTGTTGCCCTCATGGATCATCTGCAAGGAAATTCATTACAGAGTCACTGGAGCAAAAGCAATTGAGGCAAAGAGAGCTCTTAATTTGATTGTTGTGAAAGTTACTAATTTTAGAAATTAACTTTAATCAAGGTTTATGATTCTTGGGAGATTTATTTTAAGAATTAGTCGAGTTGGTATTTTAGGACCGTTTCAAGATCCATAAAACTGTAATTTGGTTACAAAACTGCTTGCCAACGTACAACATGCTTCGCTGGCTTTGTCGATAATTCGGATAATTGAGTTCAAAAGTAAGTTTCACGGTAAATAGCTTTTGATGTTTCAATTCTCTTAACTGTACCCAATACCGGTCTGGCTACAGTTCTACCTATTAAAAATAAATCATTCTTTATTATGAATTGTAGTAAAATAAGACTTTAATAAGAAAATTAACACTGTTTTGAAACTATTGTTTTTTCAGTTTTGTACTATAAGAACCATATTTTGCGTTGATTTATTTTAGAGGCAGTTCTAACATGCAAACGGGAGAAGATTATTGGTAAAATATTTTTTTATCTATTTATTGTGCTTTAGTACTTTTGTATTCATGAAATAAAAATCTTGAAAATCACGTATTCTTCTTATATCCAACTAAATTTCTCTATTACTAATATTTCAAAATCCTTAAAAATTAAGAAATAAGTGGCCCAAGAAATCAGAAAAAAGTAGAGGAAAAACGTAATTCTACTCGTAGGTCTCATTTCGTTAACACAAAATCAATTAAAACATGCTTTGTTTTTACTTCTTTTAAAATCACATTTTGTCTTTCAAAATTTACAAAGTAATGTAAAAAAACTAAAAAATATGATTTGATTTCTATTATAATAATCAAAAATATACCATTATTCATTAATTAACGAAGCCTTTCAATGAAGTTGAATTACTAATTTTGACGATACAAACTTATAAAAATTAACAGTAATTAGAATGAAACAATTATGTACAGGTGTCTACTATAAAAAATATGCAAGAAGAGGTTTGAAATAATTTAAAAAATGGCAAAAATAAAAAAAACATGCAAGGTATTCAACATTATGGGAATTGAAATAGAAAAAGAAAAATAATTAAAAAAGCAAGATAAAGAATAGTTAGAAAAAACAACTGAAATAAATTTTAAAAAAATTTTGGAAAAGTGTAGATACAAAAAATATAAAATAGTACAAACTGTAAAAAAATTTAAATTTAAACAAAAAACTTCCAAAAAAAAGAAAGTTGAATTGCTAAACGCAACGAAGATAATTAAAAAACGGGGTAAACAGAAATTAAAAGTTATTTTTGTTTAAAGAATAAAAAATAAAATTAAAAAAATATGTAGAAACATAACATAAAACAAAATATAAATCAGTACACATAACTAATCTACAAAAAAATTTCTAGATGAATTCAGACTCAATTTTTAAAAGTTTTCGGTAATATTTTTGTCAGTTTTTTACTTCTCCTAGAATTTTATAAATGCAAGATGGTTTGATCAGTACACAATTTTTTTCTAAATTGTCGAAAATTTGTGAAAATGCAAAGGAAAGAAATTTAAAGAAAAAAATGAATTGTTTGCTTAGGCTTATTTATTTATACAATTCAAGATTGAAAAAATACCCTATATAAAAAAATTATCTTTTTTGTTGATTTGAGAAATTTAGTACCTATGTAAAAATTGTTTCATCCTGCATATTTTTCGCTTTTTTCGGTTTTAATTTATTTAAAAAAAAAATCAAAATAAAAATTTTCTACATCACTTTTAATGCAAAAATTTAGGCTCACCTGGAAATCTGGCGAATCTGGAATTAGGAACCCTTCCCTCAGCCACTGCACCGTCGGCTTCGGCTTCCCCGTCACCGTCGTCTTAAACTGAGCTGGACTTCCCTCCGGCACAATAACATCCTTCATGGGCGTCAAAGACGGAGCTACTTCTTGCGTTTCAGGCGCCAGTACTTTCAAATTTGCTTGCAGCGTAACAGTACCAGCCGGATTCGAAGCCACACATTTGTAAACACCTTCATCCTCCGGGAACGCTTCGGAAATCTTCAAAGTGTAATAATCCCCATCTTTGACCATTTGGAAGTATTTGGACGGTTTGATAATCTTATCGCCTTTTTGCCACTTGATAGTTGGAGCCGGCTTGGCAGTGATTTTGCATCGGAAAGCCACAGCTTGGCCTTCGCGGACTTTCTGGTCTTTCAAAGGCTCAACGATGCTGGGGGCCTTTTCACCGGTGGGGGTGGTAGGTTTGGCGGGTTTTGAGGGGGTGGCAGGACGAGTCACTTGACAGTCAGCTTCGCAACGGGCTTCCCCGGCACTGTTCATAGCCACGCACTCGTATTTGCCTGAATCTTCAGGTACTACTTCTATGATGAGAAGAGTATAAACTTCGTCCTCTTCCAAAGTCTTGTAACGGATATCAGAAGAGATTTTCTTGCCGTTTTTCAACCAATAGACATCGATCGGTTTAGTACCGTTGATTCTGGCATCAAATCGCACCAATTGACCCACGTTGGCACTAGCACTTTGGATAGTTGTGACAAAACTAGGTGGTACTGCAGCACCGCCACGTGCCTGGCTACGTCGCTCTTGCACCACCAAATTGGCGCTACATTTTGCAGTACCTCCTCGGTTTTCTGCAACGACACTAAAGACTCCAGAGTCTTCCACAAAGACTTGACGAAGTACCAATATCGATTTGGTACTAAATGTGTAAATGGTCAAGTCAGGGGAACTCGTAATGGGGAAATTCTCGCGGTACCAGGTGATTTTCGGTAGCGGGTCTCCATCAAACTCGACTTCGAATCGGGCAGAAGTGTTTTCAAAGGCCAAACAAGGCTGAATCTTCTTGGTGAAGACAGGAGGATTGCTTGGTAGTACTTGTCCCTGAACTAGTTTCTCTTGCGTTTTGGCTTTATGTTCGACGTCGGTGGTTTCAGTAGCTGTGATGTGTCTTGTTATTTCTTTATCTCCCACGTTTTCCCTCTGTGTTTGGCGTTGTTTCGTCACGTAAACTTCTCTACCATGAACTGCAGATTCGGTCGGATCAGGCGGATAAGCCCCTTTTTTCGAATCAACAATAACTTCGCGTTCTTCTTGAACTTCTTTTCCTTTGTCAGTTTTACGTAATTGGACTTGGTCGCGGTGAGGGGTGACTTTTTGCTCCGCTTTGGGTATGTGAGGGATGGGTCTGAGGTCAACTTTTTCCGGTTTTTCTTCCCTAAAAGAAATTTGTCATTTTTTGCCTCAGTCGGAATTATGGGTACTTACAAATTTTCTTGATATTTTTGAGCCATCCCTTTAGCAAGCGAACTTGAGACAATCTTCTCCCCAGGAATGGCAAACTGGTGAGAGGATTCACGCAGTTTGATTTCTTTGGTGACTTGCTCATTTTCCAGTTCTTGAATTTTGGAGTAGTAATCTTCAGTTTTCTTGTTCTTGATTGATTTTTGCCATTCTGTTTCTTCTTCTTTGAAATCTTTAGGCTGGACGTGAATGCCGGTGACGTTGATACCTTGCTCGCGTTGGATTGTGTTGCGTTCGTCGAAAATTTTTTCAAGTTCGGTTTCAGATCGTTCTTTCTGGTACTGAGCCAATTCGAGGTCGTACCAGGCTAAAGACAGAAAGTTGCAATGAGATTACGTTTATTTGTCACTTTTGGAAACATTTTTTTTGATTGTCCATTTTTAAAAAATACACATTTGGACATCCACAATATATCTAACACATGATGCACATTGGGGAAGGGTACACATGCAACATATAACGATACCAAATTAAATAATGGCATACCTGTCTCAACTCCTCAGAAATGCCGTCGTTGGTCGAAGCAGAAGAAAGGGAAGGACTATCAAGGAAGTAGTGTATGGTATGGAGTGTTAAAGCGATTGTTTTGCATGTTTAATATGTGCATTATGTCAAGTATATAAAATGTTTGGTGCATTTCGGTCAACCACTTACGTCTTGGTGAATTCTTAAGAACCCCTCTGTAATCATCTTGTCTAGGAATGACCTTCAATTCCGTTTCGGCTATAGCCTCTCCCACTGAACTGCGGGCGATCACTTCCACTTTCCCGGTGTCATATTGACGGGTCTTTGGAATATCCATATGGTACATCCCGTCATAGGTCAACTTGTATCTTGATCCGTTGACAACAGTATGACCATTGATCAACCACATAACTCTTGGACGCGGATGACCGGTGACTCGGCAGCAAAACCGAGCCCATTCTCCCTCTTGGACGGTGCAAGGTTCCGGTTTGCTTACAAAAATCGGAGCTGAACGAGGTTTACTCTCTTCAGCGGCTTCTTCCGGAACCCTAAAATCCCCAAATTAGACCTAACATAATTTTTTAAGCCATACAAAACTTACACTTGCCAGGCAGCTTCAAGTTCCCGGATTTTCTCAATACTTTTCATTCCTTTGGGTAGTTGAGAGTCATAGATAATTCCAGGTTTACCAGCAGTCTTGATTATAGCTCGGGTTTCGTCCATACCGTAGAGATTAGTAGCCCGGCAGAGATACTCGCCACTGTCTTCAGGGTAAACCCAACCGAAGTTCATGGCGACGTAACCGAAATCATAGATGGGAGTAAAACGGTTTTCTAGAAGAACAATTTATAACAACTATATTTGAAATAGAGTGAGGACGTACTATGAGGGAGAGGCTTTCCGTTAAAGAACCACTCGACTTTCATATTGGGGTCCCCAACTGGGGCTAATTGGCACTCGAATTTAGTTGTTTGCATCTCAACTAAGGTCTCTTGGCTTTGGATTTGGGTGACAAACCGTGGTGGTTGCTTTTTGTCAGCGTCGTACAAATCTTCTTCAGTTAAATGTACCTCAGAGGTGTACTTTTTGATGGCGGCTTCCATTTGCATGAGAGTTTCAGACTTTTTCATTCCTTTGGGTACTTGATTTTGGAGGATGATATTTGGTAGCTTCTTGCACGTTATGTTGGCTTTGGTAAAGTCCTCGCCATAATCGTTAACAGCTCTGCAAACATACTCTCCCGAATCTTCAGAGTAGACGTAGAGAATGTCTAAGGAGACGAATCCCATGTCATAGACGGTTCTATATCTGTGACCAGATGGTAGCAATTTACCGTTGCGGTACCACTCGATACGCAACTTCGGGTCATCTTTAGGTTCTACCCGACATTCAAATCGGACCGATTCGGACTCCTCCACCGTCGTAGACTCGATATGTGTGATAAATTTAGGCGGAGAGTATGTTTTTTCCTCTTGGTGTTTCTCTTCAACTTTTCCTTTTTCTAATTCTTTAAGTTTTTCGGCACTCATACCGGCAGGAAGTTGCGACTCATAGTCGATGGTACGTTTTGATTTTGATGTCACTGTGGCTTTAGTAGTTGCAGAACCCCACTTGTTGGTAGCCCTGCAAATGTACTCTCCAGCATCTCTCGAGTAAGTATAGTCAATATCTAGAGAAATGAACCCAAAATCGTTTATTTGGTGCACCCTTGAACCGGTCGCAAACGGTCGTCCGTTGTGGAACCAATCAATACGCATTGTTGGGTCGTTTGTGGGTTCCACGCGACAGTCAAAGTGTACCGGACCTCCTTCAGGAACATCCAAGTTATCCTTAATTTCAACAATGAAACGTGGAGGGTTCGGTTTCTCCTCTTCTGTTGTTATTTCTTCGCGTTTGTAAAGAGTTTCTTCCAGTTTTTGGATACTCTCAGTCCCGGTTCTGAAGTTTGATGGTAATTGGGGTTCCAGAATGATGCCTTGACGACCCCTCACTTGCAATTTACAGGAAACTGTAGCTTCACCATGTTTGTTGGTAGCCTTGCAAGTGTACAAACCAGAATCTCGTTGATAGACACCGGAAATTTCAAGAATAACAAACCCGAAATCGTTGATGGTTTTGATTCTAGATCCGGCCCATAATGCTTTACCATTATGGAACCATTCCACTCGCATACTTTGGTCATTAACTGGAATCAACTTGCATTCGAAATGTGCTAAGGAGTTTTCACCAAGTGTCAAATCTGCGGGAGTTGTGATAAATTCTGGTGGTCGTCCAGTATCGTCATCAACCGTGGCTTGCGATGGTACCATTCCAAGGCCTTCTAACTCCGCGATTTTGTCAATAGTACCCTCCATGCCTTTGGGTAGTTGTGACTCAAGGATGATACTTCTCTTGCCTTGAACTTTCATGGAGGCTGTTGTTACGGCTTCACCGTATTCGTTGAAGGCTCGACAGGAGTACTCGCCGGAGTCTTCCGGATACACTGGTGATATTTCAAGTATGACGAAACCGAAATCGCAGAAAGTACGGAACCGTGAACCGGTTCGTAGAGGTTTTCCGTTCCAGAACCACTCGACTTTGAGTTTTGGATCGTCGGTTGGGATTAGTCGAGCTTCAAAGTGGGCGCTTTCGCCCTCACGGAGACTGTCGATGTTGGTAAGTGGTACTGTAAAAACAGGGGCTCTGCCTTTTTCTTCTGTTACTTTCTCGTCGCGCTGGCGGGTTAAGGAATCTTCCAAGGTCTGGATCTTCTCCAATCCGCCTTCCATGCCCTTGAATAATTTAAAATATACAAAACATTGTTGTTTTTTTTTAAATAAGAAGAGATAAAAAATGTTTCTTAAAAAATTAAATTAAACTTACCCGCGGCAGTTGCGAGTCCAGGATTAAGTTCGCCTTCGAGACGCATTTCAAGGTGGCTTTAGTACTATCTTCACCATATTTATTATAAGCCCTGCATTCATAAGTACCGGAATTCTCTTCATAGCAATACAAAATGTCAAGAATGACGATACCAAAATCGTGGAAAGTGCGGTATCTATGACCGTGTGGCAACTTTTTCCCGTTGTAATACCAATCGACTACAAGGTCAGGATCCGTAACTGGTGTAAGTCTTGCTTCGAAGTGGGCACTTTGTCCCTCAACAAGTTTAGTAACATCTTGTATTTGGGTTATAAATTTCGGTGGTTCTGTCACTGGAGTGGTGGGTACTTGTGCTTGTTGTCCTTGTAAACTTTCCAATTCGCGGATTTTGGCCAAAGAGTCAGGTTGGAGACTTTCAGAGAAAACTCCGCTTTTGCCATGTGCCGAAATTGTTGCTTTTGTGAAATCTTCGCCATATTTGTTGTACGCACGACACACATACTCGCCAGAATCGTGGTCTTGGATGTAGGAAATATCCATAACGACAAAACCGAAATCAGAAACAGTCTTGATACGTGAAGATTGCAAAATCTGTTGACCATTATGGTACCACTCGACTTTCAAATCGGGGTCATTCACCGGTACCAACGTACACTCAAAGTGGGCCGATTGGCCATCCTTGAGTCCCACAATGTTCTGAATTTGGGTTGTAAATTTGGGCTTCTGTCCCTTAATCTTTTCGGTGCATTCAAGTGTGACACTTTGTTCGGCTTTTCCCCATTTATTAGTAGCCTTGCAGGTATAAGTCCCAGAATCCTCGATTTTACAACCTAGGACTTCCAAAACCACCATTCCGAAAGCATGGACTGTGCGGAAACGATGGGAAGCTTCAATGGTCTTTCCATTGTAGAACCATTCCACTACCATCGTCTGGTCCCCGATTGGTGTTAGCCCAGCTTCGAAATGCGCAATCTCGCCTTCGCTCAGATTCGTCAAGTTGGTGAATTCGGATGTGAAAACCGGTGCATGCCCTTCGTCCTTTTCCGGAATTTGGGCTTCTGGTCTATTAAGCGAATCTTCCAAATCTTGGATTTTCTCCAACCCTTCTTGACCCTTGGGGTGTTGAGTACGCTCGATCAAATTGGCTTTACTGGTACAATAGATAGTGGTTGAAGTAAAGGCCTCCCCGGACTTATTCGAAGCCTTGCAAGTGTAAATACCTTGGTCTCTTTCGTAAACGTCGACAAGGTCAAGGGTGACAAAACCAAAATCGCTGGTAAGTTTGAATCTGGTACCATGATCCAAAGATTTGCCGTTAAAGAACCACTCAATTTTGAGGTTGGGGTCGTTTTTCGGCTCGACGGTACCTTCCAAACGCAATGGTTGACCTTCGACCAGTTTGAACTCGGGGTTAAGGGGGATGGTCCATATTGGTTTACCGAATTCGGTGTCAGGGGTACTATCTGCGCGTTGGTACTTTGCAGCAAAGGCTCGTTCAGTGTCTTCAATTGCTTCAAGCCCTGATTTACCTTGAGGATGTTGAGTATCCAAATAAATATTTGTTTTAGAGGTGACACGGAGGGAACCTGAAGTCGTAGCTGAACCTTTACTGTTGGTAGCCTTGCAAGTGTAAATTCCAGCGTCGTGTTCATAGACATGGTTAATGTCCAGTGCAACGTACCCAAAATCATAAGTTGATTTATATTTGGTACCCGATGGTAGTGGTTTACCGTTAATGAACCATTCAATTTTGAGTGTGGGGTCTTTGGATGGTTCCACGTTGCATTCAAAGTGGACATTATCACCTTCCATACATTCAACATTATTCAAATGGCTGATAAAGATCGGGAGTTCGTAAATAGGTTCCGGTTGTTCGACTCGTGGTTCCTGTGGTCGTTCCAAAGCTTCGAGTTTTGGTATGGCATCAGGGTGAAGGGTTTGTCCCAGCAACCAATGACGGTCCTCAATTTTAAGGGTGCAAGTTGAAATAGCTTCCCCAAGCAGGTTTGTAGCTTTGCAAGTGTAAATTGCAGAGTCATCATCTCTCAAACCGTTGATAGACAAAGTCACTAGACCGAAATCAAAAGTACTACGAATTCGAGTACCGGTGGTTAGCGAAATTCCATTCTTAAACCACTCAATTCGCAAATTCGGGTCGGCTCTTGGCTCGACTTGAGCTTCAAGATATACATGTTGACCCTCAATCAACTTGTCGTAACTCTTGAGATGTGTGGTGAAAACTGGTGGTTGTTGAGGGGTCGTATCGACGAACATTTCCGGTACTTTATTCATTTCGGCTTCCTTTAGTTGAATCTTTTGCCAAGCGTCAGGTTGTAGAGTTTCACCAACAATATTCGACTTTGACTTAACTTTCATCGAAATCGAAGAAACAGCCTCTCCTGATTTGTTGATAGCTTTGCACATGTAGACTCCCGAGTCTTCAGGGACAGTCGACATGATGTCAAGTGTGACAAATCCAAAATCATGTGTAACTTTGAATCTTGAACCCAGCTTGAGTTCAACTCCATTGACGTACCACTCGAACCTTAAATTCGGATCTCCGACTGGTACCACCCGAGCTTCGAAATGGGCATGTTGACCTTCCCATAATTCAGTCGGGCCGGTGAGAAGTTGGGTAAAGATGGGTTTTTCGAAATGGCGTTCGGGTTCTTCAGGACGTGGGGCTTGGGGTTGCTCCAATTGGGCGATTTTGCGTTGGGCTTCTGGGTGTTGCGATTCCAATTGGATGCTGGCTTTGGCTAAACAACAAAAAATTAATAAATGAACTCAAAGTACAGATTGTAAACTTACTTCTAATTTTCATAGAAGCAGTCGTAACAGCTTCTCCAAGAGGATTCGAGGCCCGGCAGATGTATACTCCTTCGTCTTCATCCCTAACATGGGTGATGTCAAGTGAGACGAAGCCAAAATCGTGCACTTTGGTGATTCTTGAACTGTCTTCCAGCGGTTTTTCGTTGCGGAACCACTCGACCTTGAGGGTCGGGTCTCCGACTGGTATAAGTCGGCATTCAAAGTGCGATGTCTGTCCCTCCTGAATACTATCAATGTTCTGGAGAGGTTGAGTGAAAACTGGTCTTTGTCTCGTCACCGGTTCCTCATGTTCGGGCCGTTTGTACGGCTGGTGTTCCTCTAATTGTCTAATCTTGTCTAATCCTTCCGGTCTTTGTGACTCTAAAATGATATTACTCTTGGCGATTACTTTCAAATTGATGGACGAAGTGCATTGTCCCAGATTGTTAATAGCTTTAACTGTGTATTCACCAGCGTCTTCCGGTACACAATGCCCGATGTCGAGAGCAATGTAACCGAAATCAAAAGTGATGTGGAACCTACTGGCCGAAGGTAACGGTTTTCCGTTGTGGTAAAATTCGATTCTTAAATTAGGATCATGAATTGGTTCCACTTGAGCCTCAAAGTGGGCGGTTTGCCCTTCGTAGATTTCGGTGGTACCGCGAAGTTCCGTCACTAAACGCGGAGGTGTAGGGATGGGTTCCTCGACCTCGAGACGAGTTGGATGGCCTTGAGCTTCTAACTCTCTGATTTTCTCAAGACCTTCAGGGTGGTGCGTATCCAAAAGAATGCTTTTGCGGCCGCCTACTTTTATGGTACAAGTATTGACGGCTTCGCCAACTAGATTAGTAGCTTTGCACATGTAGGTACCACTATCCTCCGGGTAAGTGTACAGGACGTCAAGAGCGACGTATCCAAAATCATGCGTGGTTCGGAACCTATGACCGGCCCTTAATTTAACGCCATTTACGAACCATTCAATTTTCAGGTTTGCATCATTGACTGGCTCGACTCTACACTCCAAATGTGCATGCTCGCCTTCTTTGAGGTTCTCCAAGCTGACCAATGGAGTCAAGAAAACGGGGCGTTGGGGCGGAGCTTCAACTTCCTCCTTTTTGGGACGTTCGTAACTCTCCAAGTCGCGGATTTTCTTAAGTCTTTGTTCGTCCATGGTATCGAGGTAGAGGCCAGATTTGGCTATAACCTCAACATTGGCTGTGGTTACGGCCTCACCAGCGGCGTTTCTAGCCCGGCACATGTAAGTACCAGAGTCCTCGGCGTAAGCATAGAGGATATCAAGGGCAACGTAACCGAAATCGTAGACGGTTTTGAATCTATGACCGGTTTGGATAGGCCGGCCGTTGCAGAACCACTCGACTCTCATTGTCGGGTCATTGACTGGTGTCAAAGTCGCTTCCAGATGGGCACTGGAACCTTCAGGGAGGTTCTCGATGGTTTTTAATCCACGACCAAATTGTGGCTTCTCCAGAATAATAGCATCCTCGCGACTCACTTTCTTGTACCGAGAGTCATCCTCAAGGTATTGAATCTTCTCAAGGGCACCTTCGTGTTGTGTTTCACGGATTATGGATGATTTAGCTGAAAAATTTTAATTAAACCAAAGTTTTACTTCAAATTGACTTACATTTGACATTGGTGACCACCGAAGACTGAGCTTGGCCTAATTTGTTGGTAACTCTGCACGTGTACTCGCCCGAATCTTCTGCATATACTGTCAAAACATCAAGACTCGCAAACCCAAAATCATAGGCGGTTCGGAATCGATGCCCGGTGCTCAAAGCTTTACCATTATGCAACCATTCGACTTTCATTGATGAGTCAGGGTAGGGCTCAATGCGACACTCGTAGTGGGCACTTTGACCCTCGACTAGGTCAGTGGGTCCGTTCAGTTGCGTACTGAATCTTGGTGCTTGAGTCACTTCGATTTCTTCCTCTTCGCGGCGTTGGTATTTACTGGAATCCTCCAGTTGTCTCAGCTTTTGCAAAGCACCCTCGTGTTGGGATTCGAGTTGTAGAGAAGCTTTGGCTAAAAAATTATTAGTACCGTTTTATTTTAATCAAAAAGTACTCACATTGGACGAAAAGAGTTGCAGATGTTACAGCTTCGCCCAAATCGTTGACTGCCCGACATGTATAAGTACCGGAGTCTTCTGGGTTGACGTATTTCATATTCAAGGCGACGTACCCAAAATCGTGCATTGTGGTCAAACGATTAGCTAAAAAATTGTATTAATCATTTTTGAAAATCTTTTAGTCATTAACTTACAAGCTTCAATTGGTACTCCGTTTCTCAACCACTCAACTTTCAGTCTAGAGTCCCCAACAGGAATCAAGCGAGCTTCAAAATGCGCAGCTTGGTTTTCCGCCACTCGCAGATCCTTGATTGGCATTGTGAAAACAGGAGCCTGATTGACAACTTCCTCCTGGAATTCCTGTCTTTGGTACCGGGAGGAGTCCTCTAATTGGGTCAAGCGTTGGAGGGCACCTTCGTGCACCGATTCTGAATAAATCGATTTTTTTGAACGCACATTACAAACAGCTGAGGTAACAGCTTCTCCTAAGATATTTGTAGCTCGGCAGGTGTAAGTACCAGAGTCCTCCGGGTACGCATAAAGAATATCCAAAGCAACAAACCCGAAATTGTTAGTCTCAGTGAACCTTGAGCCGGATTTAAGTGGTTGGTTATTGTGGAACCATTCGACTTTCATTGTAGCGTCCGATACCGGGATTAACCGGCACTCGAAATGAGCCCTTTGACCTTCTTTAATGTCAATATTTTTCAAAGATGTTGTGAAAATTGGGGCTTGAGTGGTGCGTTCTTCGATTTCTTCTGCCCGGTGGTACTTGGAACGGTCTTCCAAGTGTTGGATTTGCTGCAATCCGGTTTCGTTCTGAGTACTTGTGATGATTTGTCCAGAAGCTCGGCATTTAAGATAGCAAGTGGTTTCATCTACTCCGACTAAATTAGTAGCCCTGCAGGTGTAAGTACCGGAGTCTTCAGCAATCAAATCGACGACATCGAGGGCTACGTAACCGAAATCGTGAATGGGTCTAAATCTATGGCCGATGGTAATCTGGCGGCCGTTTTTAAACCACTCGACTTTCAAATTTGGGTCAGTGACCGGCTCAAGCTTGCATTCAAAGTGGGCATGTTGCCCCTCGACCATGTTTTCAAGATTTTTCGGTCGAGTGACAAATTTGGGTTTGACGGTGACTTGTTCGTCGACGAATTCCGTGCGCTTGTAGCGGGAGGAGTCCTCAAGGTATTGGATTTTTTCCAAACCTGCTGGGTGTTGAGTTTCTAATAGTAAATCTTTCTTGGCGATGACTTTGACTGAGCATGAAGTCACGGCTTCACCTAGTTGGTTCCGGGCTTGGCAGGTGTAAATTCCGGAGTCTGAGGGGTAAACACTTAAAAGATCCAAAGCGACGTAATCGAAATCGTAAGCAGGCCTGAATCTATGGCCTACTTTGACCGGTACTCCGTTGCAAAACCAGTCAACTCTCATGGTAGAGTCACCCACGGGTTGCAAGCGGCACTCCATATGGACGTTGGTACCTTCAATTGTTTCGATATTGTGCAAAGGCCGAGTGAATTGAGGGGCTTGTAGTACTGTCACGTCCTCATCGACGTGTTTTCGGTACCTTGAAGAATCTTCAAGCATCTGGATTTGCTCCAATGATTGTTCGTGTTGAGTGTCCGTGATAATGTCAGATCTTTCGATTACTCGGACACAAGCCGAGGTATGAGCCGAGCCCAATTGGTTAACAGCACGCACTGTGTACTCTCCGGAATCAAGAGCAGTAGCATGAATAATGTCCAAAGCTACGAACCCAAAATCATTGTAAGTCCTGAATCTGGAACCCACAGTGATGGGTCGGCCGTTGCAGTACCATTCGACTCTCATCGTGGGATCTCCCATGGGTTCCAGACGGCACTCAAGATGCACATTCCGACCCTCAGATAAAGGTTGTGGATCTGAGAGTGGTACTACAAAAATCGGTTTGGATTTAGAGGTTTCGACAATGTCGTAGTGAGGTTCCACAAATTTTGATTCTTCGAGTCTTTGAGTTTTGTCGTAAGCTGAGCGATGCATGCTTCTAGTATCAATACTAGCGCGAGCTGTAATATATATATGTTTTAAAACATTACAAAAAAATAAAATAAATCAGGTTACTCACTTTCGACGACCATACTGGCCGACAGTTGCGCCTCACCAAGGGCGTTTCTGGCAACCACGGTGTAAGTTCCCGAATCCTCTTCCCTCACACTCAAAATATCCAGTGCCACGTATCCAAAATCGTGATATGTCTGTATTCTATTGGCACTCTGTATCGGTTTCCCGTTAAAGTACCATTCAATCTTTAAAGTTAAATCACTTTGAGGTTCAACACGGGCCTCAAAATGAGCCCGCTGTCCTTCAACTATCTTATTAGTGCCTTTAAGTGGTCCCAAAAACCTAGGTTTTTGCGTTACTTGAACCTCTTCTTTAGAGGTACGATTATACCGACTGGAATCCTCCAGATATTGGATTTTTTCAAGTCCTCCCGGGTGTTGCGAGTCAAAAATAATGTCTTTCTTGCTGACTACACTTAGTTGAGCTGTAGTCACAGCCTGTCCAAGGGCGTTGAAGGCCCTGCAGGTGTAGATACCAACATCGTGGACCGTCACCTCTTTGATAGTAAGGGCAACGTATCCAAAATTGAAGAAACTAGTGATTCGAGAACTGGCTTCAACAGGACGTCCATCTTTCAACCACTCGACTTTGAGGGTTGAGTCGCCGACTGGCTCAAGTCTGGCTTCGAAATGAGCGAAACCCCCTTCACGGATCCCGATTTGATCTTTGATCGGTGTTTTGAATTCCGGTGGTTGAGAGCTTTCGGGGGTTTCCAATACGTATTTCTGATACTGTTGCTGTTGGTAAGCTTCCAGTTCTTCAACTTTTTCGATATATCTTTGTTGTTCGGGGATCCCCAGATCACCGGTTACGGTGGATCTAGCATAAACTTGCAAAGTGCCACTACTTATAGCTTCCCCAAGTCGGTTAACAGCTCGCACAGTGTAAGAACCGGCATCTTCGGCCCGTAGGTGCATAATATTGAGAGAGACGTAGCCGAAGTTGAAGATGGTAGTGATTCTCGAACTGGCGGTAATAGGTCGGCCATCTTTGTACCACTCCACTTTCATAGTAGGGTCACTCACGGGAGTCAATTGCGCTTCAAAGTGTGCATTGCGACCCTCTTGTAGTTCCCCTAAGTCTTGGAGTGGACGGATGAAGTGAGGTTTCTGATTGATGGACTCTTCAAGACTGTCGCTCCTTTGGTATTTGGAGTAGTCTTCCAACTGTTGGATGTACTTGAGACTGTCAGGGTGTTGGCTGGTCTGTTCGATGGAAGCTCGGGGGTTCACACTAAGTATGGCACGGGATTCTACACAGCCGGTGGAGCTGGTGACGCGGCAAACGTACTCGCCGCTGTCTTTCAGCACAAGACTGATGAGGTCCAGAGCGATGAAGCCGAAACGAAAGATGGAAGTAGCGCGAGAACCTAAATTTACAAATTTTAGTATGAGGGGTAAATAGAACCGGGTAGTACTTACTAGCTTCCAGAGGTCTTCCATTAATGAACCATTCTACACGCATTGTGGGGTCGCCAACTGGTTCAATCCTGGCCTCGAAATGAACTTTTCCTCCTTCAAATTGAACGGCATCTTGGAGAGGGATAATGAATTGGGGTGGGGGGTAGATTCGATCTTCTTCAGGGGCAGGGGCGTAGGGCTTCGCGCGTTCAACGTGGCGGAGATAAATAACTTCTGGGCCAGGTTCGGGTCTAAAACATTGTTAATTGATGTAAAAAAGTGTTCGAAGGTACTTACTCAGGTTCGATAATTTTGGTCGGTCGAGGCAGATGCAGACGTCTCGGTTCCTGCGTCGGCCCTTGCGGTGTTTCGACAAACAACCTAGCGCGAGTCGCGGTGGAGCCGGCAACATTCTGTGCAGTACATTGGTACCAACCAGCATCCGACGCCTTGGCCCTTGGTATATCCAAGGAAGTGGCTCCACCGTCAATCGCGATCCGGACTTCATGACTACTTGTCAAAGGGACTCCGTCCTTCTGCCAAGTGATTCGTGGGGTCGGGGTACCAACAGCTCTGGCATTCAATAAAACAGGCTCTCCTTCTCTAACATTCACCGTAGTGAATCTCTCGACAAACTTCGGCGCTACCACTTGCTCCTTCTCGATGACATTCAAGTTGCATTGGAAGGAGGTTTCTCCGGTTTTATTCCGGGCGACACAAGTGACCACTCCGGAGTCCAAACGACTCACTGTGGTGATCATAAGGGCGTGGTTACCGGATTCGTTCACTAGAATTTTGTGATTGTGGTCATCGGTAACTTGGCGGCCGTTTATGAACCAAGTGACTTCCGGGTAAGGTCTTCCAGTGACGCGGCAGTCAAAACGGGTCATTTTACCCTCAGTGACGTCTCTATCGCCGCAAACTCGGACGAAATTAGGTGCGAGAGTCTTTCCAGTGTCGGTTTGTTCAATTTCGGTTTGTTGAGACTTGAAGGTCGATTCGTGAATCAAACCTTCTTGGGTTGTGACAGGTTCAATGGCCAAGTAAGCAGAAGAAACAACACAACCTTGAGGATTTTCAGCCAATAGTGTGTAATGACCGGAATCCTCAGAAGTAGCTTGCTTGACTCTCAAAGAAGCTTGGTTATTAGAGAAAGTAGTTTCGTATTTTTGTGTCTCTGTGATTCTTTGGCCGTTCCTGAACCATGTAATCCTGGGTCTTGGATTGGCTGAAAGTTTTGCTGAAAACACAGCATCTGAGCCTTCCAGCAACTTCGAGTTCCTTGGCTTTTGTGAAATTTGAGGCGGTGCTGGAGGCCCTAGAGACCTTTCCACTGTCGTGGATATTTGAACGTCACTTTCTCCGACATATCTCCTAGTGATCGACTCCCGGAAAGACACTTCTCGGAGCAGTCTATACTCAAAAGTGTCAATTTTGAAGTCTTCTTGAACGTAAGTCCCGTTTGAGTAAGTCGTGGTTTGTTCATGTCGTTGGTAGGACTGCCTTTGTGGCATTTGGAAGCCTTCGGGTTGGATAAATACCGAGCATATGGCAGCGCCATACTGATTCTTGGCCGTACAGACGTATTCGCCTTCGTCTCCCGGACCGATTTGGTTAATCTGGAAAGTGATATCTCCAGTCGTTTCGTTGTAGGTTAGTCGGTGTTTGTTGGAAGAGAGGAGAGGAGCGCCTTTGCGCGTCCATGTGACTTCCGGTTGCGGTTTGCCGGTAACACGCCCTTCGAAGGAGGCAACGCCTCCTTGCGCGAAACGGGCATTGCTGAAAACTTTCTCGAAGACAGGGGGTTGGGCGTTGGGGCCGAAACCGGCGATTTGTTGGTAGCCCTGTTGCTGGATCTGACCACCTTGCACTGGAAAGAGATTCATCTTTTACTAAAATATTTTTTTTAATAGTAAACTGTTAGTGCCATTATGGAAAGAGCCACAGTTAATTACAATTAAAGTCTTTTGAAAAATCTCTGCCCACACTTGTAGATCAACATTTGGATACTAACTAATAATTTTTAAACTTACTCTTAAACTGAAATTTTAAACTTATAATTTTTTAATTCAAAGATATTTTAATAGAAAGTGGAAACTACACAAAGCTACAAGAATAAAGTAGAATATAAATTTTCAATAAATGTCTTCCCCAACAAATGACCACACAAATCCGCTGTTAGGCGTACTTATAACAACTTTAACATTGCACGACATTAGTTACTTATTATTCGAAAATATTTAATAAGAGTTTACCTTAGATTCTAAAAATAACCTACTTAATAAATCCAAATAGATCTCGTAGCATTTAGTACATAAAAAATTCACAAAAATTTATCATTATCTAATTATTATTATTATTAGTGGTTCCATTTGATAAGTATTTCATGATTTTGCCAAAGAAAATCTGCTGTATCCTTTTACAAGTACCAGTACCAGTATTAAAAAAAACACTACAAATCTATCTGTTTTTTTTTCTTTTCTAAATTTCTCAACAACTTGCTTAAACAGATATGTATCTATTTTTGCTTTTTTTTTTCAAATGTCTTTTGAGATTAAGTAGCAGTTAAATATAAATACAATTTAAAAAATATAAAATACAATTTAATATTTTGAAAACAATCAACTAATAATTGAAATAAATGTAAAAAATGTTTTATAGTTATTAAGATAACAAGAGTTTTAAACTATAAAACTTGTGTTGTCCTCAAAATTATTTCCAATACTAATATTGTATCAGAAATTTTGCTAATTTCTAAAACTGTTGTAAAGAAATTTGTTAAAATAATGTCAAAATTGACAAAATGCCAAGATAAGACTATTTTAGTCGTATGTAAAGTCTCTTTCATTTAATAAACAATTGTCAATGTCAAAATTTCTAGAAAAACCATGCTATACCACCCTAAAACTCCTGATATATGGACTAGCTATATACAATTTAGTGAGATTATGGTTAAATAGTGTCAATTGTCAGTTATGTTTATAGAAATTTAAAAGAAAGACACGATTGAAATACGAAGCAAAAAAGGAGTTGAAGCATTTAATTTAAAATCACCTCCAACTACTGACGTAGACACCGAAATGAGAAAAACAACAGTAACAGTTGTAGGCAGAGCTGCCAATCGTGAATTTGAATTTCATTTTTAGGCATTAACGTGTAAGTTTAACCATTTTGACAATTAAAAAAAATTGAAAATTAGATGAAACAGACTTTACTTATAAAATACGTTATTGCCATTACCATTACAACCAACCACTTGTTGTGATTGACGATGAATTTTATAGAAGAGCAAATATTAACGGCAATATAAGAGGTAAGCTGAAAAGCACCATTGAAACAGTATATGACACTAGTGTTGGAAAAAGATTTTTTTTTGAGTTGGGTGTGTTTAATTTTTTTTTAGTTATTTATACTCAAAGAATATTTGTTTTTTTTTAAGTTTTTTTCTTCTAAATCATTTAATTTCTTTTCTCATTTGTTGTTTTTTATTCTATTTTTTTTAATGTAGAGAGAAGTTTTCTTGTGCAAAAATCTACTCAAACTCAAAAATTATTTTCTGTGATCTTTTTTTTTTCTTTCTTACAGGTAGATAATACTTAGCTTTTGAGAAGATGTTTTACTTTTTACATTTTTTTCAAGTCAATCTTTTAACAATTATTGTTAATTACAAAAATATAATGAGTTTTTTCTTTTTTTTTTTTTGGTTTTTGGATCTCGATTTTGTGACTTTTTTGGAGTTGTTTTCAATCTTCTTACTTTTTTCTACAATTATTTTTGATATTTTCATTTTTGTTCTATTTTTTTGTTTTGACTCATTTTTTTTATTAGTATTTTGTTTTGACTCATTTTTTTTTATTAGTATTAATTTTCCAAAAGACTCTAAACTTTGTCAAAGCTCAAAATCCCTATTCCAGTGAATACACGAAGGCCACAATTCGAAATTCCCGCTTATCTTCAATTCCCTTGCAACATTTTTCGAATGACAGAGTCGGAGTGAGGCGACTGGACGACCGGCTAGCGACTATTTTCGACTTGGATCGCGTTACAGGCGTCCATTTTAGGAGCACCTATTTTTATCATACCAATGAGAGCATTCGATGCGGCCGTTCATAAATTATGTAAATTTATCGGATGCAGGCCAGGATTAGGAATTTTTCATTTCGAAATCACGAATTTTCGGTCGAAAGGCTCCGTTAAAGTTTAATTAGGTTTACGGTAGTTTAACGAGAAGCTGATTAAGTGCGCTCTCAAACACACAACAATCATATCTGTTTTATGGATGGTTTGGCTGCTTGTTCGAGGAAACGTAACAAAATACATATAACGATCATGTTTATTTAATTAGTTCATTAATAGCGCTAATTGCAAGAAAATGCAAGTAGAATCTGGTGCAGGGATTACATATTGGATTTTTTCTTTACTTTTAGAGAGCACGAGCACAGGTGGATTCAGTGTGGAACAACTGGGGGTCTAAAACCGATAAAAAGCTCGACAATGTTGAACACATGTGTTCACTCAGGTCAATAGCTTATTTCTCATAACAAGGGTTTATCTTGAGTTTAATCACTTTCAACTTATCTTTATGCTTCGTGCAAATAGAAATAAGTTATAGTTATCAATCACAGGCGACGCCAATTATTCATTTCCGCAAAAGTGACAATTTATTGAAAATTAAATTAAAAAAAAAACATTTTATTTTTTATATTCATATTTTTCTTGTTACAATTTTAAAATTATTTTTTACTTAAATTCAAGATTTTGTTATATTGTCATCGTTTATTTATTTATTATTGATCTTTAGCCTTTTTTTTATATTACCTACACCAGATACTGAAACCAAATCAAAATATTTATTTTCTACAACTGTCATTCAAAAATCTTACAAAGTAATGAAAATTCTCTGACAAAAAAGTACAAGTTGTCTAAGAGAGAAAATAAGAGATTTATTTTATTTTTTTCTTTAGTTTTTGATACTTTTTGCTCATAAAACTATAGTTCTCATCAGAAAAACCTAACAACTAGTAAATAAGTAGAACAGATTACTGTTAAAAAAACTGATTTATACTAAACCTAATTAATTTAATAAGAAGAACGATAAAGAAAAAATAAAATAACAATGAAATTTCATTTGTAAGATCAAACGTTGTTATAATTTTTTTACGGTTCCATATTGTTATGGTATGGATAACATTCAACAATTTACAATCGTTATGCTATCAACAATACACAGGCCAGACGTTTTAATAAACCGTCTTTCTTTAACGCCCGGCTTTTTGACAGTTTGACAATTTAAACCTTCAAATATTGACATTTTCAGAATTTACATTTTTTTTTAAGTATAGCGCTGTCGGGCTTCAAACAACACCCTCAGTCGTTATGGCCTTCGTAACAGCCCTGAACATGTAAATTAAACAGGTTGCCGTTAAACAGGTACAGATTTATAAATTAGGAGAGAGAATAAAAAAAATCTTTTGAGTTTTTTTTAATTTTCAATAAAAGATACCTGCTTGGGGGTTTTTATTGCTTTTTGACACTCTTTATTAAGAAAATTATAGTTTTTCTAATTATAATAATTGAAAATCTTCAGCTCGTTTTTAAGAAGGACAAACTCATATCATATGTTAGTATCAAAGAGAGAAAATAAGAAAACTATTTGGGACAGTATATTAGTGTATATTAATAAATTTATATTTTAACAAAAATTTTATTCTTGTAATAAAATTCAGTTTTGTAAAATTGCTCTGTTTTTTATTTATTCTGTAAATATCATTCAACAGTGACCACAATTTGAAATCGGTCCCAAAACCCCGTTCTAATTGCAATTAGTGTAATTACTCTTCTATTAATTTTCTTGTAATTACAAAACGGAAACTCTGATGCACCGCCGACTTTCAAAAATAAACCAGACGCAATCAAAATTTGTTACCACTCGTAAATTAGGTGCGGGAAAAAGCCTCAATCGTTTGCGCAATCGCATTTTGTGGTGTTTATAAAACAAAAATTCTCATTCGAGCAAAAGAGCCACAATAACACTTCTCGACTTATTTTTAAAGCTGATTGATTGGCTGGAACACTTGCCAAATCCTGTCACACAGGATTTTGATGCCAATTTTTTTAAATCATTAATTTAAAACACTCGTTTGTCAAAATGCAAAACTCATGCAGGAAGGGGAAGTTTGATTTTTGCATAATTTTTAAGCAAAATGTAAAGAAAATAAATAGATTTTTTGGGTTTGAAAGCTTCCAGGCTGCCAACTGTTTTTGGCAACGTCTCAGGATAAATATACAGAGTGGCTCGATTTTTTTCATGCAAGATGACGAAAGCTAATGAAGATTTGTACTTTGATGAGAATGAATCGCTAGCAAGCATGAATGAAGCAAATCTTCTAACCTGTCGTATGACCGGTGACTTGTCTCGTGACGTGCTGCTCAGTCCTAACCACCCTCTGCTGAGTTTGCTGCGTTTGCTGAGTTTGCTGCACCTGCGATTGGTGCGTTTGCGACATCTGCTGCTGTCGATTCATCTCGTCACCACAAAAATCCGCACAAAAATCAACACAGAATTTTTCGAAAAATAGCAGAAAAAATAAAAACTCTAAATTAGCACAAAAATCACTATTGGAGAAAAAATCGTCTATGTATCACGTTTCGTTGCCTTCCACGGCTTCAGTTAGCAGAAGTTCAAGTCATCATCCCCGATTCTTTACCAAGACGTCGGTCGTTTGCGAATTGCGAGCGAAGAATGCGCGATGAGGCTCTCCCACTGCGGACGCCACTGCTGGTGGGGGCTCGAGGGGGCTATTTTCAGCGCGACTGATACGCGATACGTGACGAATGCTGGCCTGGTTTGCGCTGCTCTGACTCAGTTTTGTTAATTCGGAGACGACAATTAGCGCACTTTACTCGAGGGGAAGGCGAGTGGGAGATGGGGATTCCCACAGGGGGATGAACGATATTTTTCACAAAAAAATGCACTAAAATAACTTGGGTTTCTTTACAAATGTTGTAGAGCTCAAAACAACTTGATACATACTAATTTAATCATTTTTACATCATCCAAAAATTAGAAAATGTTCAAGATGGAAGAAGATTTACATATTTCCATAGTTTTATTAAATTTGTTCTCAGAATAACAAATGTTGCAGCTAAAATGGACCAGAAAGTTATAAATAATTTTTTGGTATTTCCAGCTTGATCACTGTTTACAGCTTTGAGGAAAATATGTTATTGATTTTATTTTCAGGCTAAAAATATATTTCCTCATGTTTCTTCACTTTTTACCAATTTTATTAGAAAAATTATTAATTAAATGTTTAACAAATATTCAAGCCACATAAATTTTTGTCTTTTAAAGCAAATATTACAATAATTAAATGTTTCTATTTACTCCTTTTGTCTTGTTTTTGCTTTCCTCTTTTTTAAAAATTTTCATTTAAGTGTCATTCTTTCTTCTCTAGTTTGCAAAAAATTAACTAATTTTATTTAAAGTATAATTATTTTAAAGCTTTATCCCTTCGACTTTTTAATGATATTAAAAATACTAAACATTGGATAATTTCAACTTTCTTCCGTTTTAATCTTTCCAATCATTTACTTGTTTTCTTTCCTCCTTTGAAAACAACATACCTATCATTTTTTCTACATTAGGTTGCTTAAAAGCCGTAAAGACAAACCATTATCTTTAATTGAATCTCAAATTCAAATGACAGCAATGCACCACGAACCATACAAAAGAATAAATTAATTAAAATTATGTTAAACGTGACTACTGTTGTCTTTGGTGTTGCAGTTTCAATTAAACGAATATCTTGTTCAAAAAGTTTTATTGGTTAAAAAAGTATTAAAATATTTACAAAATTAATTTAAGTGTGGCAATTATGGCATTATTGTTAATACAATTAATTCTAGTGTAGCTAATATTTACATTTTTGTTTCAGTGATAATTGTTATGAACCCGATGAGGCCCGTTCGACTTACCAGCTGAAGAAATCGAATTCTGAGGAGATTCAGGACGTTGGTAGAATTGTAATTCAGGTGAGACACTTCTTCGACCGGTTTTCAGTTGGCGGTATGTTCCATACATGTGAGATGGTACTCCTGAAAAAATCATAAGTATTTAATAGAAAATTCAATTAGATTAAAGGGTTTTTCCAGTTTTATAAACAGAAATTTTTTTGTTAGAATTTATTTTTTGTTCAGAAGAATGTCCAAATATTTTTTAGTGCTGTTATTCCATCGCCCACTTAGATCCTCCCACTTGAAATTATTTCGTGTACGAATTATTTCCAACTATTCCATTTATTTTTGTAACAGTTTTCAGAGTGATATAAATTTATTTTTTAACTTTTTTCATTGTGAATAAATTCCATTCAATCATTTGCTGAAAATAGACAAGCTGTTACTATTAGACTATTACAATTGTAATATGGAATTTGCTTCTGAAAGTATGCGATTCCAAATTTAGAACATCCTGAACTACGAACATATGGTGCAACAATATAACTTCAAAACCTGAAAATTTTGCTGAAATCAATCCAAGTGCGTAAACAAACTCAATATCAACTAAATGTCATGCGTGATTTCACTAAAAGTCTCATCGGTGGAGTCAAATTAAGACTCAAAACAAGTAAACAATGTACACTTTTGAAATATTGAGTACTGTGGCCAAGTTTTCGCACGCAAACTATTCTTAGAGCGAAATGAGTCAAAAGGGTGTAATATTTAAAAGTGTATTAGTCAAGCACGAGTATGTAGGCAGAAAAAACCTTGGGATAAATTTCGCACAATTGAAAGTTAAGAATTTGAAAATATTGGGTTTTCGAAAAGAGATAAAAAAATAAACAGAAAATTCCTTACTAGCAATCAGTGTCATAGTCTGCTGTTTTATTGCAATTCGAACTTTTTAAAAAGCTTTTAATATTTTTTAGTTGTTTGAACATTAGATTATTACTTCATATACAGCGTGAACAGATCAAACTTAAAAAAGAATAAAAACGCTAAACTTTTTTGTATTCACTTTCTTTTTTCATCATTTCACTTCCCTTTTTAAAAAGATATATCAAAGAAAAAATAAAAAAATCTGATGTGAATGTTTTTGAACAAGAATTTTAGCTAAAGTGATAACTTTTGAATTAAATTCTTTAAACATTTTTTTGTTTCCTGTTTTGTCTACATTTTGCGACAGTTGTTGGAAATACAACGCAATGATTTCTAAAAAAAAATTCTATCTAAAATGTAAAAATAAAAATAAATTAAAAAACGCATTAGCACAGTGTTTCACTTCGAGGAAGATTTTAATCGGGTTCATTGCGCTCCTTCCGATGCCAAAACCCCAAATAATTAATTTCTTGGCTCAAGTTGCAATTTCGCAAATTACCACTTTTGAATTTTTTCTCCTGTAATTGAAACTAGGTGTTCGAAAAGCACTAAACACCTAAGTTTAGACTCTGAATAAATAATTTGGCACAAATTGCATCCAGGTTCTTACTCACTTATTCTAAATCGGATTCTTTGTATTTTTATTATAGCGTGACGAAATTTTACGACCAACGAATAATTTCTCGATAATTTGAACAAAACTGTATTAAAACAATCGAAAGCGCCATTTAAAGCACAAGTGTAAACAATTGAATCAGAAGAGTGGCCCCACGTATGATGGAAACTTGCCCAAAGTGGTCCAGAAATAGAAACGTATGTGTGGCATCTTGCATTTTATTCGACTTATTCGGGGTGTGAAGAATGACAGAAAGGCGATTGTGGCTTTCAACACTTCATTACTTGCATTCGGAGTGCAGCAAAATTGTTATTTCTCGTGATGCAATCACGATTGTTTTAATAAGTGAGGCAAAACAGTATTTTTTATTAAGTGACTTTGAAAGTTATATTTAACTTTTAACATCCCGTATTGAAACCAATAACGACCATGGAATGCTATTTCTAGGATTAAAATTAGCAATTTGACCCAATTACATGTGTGCTAAAAATTTTTTTTTCAAATGTGTGTTCCTGTAAAAGATTTAGATTTGATAAATGTTCAGAAATTTTCAATACCAACTTATCACAATATTGAAAGAAAATTTCAAAAAATGTCTTACTTGTTATAAAAAAAAAACAAAAATATAAATACTTAAAATATACTTAGTTGTTTGATGAATTATTTTTATAGAAAAAAATATTTTATTAAACCAACTTGATTTTTTATCTTATATTTATGGTTGTACAGTGTGTACCAGATAAGTCTTCAAATTCTTTTTGTTTTGTAATGAACGAGTAAAAGTATTTCATATACATGAATAGCAACTCAAAAGCAATAAAATGAAAAGAAAAAAAACTCCTCAGTTTTTCTTTTTTGTAAAATTGAAAATATCAAATACTTTCTTCTGTTTAAATCGTTTGCTTAGAATTTAGTTCAGTGAAATTTTTTTTAATGTTTAAAAACAGAAAAAATAGTAATGAAACATATTGATAATAGTTTTAATTTTTAAATTATTAAAAATTGTTACGTCGATTTCTTTAGTTTTTTGTTTTGTAGCAGAAAAAGCGAAATTATAGTTTTTCTATACAGTTACAGTTTCTCTATTTTTATTATCTACGTTAGACTACTTTTCTAGCTAAAATCGAGATTAACCCTTAACCCTGTAAGAAAAAGAAAGAAGGGAATAGTAAGGAAAGGAGACCCAACACCGAAAAAAGAAGTAAAATTGCAGAAAAGCTTTAATATCGATTATAACAGACACAACAAATAAATACAATAATAAATAATCGAGTAACAAATACAAAGTCAATAGCAATAGACTATAACTAGACATGACCAGAACGGTTACTTCTAGGTAACAATACCAAAAAAAGTTAAATACGCGAACACAAGCATCAAATCTTGTGAAAGAAACTATTTGTGAAGCAAATTTTCACAAAACTTAAAAAAATCATGATTTGGCAGTGTCTAAAGCGACGTTTTCCTTAATTAGTACCACCACCCAATATCTAAATGTAAGACGAACGGCGCTCACCTGGTACCTCGAGGGTCGCTGTGGTGTTAGCAGTACCCACAGAATTGGTAGCTGTGCAAGAATAGGTACCTGCATCCTCTGTAACAACCGAAATTGTCATTAGGGGGAGAAAACCGGGGTTTGGGTTGGTACTACCAGGATAAGCCTGAGATATGGTCAGTCGACACACTCCATTCCGGTAGTGGAGTTGATAATCGTTGGAGTTTTCAATGATTCGTCCGTTTTTCGACCATAAGATATTAGGGGGTGGCTCTGATTGGACGATGCATTCAAATTTGGCGGGCTGGCCGCTCACTACTGCTATGTTGCGGAGGGGCTACAAAAACAGATGAGTTTGAATTTCAAACAATTGCAACACCAACCGTTATGAACATGGGGGCGCGAGTTGAATTTTGCGAAACTTTGGTAAACCCAGGGGTGCTGGGGCAGCTGGGGGGAGTCTCGGCTTCCTTTCTACCCAAAGCTGCAAACACACAAATTGAAGTTTCACTTCAACCAAGCACAAAACACAAGAAATTTGAAAAGAAAGCAATGGAAAACACTCAAGCCCAAGCCAAACCGCACACCAAGTACCTGCAATAGTACTGTTAAAAGCCGGAGATGTGCTAGGCAAACTAGGCGACAGAGAAACAGGACTACAAGAAGACTGATCCCATCTCGATGCGTGCAAGGTACTACCTCGCTTTTTACTCTCGCCCTCGTATTCAGACATTTCGCTTTCGGATGTGGGTTCCCACTTTACGTTTTTGCTCGATGGTGTAAATTTTTTCGGATGGGAGGTTTCATGGTAGACGGGCATTTCGATGTCGGTGGTGCGTTTAGGAGGCTCGATTATGGTTTTCTTAGGGACGGGAATTTCCCCTTGTTTACTTTCCCCAGGGAGGATTATCCCGAATTCGTAACCAAAGTCATACTTGAAGTAGATGAGACCTGTGTCAGGGTCTACGTGTTTGGTACCTAGAGAAGTTTAAATGTTAGAGAGTTAGACCCCCACCAGGGTTAAACAATGATGAGTCAAAATATGGTACTTGCCATATTGGGCTGCTCTGGTTTCTTCTCGATACACTTGGGCGTCGCCATCTTGGGCTTTCACCACTGGTTTCTGCTGTGATTTTTTGTTAACATCATTCATGATATCATGGACAAATTTCTGAGTAGTACTTTTGAAAGCATGTGTCATGCTATCCATATGCTGGGAGGCTAATTTTGCTGCAGTAGCTTTAGTTATTTTATTATCGGCTATATATCCATACTCGGGGGGACTCCCTGGTTGTACTGGAGGCTCATAAGACCTACTCCTAGCCACAACTTTCCCTGATTTACTTTCCGTAAATCGTTTGTAACTTCTTTCATGTCTCCGGGTTTCACCATCAACAAAATCGGTGGTACTTATCGTTGAAGGCATTACAGGGGATTGGTCAAATTCCATAGGTGATAAGACTCGTTCTTTGGGCGCTGGGGCACTTAGAGACCTAGTTGAGGGTGCTTTGACCGGCCTATAGTGATATCCTTCCGAATCACTGCCACTGGGGGCCCACTTTGGCTTAATTCTGGTACTTTCAACTTCACTCTCATAATCACTTTCCCTGAACTCCCCTGGGATAAATTTGGTGGGTCTAGGAGGAGGTGGGGCACTCCCTCGCCTGGGCCTCTCTGGTTCCGGTTTAAACGGAAACGGTTCTAATTTCTCCTCCCGTCTCCCCTGATCCCCAAACTTGATAACTTTAGTCGTCTGTTGAAGACTAACCGTTCTTCTACAATTCTCACTAGCCTCATTAAAATGCATAACATTTGAAGTTTCAGTTTGAATAGCATTATGATATGGAGTACTAGTCACAGATCTGTAGTACTGCGTTTTCCGGGGGGCGGCGTACCCCAATTCGGGGGGCGTTCCCGGCTGTATTAATACTACCTCCTTGCGTACAGCAGGCGTGGCTATAATAGTCTCAGCCACCACAGGTCTTGGCTTGACCGTTTGTGGGGCAGGTTTGATAATCTCGTCCAATTTAACACTTGGTTTGAATTTCTCGATTGGTTCGAATTTTGGTCTAGGCGGACCTTCGATACGCGGGGGATGATCAAATTCGGTGGGAGGAGTCGGGGTCCGGCCGGATTGCTGTGATTGGCGGCCGCTGGGTGTGAGGACGGGACGCACAGGTTTATAGGTGGGGTCCCCGTCGGATTCTGTAGGACGCCAGACGGGAGGGATACGCCCTTCGTAGTCGCTTTCGTAATCACTTTCACGGAATTCACCCTTGATGAATTTTGAAGGACTAGGGGGTGGAGGACCGCGGAGTTTTTTGCCGCGGGGAGGGTCGGGTTTGAAGGGAAAAGGTTCAAGTTTCGTGTGTTTTTCGTGGTGTTCGATGTGATGGTGGGTGGAGCTGCTCGTGATAATGGGCGTGGCCACCAGTTCCTACAAAAATAACACAACAAATTAAATAAATAAAAATAATTGTAACGGTTAGTACACACAAGTTACAAATAAACGTGTTTCTTTTATTTGTTTGAAAAATTGTTCAATGCAGTTTCTAGCTCCATGCGCAAAATTTTGTTACCTAAATTAGGCGTAAGCAAAACTAAGAGAGAACTAAAGTGAAAAATTGATGGAAAAACTGACAAATTCTGTATTTTCACCACTTTAGCTCCCTTTGATCGATTAGTCAACAAACGCAGAACCAAAAGCGAACCTTCTTTGCTGAAGTCAGCGCTGAGGTCACGTGTTTCTTATGCTGTGGGAATTTAGGAGTGGGTTTAGGAACGATCTTTTGTGAACTTTCCACAAACCTCTCGCTACTTTGCGAGATATGTTTATACTCAGATTTTTCCTCATGCCTGTATTCAGTCTTTCTCTGCGAGAATGGTTCGTCAGTATCTGCCATATAGCCATCAACAGCCATTTTGTGCTTGGTTTTAGGCGATTCAGGTTTAGCTTTTTTTTCAAGAGGCGGTGCTTCTGCAAAAATGGGCGGAGATCCTGGTTTAATATCGATTAAAGGTTGAGGAGGTACCACCTCTTTCCTGACCTCGTGACTTCTCGTAAAGTGCTTCGTTTGTTTCTTGACTTGTTGTAGAGTCTCTTTTTTACGTCTAGCTTCCTCTAGATTAATATCAGGTCTTGGGGGCCCTTGAAACTGAGGAGGATGGTCAAATTTCGATGGAGGTAAGGGTTCAGGTTCTACAGATTTTGACCTTCCGCTAGAAATCAATTTAGGAGCTCGAACTTTCCTATAACTGGGTTCTTCAGTATCACTTTGTGACGGTTTCCACTTCGGAGGTATCCTCACTGATTCAAAATCACTCTCGTAGTCACTATCAGTGAATCTCCCTTTGATAAACTTTGATGGAGTTGGAGGTGGCCCCACTTTTGGAGGTTTAGGCTTTTCAGGTTCAGGTTTAAAAGGAAACGGTTCCAAATCCGGGAAACGTTCAAACGGTTTTGATTCGATCAAAGGAGCAGGTTTGAGGGGTTTGGCGGGAATTGGTGGTGCTTTTGGTTGTTCTTTTTTGGGTGGGAGTGGTGGGGGAATGGTCCGGACGGCACCTGGAGGTACTTTTGCCGGAATTTTCTCCAAATTCCTCTCCAAGTCTTGCTCAACCATTTCGACGTACGATTGGCTGCGTTCGCGAGGTGGAGGTTGTGCAAACGCAATTTCGGGTGGTGGTCCTGGCTCTAAATACACTTCATCTGTGATGTCTTGCACTGAAACTGGTCGAATTGGAATCAAGGATTCAATACTGGGGGGTGGGGGCCACGATTTGATTACTTCCGATGGCCTCACGTTTCTCTCCTCAATTATTTCCTTTTTTTCACTACTAGTCTCGTAGTGTGATTGAACGAAAGTACTATGTTGTAAATCTGTCACTTTTCCAATGTAGTGGGTAATAATAGGAGGCGGAGCTTCGGTTATAATCTCAGTTTTTTTAAAAGTTTGCTGAATTGGAGTTTTTTCAATAACAGTTTTTGATTCTTTGACCACGTGCTCACTTGTTTTCAATTCAGGGGTCCATTTTTTCTCCAAGGTACTATGAACTGACCATGATGGTTGTACTTCAGGTTGTGGTGGAGGCCAGGACTTGTCAGTTTGGGAGTCTGTGAACTTGTGAGCCCAGGCTTTCTCCATTTGGAGGGCTTGCGATGAAGGTTCTATCCCTTTGACTTCATTTTCAAAATGGCGGCTATAACTAGAAGCTTGGTACGATTTTTCAATTTTTTCCGAAAATTCTCTTGGTTTCTCTTCAATCAATTTGACTTTTTCTTGCACTTTGGAAATTGGGAGTGGCGATGGATAAATGATCTCAGCTGGTGGTTCCGGTTTCAAACTTACTTCCTCACGATAAGGCTTATATTGTTCAATTGGTTCAGACGGTTTTTCAATTTTAATAGGAATTGAAGTTTCAGTTTTCGAAACTTCTTCAAATTTTTTGTAAACTTCCGGTTTGATAGGGGCCGGAATTGTAGCTTCCTCTTTCAAGGGTGGTACCGACTCCTCCACTCCTTTAATCTTCTTGACGAAGTACTGAAGTGATGACTCTTTTGAAATGGAGCTTGTTTCAATCCCAGTCTCTTCAATTTTTTTCTCTTGTAATATCTCGCTTGAAGGTTGGCAAATCTGATAATCAGATTCTAATTTAAAAACAGGCGTAGGTACTCTCGCTTGAGGCATGGGTACTTCTGGAACTGTATGTTCAAATTTCATCGTTTTTGATTCTTTGGTCATTTGTTTGGTCATTGATGTGAATTCAGATCTGGAAGAAATTTGGGACGATTCTGGGACTTTAGGAATTGCGATTGGTTTAGGGATTGTTGAAACTGTAGATGAGACTTTATCAGCACCTGAGGTCTGTGTTTGGCATGAAAAAAGACAATAAACAATTGAACCACCACCCAAAAAATAATAATAAAAAAGTACTCACCAGTGTTTCATGCTTTCGCACATCCTCAAATACCACAGTCTTGACCACTTCCACCATGGTGTCGGGAGTTGGTTCAAAAACGGCAATGTCGGCAATACTTTGAGCTTCGCCACCAGAATTGACTGCTCGTACCATAAATCTTCCAGACATATTTAATTCAGCTAAAAAAATAACACAAATAAAAAGTCACATTAAAGTACTAATAGTACCTTTTTCTATAACAAGAGTATGCGAATTTCCCATCGATCTGATCCTTGCCTTATCCCCAAGAGCCTCACTAATAGGAACTCCATCTTTGTACCACGCAATTGTGGGTTCAGGAGTTCCCGTCACCTCAACTTCCATAATGACCCGATCCCCTTTTTTGACAACTTGGGCTTGAAGTCTGCGACCGAAAACGGGAGGAAATACAGTTTCTAAAAAATAGTGATAAGTCAAAACACATTTCAAGATTACATGACTTACTTCGCACGACCAAATCGGCGGTACTTATCGCCTTACCAGCTTCGTTAACTGCCGTACATGTGTACCTCCCAGCATCGTTAATATTTGCGTTTTTGATAACCACGGAGACTTTATTTCTGTCAAAGAGTACTTTAACACCCGAGGACTCCCGTAATTGCTCCCCATTTTTAGTCCAAATGATCTCAGGGGTGGGTTGACCATCCACTATCCCTTCAAGGATCACATCAACATTTTGATCGACGATTTTACCCATCACAGGAGTAATAAACTTCGGGGGTCGTGTTTTTATCACCGGTTTTTGGACTACGTGCTCGATTGTCTTCTGTTTAGTTTCCTCGGTGGTACCAGAAGTGAAGAGTGAGGATGATTTTTCGATTATAGTAGGAGGTTGTTTGCCAACTTGGTGATACTCTTCGATTTTGTGAGATTCGCTGATTTGAGGAGCTTCTTGATTGATTTGTTTGAAACTTTGTTGGTCTTGTTGGGAGAAACTGTGGACTTGAACTTGGGGTTCTTGTGGCCCGGTGAAAGTTTCGATTTTACGGGACGTTGAAGTGGAGGATTGTGTATGCACCTCGCGGTTTAGAATATAGGAAGATTCAACATGTTGTGAGATGTCTCGGGAAAGTTCCGGAAGGGTTATCGTAGAGACACTTTGGACGGATAAATGACCGGCACAACTTGCCTTCCCGACTTCGTTTTCGGCCACACAAGTGATAGTACCTTCCAGGTCTTTGCTTATTTCCGGTATGGTCAAGACTTGACGATCACCGGAAGTCGAAATTAGGATTTTCTTGCCTGTGATTGGTTCTCCATTGAACAACCATCGTACTTTAGGTGCTGGTTTTCCTACTACTATACATTCAAATTTGGTGGAAGTACCTTCAAAGGCGATTCGATCATTAAACAATTCTTTGAAACTGGGGGCCAACTTGATTTCTTCATGTTTGATGATTTCGGGTGGTTTCATCGATTTGACGATAAGTTGAGCAAAACATTTGGCATCGCCTGAAGAGTTGGTAGCCTTGACTGTGTATACCCCCTTGTCCTCAGGTCGCACATTTGCTATTTCGAGTCGGATGGTACCATCACTATCGTGAGTTATTTTTACGTGGTCGGTGGGTGCAATTGGTTGGTTGTTGAGTAACCATTTGATTTCTGGTGTGGGTTCTCCTGTTACGCACCCTTCAAACTGGACTTTTTCCCCTTCGGAGACGAGAACATCGGCGAGGAGTTTGGTGAATTTAGGGGGAGTTCCAGGTGGTTCTTCTGGTTCCAGTGGTTTGGTTGCGCTATCCGGTACTACAGTTAGTGAGCATTTACTGGAAGCTTCACCAGCGGAGTTGAGAGCCACGACTTTGTACTGACCAGCGTCTTCCGGGAGGGCTTCCTGGATGATCAAAGAACAGCGATCTCCTTGGAATAGTAGTTGAAAATCTGGGGATTCTTTAACGGGTCGGTCATCGTGGTACCAAATGACTTCCGGTTCCGGTTGGCCTACTATGACACAATCTAGGCGAACTCTGTTACCTTCAGTTACACTAACGTTAGTTAGGGGTAACTGGATGGAAGGTTTGACCGGTTCCATGTCACTGGCAAGTTCCGAATCTGATGTTTCCGTCGGGAGTCTTCCTTTAACCGAAACGCTGCAAGCACTCGACGCTTCTCCGGCAAGATTTTTGGCGTTCACGACGTACGTCCCTGCATCTTTGGGAAAGGCCTCGAACACGAGCAAAGTCGCCTTATTTCCCTCGAATTGTAACTAAAATTGAGATTATATTTAAAGACCGCAGCTGCGAGCATCGGATAGAATTGCATTTTCTTGTAGAAACATTCGGATCGGTGCCAAAAACCAAACCCACGTTTTGATAATAAAAATAATCACAAATTGTCAATTGAATGAATTAATTGTATTAAAAATTCTTACCTTAAGATCGCGCGCTTCCTTTACCGCTTTGCCGTTGTGTGTCCAAGTGAGGATCGGTGGGGGCAATCCAGAAACCTCACATTCCAATTTTATTTTCTGGCCGGCCCTCGCCATCACGTTGGATAGAGGCAAGATAAACTTGGGCGCTTCGGTGGGCTCCAGAGCTGCACATAAATTCGGCCGATTGTGAAAGTGGACTAAATTCTATCGGGTTCAATATTTTTTAACTCAAAAAAGCAATAAGGAAAAGTGTGGGAAGCACAAGTTTATTCACACAAGGCGTCGTTTTTACAAGTCCATATGTAAAAATAGTACATCGCTATTTCCGCAATTTCATTCCAACTGATACTATTATATTTGGGGGGGCAAGAAGGCGATCGAGGAGCTTGCCAAAATGCAACAAAACAGCGCGACCGAATTTGTATCCAAAATATTTTCCAATAAATTTTCGTTTTAATTCGATTTTTCGCAAGAATAAAAAAGTTGGGTTATTTTTTGATATTTTAAGACACAAGTCTTTCCAATTCGTGCAAAATGGCAAGCAGTACCACCACCCAAACCACTACAACCCATTCATTCCACTTACGTGTTACACTCAAGCTGGCCGTGCTTTGCGCCACCCCCAGCTCGTTGGTCGCCTTGCACGTATACTCGGCCTTATCTTCCAACACCACTTTTTCAAACTTCAAAATTGCCTCTCCATTATTATACGTAATCACATAATCCGGAGAATTGTCGATACAGTCATAATTTTTAAACCACTGCACTGTCGGTAACGGATTTCCCTCCACTTTACAATAAAACTGGAAACTCGTTCCTTCTCTTGCACTTCCCGGTTCTAACAACTTCACAAAAGTAGGTGGTGATAACTGTTCTTCCGGTTCCGTTTCTTTCACCGATAAACAAGCACTTGTTTCGGCAGAACCAGCCGCGTTGATGGCTTTGCAAGTATATTTGGCCGAATCTTCAGCAAAAGTTTCTTCAATAGTTAGAGTACACAAACCTTGGTCAAAAGTAGTCTGGTAATCAGGATTGTTCTGGATTGAAATACCATCCTTAAACCATGTTACAACTGGGACGGGGGTACCGGTCACATGACACATGAAAGTAAATCGAGAACCCTCCTGGATGATGGCGTCACTGAGAGGGGAAGTGAAAACAGGAGCTTCAATTTTGGGCTTCTGAGTTTCCAAAGCCTGAATTCGAGCGGCTTCTAACCTGGATTCTTCTTCCGCTCTTCGTCTAGCTTCTTCCTCAGCAGTTTTGCGTCTAGCTTCTTCTTCAGCTGCTTTACGTCGAGCTTCTTCTTCCGCTTTTCTTCGAGTTTCTTCTTCAGCTGCTTTGCGCCTAGCTTCTTCTTCAGCCTTTCTTCGAGCCTCTTCCTCAGCTGCTTTGCGTCTGGCTTCTTCTTCCGCCCTTCTTCTAGCTTCTTCCTCAGCTTTACGTCTAGCTTCCTCTTCAGCTGCTTTGAGCCTAGCTTCTTCTTCCGCCCTTCTTTTAGCTTCTTCCTCAGCTTTACGTCTTGCTTCTTCCTCAGCTGCTTTGCGTCTAGCTTCTTCCTCAGCCTTTCTTCGAGCCTCTTCCTCAGCTGCTTTGMGTCTGGCWTCTTCTTCCGCCCTTCTTCTAGCTTCTTCCTCAGCTTTACGTCTAGCCTCTTCTTCAGCTGCTTTGCGTCTGGCTTCTTCTTCCGCTCTCCTTCTAACTTCTTCCTCAGCCTTACGTCTAGCTTCCTCTTCAGCTCGCAACCTTGCTTCTTCTTCAGCCTTTCTTCTAGCTTCTTCTTCCGCTCGAATCCTAGCCTCCTGAATTTCCCTTAATCTTTGTTCTTCCGCTAATCTCAAATTCTCAGCCAATTGACTAATCTCACTGGTAATACTAGAAAACGATTCGAGCATTCCTCGATTCTCCTGCAAGACTTGATCAATTGTTGAGTGTTGTTGAGGGCCAAAAATTCTTGTTGCCAGTTCAGTTATCTTCCGAATCCTTTTATTTTGCATTTCTTCACCTGGTTTAAGGAAAATTTCAATTTCGTTAAGCAACTGTTGGGCTTCCTCAGGCTTTTTGACAAGATTTGATTTCCGGGCGATGTTAATCAGGAGACGGCTGCCTTCACGGAACCATTCATTTGCCTGTAACTCCGGAAATTAACACCAAGCATTAAAAATTAAGCACTAAACTAACCTCTTCAACCAGCTCGAAGAACTGGATACTCAGATCGATCAAATTTCGTGTTTCTTGGACTTGTTTCTTAAAATTGTTCCACCGGTCTTGCAACTGGGAGATTTGCTTTTGGATATGAGGAGACTGTGCATGGCGTTCGGCTAGCAGTTTCTCGCCTGTGTCCAAAAAGGCGTTGATTCGTTGTTGGAGCATCTAGAAAACATAAATTAAACCAAGAAATTTTAACAATAACAAACATACATCAACGGTCTTCTCAAAGTAAACGAAAGCATGAGACGTTGCTTTAGCAGCAGACAAAGATTCGCCATATTTCCCTTTCATGTCTTCCAATTGGTTACCCAGATCGTCAAGAGTGTCATTAATTTGTCTCAAGTCGGTATCAAATTGACATAATTGTCTTTGGGCCTCTAGAGAGTCTCTTCGTTGCCGCCATTGATTCTCCCAATTGTCCCTCTTAAGTTCCAAGATGTGTTGGAGTTTCTGAATGTCGGAATCGGCGGCTTGTGGTGGTTCTTGCCTTGAGATTCTTTGAACAACATTCTCGCACTCTAATCTCGCCCTATTAAAAAGTTCCAAAACCGTCTGTTTGGAAATTTCGTGGTCCCTTATCAAACTTTCAACACTGGTGATATCGCCAGCACCAGTTTTCACATTAAAATCTTCGACTTTCCTATCCAACTCGACCAAATTCTTGAAATAAGAGATAAGCATCTCCAAAAGCACCTGATAGTCGTTCGCAACATCTGACAACTTTCTCCCCAATTCTGATAATTTACTTTTTAAATTTACAGTCTTCTCATCGCTACTTTGCGTCTTGGTGATAAGACTTTCCGCAGTTTTGATTCGTTGCTCCACTTCGACTTGTGCTTTTCGTACGTCTGGTAGCACCTTTTCTAATTTGGAGCACAGATGTGTTGTTATTTCTTTGGGATTCGTCGAATTCGTCGTTATTACCGGATATAATTGTTCGTCGAGCTTCGTCACCCAGTTTATAGTCTGGAAATGAGAGAGAGACGGCTTCAGTGGGCTGGACCTACCCTCGCTCTATTTTAAAACAACTCACTAATTATAGATAGAGTCGGTGAGGGCTTTGAGGTTTGACGCTTGTCACAAATACGGAATTTCAGAATGTTGACAAGATTTGTGATTGTATAGGAATTATAGATAATTAAGTGCGGCAAATGCAAGACAAAATCAGAGACAACAAGGAAAATGTAAAGTTTGAGTTATTTATTTATTGAATACACTAGACAAAAATAAATTTTATTTTTGCGTGGTTTTTGGAGGAAATTGGTTAGAACGGATATACTATTTTTGCCAGCACATGTTGCAAATGGAAAATAAGTCAAAACAAGCATTAACTGAGATGGATTAATTGACATTAGCGTAAATAATATAATTTCAATTAAAATGTCGAATTATTTGAAAATTAAAGGGACTGTAAAAATGCAAGTAAAACCTTCATTTTTAATTTTTTGGCGTTTAATAACTATTTTTTTAAACATTCAATTAATTATTAATTAAATTTTATATCCGTGTATATATTTTTAAGAAATCTGAATAATGACAACAAAGATTGAAAATTCTTTAGACACAAATTTTTTAACAATTATTGTCAGCTCATGTTGTATAAAATTTAGTTTGTTTTGTCATTGAAGATATTAAAAAAATACGTCTTTTTCTCGATCATTTATTTTTTAACTTTTACTTATTATTTTTGAAATGCACTTGAAGTAAATACAAAGTTTTCTTAAACAAAAGGAAATCTTTTCTTGACATCAATACTTTAATTGAATTGTTAGTTTTTCTCACACTACATTACCGGAAAAAAAGAGAAAATAAAGAAAGTTAGGTACTTAAACTCAATGCGCACACAGCATATTAAAATATAAAACAGACAAAGTAAAACAAGTTTATGTTTCAATTTTTATCTTTTCTCCGGCTTTAAATACAACCCACAATAATTTATTTAGAAAATAAATGTTTCGACAAGCTGGTCATCGTTATATTTAGGGATGCGCAAAATTTTTGCGCTTTCAAAAATCAATCAATCTAATTATAATTGTTACAAATAAGTTAATTCTGTGATTTGAATAAAAAAAAATACTGACCTTGGTGCTCTCAGCCATCGTTTGCTCCAGTCGCACCAACAACTCGCGTTTTTCCACAACTTGTGCATGGAAAGTCTGCCAATTTCTGGTCACAAGTAACTGTCGTCCCGACAGCCGTTCCAGCACGGACTCCACGCACAGACAAGCTCGCTTCGTGTCGAGATACGGTTCAGATACCTACAAGATAAATTTAGCGTTAGAAGAAAACGACGCCGATTCTATTCGCTTTGCTGGAAAGCGTGCTTCAGAAGAAGATAATTGCACGGTACTGACACTCGTTGCATGTATTAAGAGATTAGGGAGATAATATCGCAGATTGTTACCGGAAAATTAAAATCTTAATTGAGTTGAAGCAATTTGCCGTTTTTGAGGAGCGTTAATTGGACTATCACTATTAGCATGGAGAAATTGAAGCTACTACTATAAAATTAATTACGGTCTTGAAACTGGTACTGTTTTTTATTTTTTTGAAAATAACTGTATTAAAAATGTTAAAATAACATAGTTGCGAAGAATAATTACAGGCAAATTACGAGCCATGGTTCTATGAACCATGATAATAAGGTTATTACCTGAGGTAAAAGCAAATTTCATAAATTATTGCCTAATTATCAGTACTTAAAATATTCCAGCTTTTTGAAATTAATAAAAATGTCAAAAGCTTCAATTTGTATCCAGAAGTGCAAAAAAATATTGAACCCATATTTTTTATTATATTTTATACTGGGTGAGTCACAATTATATTTTAATTTAGAAAGTCCAAATTACACATAAAATAAAAGAATTCACCTTGTTAGCTTGGTCGATAAAGGTTAACCCCGTATTCTTGGCCGACTGGTAGAGTGGCACCAATGACTCCCATTTCTCCTCCAAATGCCTCATCATGTCATCTGTAACCCTATCCTGATTCTGCATCAATTCTCTTTCCAAATTATCCATCTCCTGATTAACAATATCCGCTTCCATATGAAACTTGACATAAATCCTCGCCAGATCCAATCTATTCTCTAGAACATTCTTCAAATTAATCCATCTTTCGTGCATCTCCTCCACTTTGGAATCGACATCCTTTCTCTGGTTATCTTCCAAAAATTCCAGAATTGGCGGCAGTGTTAGTATCAAAGCGTTTATTTCGTTCCCTTTCGTCTAAAAAAAATCACACTAACCGAGAATTTCAAAATTTTCAAAATCCCACCTGTAAATCGTTGAGTAATTGGTTGTGCAAATCCAAGAAATCCCTGGCCAGGGGTAGATCATCGCCCATATTTCGGTGCTCGTGAAGAAAAGCCTCAGCGACGCTCACTAACCACGAATAAATCTCATTGTGCTTCTCCAAGAAATTATTCAAGGCTTTATTAATTCGAATATTTTCCTCCTTGTGAGCAACACATAGTCGATCCAGAGCAATTTTCCTGTTCTCCAACTCTTCAACTTTGTGTCTAACACCTTCGGTGCCCGGACGGCCTCTTCCCACTAGATCCAGAATAGCATGGCCTTCTGCGATCGGCGCACTGGTGACCTCTTCTATAGATCTAGAGCTTTGGGCGTGCAATTGGATCAGTTGTTGTGAGGTTGATGGTAACTTGGTTGTAGTTAACTGGTGTTCAAGTTGATCCAATTTGGTTAAAGCCTGAAAGCAAAAATCTTTATTTCAGTTTTGTCTCAATTTGTAAAAAATACATTTTGGGCGGATTTGAAGAACTGGAGGACTCGTTCAAGAAGAATTTCCCGGTTTTGGACTTCAGTGTAATAGTCGGAAGTGGCAGAAAGAATTTCGTATGATTGTCCAGCTGCTTGTTCCCCAGCGAAACAACCGGAAGCAACAAGTTGTTCTGTAGCTTTGGTTATTTTCAGTGCTCGCTCTTGCAGTTGCTTCGCTTCCGGGAGTAGTTTCTTGTGCTCGTTGAGGAGTAATTCCGCACTTGATATGGAATCACCTAGAATCAAAAACGAAAGGTTTTTTCGATTAAAAACCGAAAAAATTTTGCCACTGAAGTAAAAAACGTAAAAATTTCTTTACCCAGTTGATCAGTACTGGCCAAAAGCCGTCTTCTCTCATGTACAACATCATCAAGTTCGTGCAAATCAGCTGCGAGCATCGCCAAAGCAAGACACTGTTCTAGCTGGGTCTTCCTCCTATTGAAAGTCGCTTCTAAAACTTGTCTCTTGAGATGCAGCTGATCCATCCATCCCTGAACTTGATTTATTGCTACAACAACAAATTCAATTTCCCCCTGAAACTAGTTTCAGAAAAAAATACCTCGATTTACAGAAGGTCGGATTCGATCGGGTCGCGAATCGAGTGTGCCTTCAGCCCCCAGTTCCTTCAATTTCCCCAAAAGCGTATTACCCGCCTGCAACGCCCCCATGAGTGACTCAAGTAAAGCCCGTCTCAAGTCGTGGATCATGTTCAAAAAGCTTTTCACAGCTTCGATTTCAATAGGAATAACTTTATCCGTGCAAGAAGCTTCAAGCTCGTCCATTCTTTGGAAAAATTCCTGGGCTTTGGTGTGGTAAAGGACGTTCAAATCGAGGATTTCCTTCCGGAGTTCGAGTAAACTGTTGATGTCCTTCCAGGCGCGGCCTAAGGACTCAGCCATAGCGGCGTAGACCTCGGCTCGAGGCCTTTGGGTGGCGATCAGTTGGTCGGCTTGGCGGAGAAGCTCCTCGACGGGGCTCTGTTTGTTCTGAAAGTCAAACACAAGAGATACTTATTAATGCCGAGGAGGCTTGTTTGCATTCAATTAGGTTCAGAAGTGTGCCGCTGCTAAATTTAAAGTTGTTTGTATTCAAATTAAGGTGGAATTTTGGGTTTTGTGAACATGTGAATTGTTGGAAAGATGAATGGTGTTTGACCTTTCTTGTTAACAAGTATTTATCGTTTTGGATGTTTGGTGTGATGAAAGTTTTAAATTCTTGTGAGGTAACGCTAAAAAGGAATGGTGGTACTGGGAGTGAGTACTGTGCTAAGGTCATTAGCACTTTTGGTAGTACTTTTTATTACGCATGAAAAACATTTTCGTATATTTGAATTTTTTTATTATATACAGTAAAAAAAAGCAAAAAATATTTTTCCTTTGCAGTTTTGGCGTAAAAACAAGGATAACATTTTTTTCCCTCTTGTGAACTCAATCCGGGGACATACTGTAGATTTTTTTCTCTTAAAAATGATAATATATTTTAGTGTTTAATTAATTAGTTTAGTAAGTTTTTTGGAAAAAGTTTTGATTTTGCAAACACAGACTACAGAAAATAAAAAAAAAACGAAAACAGTTTAAAACTTTATTCAGTTCTTATAATTTTTATAATACAATCTGTAAATGTATAAACCGGGTGTTCGGTCTCAAACGAAAACATAGGAATTTAACATGTTATTGTGTATTCTCTGTATTCTCTGTGTTTTATCTAAAATGTATATTCATACTACAAAAAACTTTTAAAAAAATATTTCTCATATTTCACAGTTCTACAATATTTTAGCACTTTTCTGGGGTTTTTGAGTTTTTCTAGAAAAACAATAAACTCGGGTTGTTAATAAAAAGGCGCTTATGCTTTTTTTATGCTCTTCAGCTCTTTCTTCCCCTTTGTTTCCTCTCTCTCATTTCTTCTGGTGCTCTTTGTCTTTCTTATGCTTTGATCTCTTATATGCTCTTTTTCATTTTTGCGCTTTTTCTCTCTCTGTTTTATATATGTGCATATGTTTAAATCTCACGCTCTTATGCGAGATATGTTATTATGCACTTTTTAACACTTGAAACCTGAATTAGTATTTAAATTTGCTTTAAGGAAAAAATGCTTATTTGACATTTGACATTTTTTTAATGTTTTTTTAATGATAGTAATTATCTTGTATATGTTTTTTTTATAATTATTTAGTAAAGGTACAGAAATTTTGCCAATAAAGGCCACAAATAACATTAAACAAAGTTACAATTTAGGATACAGATTTCTTATTTTCTCTTCTACAGAACTGTAGCAAAAAAACTTGTAAAATTATGTTTCCAAGAGAAATAAATAGAGTCAAAGTGCAAAATTTAAACTTTCATAACTTCAAAATTTTTATAGATAGAATTTTTTTAACATTTTTTCCATGTTTCTGGCATCTTACTTTATATTTTTTTTCTATTTCCACAACGTTTTATACAGTTTTCTGAGTCTTCTAGACCTCTAAGTGCATCTGGATCATTTTCAAAGTATTATTAAAGTGAAAAGTGAAAAAGGTTATTGTTTTGCGATAAATAGTTATTGAGAAAATTGCTAGTCTATGTATAGATATAGAACAATCTACATATAGGGTGAACATTAAGATCGTTTTTACTAACAAAAAAAATTCTGTCTAACATTAATTATTCCGTTCAAAATCAATAAATCATATAAAAACATAGAGCATGCAATAGAAATAAGTACATTAATAATAGCAGATCTTACCAAATGTCATCTTTATAGAAAAAAATACAGCATGTTTCGTCACTATTATTTTTTCAACTATTGCTTTTAAGTTTTTACATATTTCATACTGTGATCGTGTAATCCGGATACTCTATTAATCCGTTGGTTGTGTGTCACACTATCGAGGTTCTACCATATGTTGTTAATTCATCTTTTTGTGAAGAACTCATTATAAAATATGTAATAATTATCAGAAATTCTACAATTTCACAATTTTTTCTGACATACTTTTGATGATATTAATGATAATAATTATTATTAATTACATTTTTTTTCATTTACATTTTAATGAAATAATTTTAATAACATGTGGAATTAACAGAGTCCCGTACTTGAATTTCTAAGTGCTAACACTGCTAAGGTAATAATTATTAAATCATATTTTTTACGTTAACTGTATCTCAATCTTATTTCTATTTTTTCATTCTCGCATGCAACAAACTAACGCAATGTTGAACACCACAAACATTCCTTTCAACTTCGTAAAATCCAAAATGGCCAACTGGGACGGTCCACCATTCAAATGCAAATTCACCTGAACACAACTCGTTTCTTTTCAAGTCTTGTTTCTGAATAGAACATCCTTTATAATTGTTGATAACTTTCTTTCATGTTTACAAGATTCCTATCTGAATAATTGAGGTGCGATATGGGCCAGCTGCCGGAGCCTTCACTTTCTTTGTGTGTAAATTTGTAAATAGATTCAACTTCATTCATAATTATTGTGAAAGGTTGAATTAAAAATGGTGGCTGTGCTGTATCCCAGAAAGGAACCGATGGAAATTTAAACCAGAGCTAAAGGTTATTTTTAGTTCAATCCCAATGTTTAGTACTTAAATCTAAATAAATATGCGGCATGGTTACCAAAGCGGAATTATAGCGAGTTATTGAAAGGCGTTGGTTTGCGTGGGATGGGAGAATATGCGTGATGTGAGTGAATTCTTGATCGAGATAGTGAAAAAATAATAAATTCAACTCATTTGATAATAATAGAGATACAAACGTTCGATATCAAAAGTAGAACAAATATTTGACTTGAGAACTAGCAAAAAAAAGTATTTCAAGACACGTGAAAGTAAACGAAAAAACATGTTCTGAATAGTTTGGCTTTATTAATTTTAATATTCATGTGATTAGTCGATTAGTGTAATATTCAATTATCATACGGGTGGGTGGCTACCTAAATTTGTTGTTTCTCAAATCACTGACCAGATCAAGTCTATTTTTAATTTTTTTTTCAAAACTTTATTAAAGAAATTTTTTTGAATCTTAAATCATCACCAAGAAAACTAATGTACCATTTATTGAGATCAAAAGTCAAATCGGAATTAGAACTATAAATAGAAAAAAGAAATAAAACTTTGTAGTATTTTTTCCATTTCATTGCAATTTTGTTTATAAACAGTTGCATGAACAATACCCAATAAAAATACCAGTTGTCGTCACTTTAATGAGTAAATATTTTTTGCTGTGTTGGCACCAGTTACTTACTCAGTGCTCAACAGGTGAAGTTACTCACTTTCTAATGACAATCTCGTGATCCTGCTACAAATTTACTCATTTATTTCAGTTGAAAATTGGAAAAAACCAATTTTTTTGTTAAACAATACTCACTTTAAGTTGACGAAGAACTTCATCGTGAGCTTTCTGTAATTCCTGAGCTTCGGCAAGATTATCCCCTAAAGTGGTCAATTCCGGGGTAATTTCCAGTATTTTGAGATTAATCCAGTCGCCACACTGCAACAAAAACACGAATTATTTTTCGGTGATTGGCAAAAGTCACGCTAGATCGTAAAAAAGTGGAGAGACGTCGGCATATTGTTTGCCTAGTGATTAATTTCTTGGAGGAAATTCAATACAATTGCCACACCTGTACTAATCTCCTAATTGATCGAAAAGAAAATTTGTTCAAATTGAGAGAGAGACAAAGTGAAATGTTATATTTTTTCCACGGCCAAAACTAGTTGCATAATCACTCTTCGTAGGCGTTGAACCAACTCTCTTCGAGATTGAATAATCGAATTAAAATGACATCCATGGATGTGTTTGGTTGGCAATCCTTTTGCACGGTCGATTTGACCGGAATAATGAGGATTATATTGCGGTAGGTATCGACCAAAGAGTCGTGGTTTGGAAAAATCGCGAGAAAGATAATAAATCCACAAGTTGTGGTGCTGGTTATTGGACCGATTGATGGTCGGTGGGTATAGAGGCGGCCTTGGTGTAGGCGGATGATGGGTGGTTTGTCTTTTTCCTTTTGCCCATAATCGCAAGACGGTGCGATGTGAACGGTTTTGCAGGGAATTGCTATTGTTAGCTGCTACCAAGGCAGTTTGATTTAGAGATAGATGATGGTAAATAAGATAAAGGGGTGGTTTAGCAAGTCAAGTGTGACGGAGACCTTCTGCTTTGCTTTGTATAAAACATTTATGTATTTCCAAATGAGATTTTGCATTTAAATAATGTCTAAAACTTGTGATATTTCTAAATCTTTAAGCTGAAGCACTATTTTTTATTTGGTAACAAAATATTTTTAATTTTTCAAAAAAAAAACCTGACAAACCGACAATAATGTGTTGCTAATAGATTAATGGTCACGTTGGAGCTAGTGCCAATAAAAATGTTCGATAAGTGGAATGATTGTATACAATTATAGTGCATTTCAGATAATGATTCCAAGCCATATTTTACCCACACTCATATATCATGTATTCTCTTAAATTGCAGTGATTTATTCTCAGTTAATGGATTACAGATAAAAAAGAATTCAAAAAAATATTTAATAATATAAAATGCGTCATGTAGTAAATGTTTGGATTCCTTCTTGTAACTTTAAAAATCAGTCATTGAAATGAAAAGTCAATTAATCAGAACCCAAGAAAGGAATTAGCAAGAAAGCAAAACCATATCCGAGGCTTGAAGAGCACCATTATAAAATTCCGCATTCATTATTTCATGAAAATATTTTCCTCATTTAAGTGAGATCAGCTCCATACATGGCAAACACACTTAGGAAAGTTTATTTTGAATTTCTAGTCCAATGCAATCCCAACCCAAGAAAATGCAAGTTTTATTTGTACAACATTTCACACGTCGGTGATAATTAAAATGTTTTAGTTCGAATTAATGACAACATTATTTACTCAGTTTCTAAAGATACCAAAATATTAGTAATTGATACTACAAAAATCCCGAAATTGCTGCCGAATAGTTCAACAAGCAAGATTGTGAAAATTTTCTCCCAAAAATATATGTAGGAAAATCTGAATTTAAATTTTTATATCTTGCATTTGCTTCTTGGACTCTTCAAATTGAACTTAATTGGACAAAACTTTCATTTTCTTCTGTTTATAGAAGGGTTTTTCTATAAAAATTTATTTTTTTTTGTTAAAACTCAAATAAGATTAAAGCATAACAAAATTGTAAAATCATTGTCAAATTATTGTTATTCAATTATACTAGGTGAATAAAAAGTATGGAACCAAACGTTTTTTGCTTAAACTATTAATTTTTTGTAAAAACTAATTGATGAACGATAAAGTACTTTAAAGATGTGATGTTTTATCAAGAATAAAATTTTTCGAAATTTTCTTTTGTTTTTGAGTTCTACAAAAATTTTAATTTTTTTAAATAGCAACTCACTATAAAACTATTTTTCTCATAAAGGTTATGATCTAAGGATTACAACTATCTACTTCATATTTAATTTAAAAAAAAATTTTTTTTCATAAAWAAAAAATCGCATAACTCAAAAACAAGACAAAATTTTGTTCTCAAAATACGATCTCATTTTTTATATGACCTTAATTTATATTAATTATTATTTTCTGAAAACAAATGATTTTAAAAAAACGCTTGGTTCCATACTTCCATACCCTGTATGTTTAGACATTTAAAAAAGATGTATTAATATTTTTTTTTAAAAGGAATTGTCTATCAACCTATACTTTGACTAAAGATATTATAATGTCTACTAGACAGAAGAAAACAAAGCCACATAAATTTTTGTTTTTTCTTATGGTTAATATTTTGACTTCAAATATTTAACAGTATTGTTAAATCGGCCCCAGGACTGTTCTATACTTTTTTCATATATTTGTTTCTAAATTTAACAAGTCACACCAAACTTTTATTTCTAACATAACGCGTTTCAACCACAAAGTGGTCATCCTCAGGTGTGAATAAAAACTGTTTTTTATTGTCACTATTATTGTCTACTGTTTTTTTATTGTCACTATTATTGTCTACTGTTTTTACTCTCACCTGAGGATGACCACTTTGTAGTTGAAACGCGTTGTGTTAGAAATAAAAGTTTGGTGTGACGGGTTAAATTGTGTTTTTGTTTATCATTCCCATACCAAGAGGCTCCAATAAGAATTATATTTGTTTCTATACATATAACATCAATATTTATTAATTACATATGTTCCAACTACTCTTTTTCTTTTTATTAGTAAAGAAAAAATAACCCTTCGTTTTTTTTACAAAAGAACAAAAAGACCATTTTAGTTTAATAAAAAACTTTTATTAAAAAATTATTTTTCAAATAATTCATAATTATAACAATTACACCATTTTTACTGAATGCTAGATTGTAATTCTGCGTCTATTAGGATGTGAATTTCGTTTAAAAAAAATAATAAACAAAAATGTGAACACAGATTTTTATTTAGTTTTTCAATTGGCTACCTAGGTTTCGAATGTGAGGCATTTTGAACCAAGAGTAGCAAATTGATATTCATATAAAGAAACGTTAGCACACTTATTCATATTTAGATAATTTTGGATATTTTTAGGAGTCTAAAATTCTAGAAACACTGTTACTTGAATTAAATGCTTTACAAAGTACAGATTCTGATATAAAAAATCAATATGAAACTATTTAAATCTTGATCCCGGATTTATTATCTTATTTTACCATTTCTTGAAAAAAAAATTGAAACTGCTTAATCTAATATTTGTGTGAACTTGGACACACGCCGTGTTTTCTCGATGCCAACGTTATTTCTATTCGACTAAAAATGAAAAGTATGAGTGACAATCCACAAACAAGCCATCCAAGTTTCAACACTTTGACACGACATTTCCCAATTTCGATTATCTCCCAATAAAAGCGCAATTTTTATTCCATTCCCAATCCTGTTTTTGTTGTTCTAATCTCGAATCGTGGGTGTTTCAACCATCGCCTGGCTGCCAGGTGCTATAAATAGCAAATGATGCTCTGTTTATACGTTTTGAAACGAATATTTACACTTGAGCTATTAGCATCCTGCCTTTTTCCACTTTCTAATTCCCGATCTGGTGCACCTTTGGAAAACCCCCCTGGACACTACGAGGCCATTGAACCAAAATTTCGGTCAAAAAATTGCTGTAATATGGACAAGACGAGCAATACCGTAAAAGGAGATCGACCTTATTCGCATATGTGAGAATGCAAATTCAAGGCACGAATTATGTAGAGGTGTTATTAATTTCAAGACGGCGCTATTAACAATGAATAAATATTTAACGTCACAGATAGACATTATAACATAATTTTCTTCAAGGTTTCTTGTCTAATGACTCACGAAGTTTTTTAAGACTAAATAAGGAACAGCAATGCTGTTGTGACATAACTAACGTAACTAGTTATTTTTGCGTTCTTCGAGTTTGGTTTAATCAAATTCTTGTTTGTTGTCATAAGTGATAATTGATAATTGCTGGTCATTTATTGTTGCTTGATGTCACCATGTTATATCATCTATTCATGATTTATCCGTTTTTTTTTAAATTTTTTGCATGCTTAAATTACTTGAACGCGATGAGCGCTCAAAACATAAAAATTATAATACATATTTGATGTTTTTGTGGTTTTTGTTGGTTGATTTACACCATCCAGGCTTTGATGAACTTTTTTTTTAATATTGTAACAATTTTTAGTTATCATAATTAATTACTCCGATAGGAATACATTCAGGAATAAAACTGTTTATCGGTCACTATTTTCTTCTAATTGCTTCAAGTCAACCTGAAACCTGTAGTTCCACTTTCCGTGACATTTAGATTTTCAGTTAAATTTGATTAAGTAGAGTTCTGTCATCGACATTGAAATGCAATAAAGTGTAATAATTATGCAAATCGTTCCACAATTAAAATAATCAAACGCATGCAAATTAATCTTCACACCATATTTATTTTTAGAATCATTTCATCGTTCCAATTTCTTCGCAAAAATTCTCACAGAAATGCAATTTTACGAAACTACGAGACGAAAAGGAATTTAAAAAAACTCACTAACGCAATATTAAAAGCATTAACTATGAAAAACAGTAGCATTTGGCATGTAGAGTTTCTGACGCAATTTCCTTCAGAAAATGAGTTGTTTCCCTCACTTTTGAGTTGACCTACGCAAATTTTCTGCAGTTGCTTCGATAAGAAAAGTGAAAAAAACGTCAGCAGATTTTCACATTGGAAATATGCAAATCACATGATCGATTAAAAACGTCAATTATTTTAAAATGAAGAGAGTTGAGAGAAATTGCGCAAAGATTTGTTCGTCTGACCCACATTAGCAACAGGTACGCATGCAGGTGTTGGATAAATTGACTGTGACTTGCTGGCTTGGTGACACTGAAAATAGGGAAGTTGATATTCTTTTTGGCACTAGCTGTACTAACAATATTTCTGTTTGAATTAACAAAAAAGTATGGATCTGTTGGTGAGAACTTGAAGATACTATTTTAAGGTCACTGACATTT